CCTTACTTGCGGTGGCCCAACACGGAAGCCGCCATGTTGTCTCGTCTAGTCTTCCTGAACTGGATAAATAATCATTGCTGCACACCTCAACTGTATCCGAAACTTTGTTGAGGGCGTTTTACTTTATATTCACTTTATAATTGTAATTTTTTATGTTTTTATCAAACAGCATTCATTGAAATTTAAATTGAGAATCATTGACATTAGCCCTGCTCCTGAGCCAGACTAGATTCTAAATTATTTAGTAAATATCTAGATCTAGATCATTTTTATTTATTAATCTAGTCACTAGTCTAGAATCTATTCTGGACTAGATTCTAGGGATGATTATAGATAGATCTACTGGTGTCCGATAATGGAATCTTCTTTTAAAAAGGGGTGTAGGGTTGTTAGTAGTAGTATTGTAATCTCGACTAATTTTATGGTTAGAAATTAGGGTTAGGCATATGGTAGGGACAGGGTTAGCATTGACATTAGCCAGTCATGTGTTTATTTAGTTAACTACCAGTAACCTAACACCCCTTTTTTAAAGAAGATTCCATTATCGGGACACCGCTATACTGAGATTCTCCCGGACAATAAATTACACATCAAACAATACAAAATTTGGAAAACAATAGGCCCCTAGGCCTATTTTTTTTATTGATAGTATATTTATTTATTATATTAGGCTATTACAAAAAAAACAACTTAACCAGTTGCAGGGGCTAGATCTATTATTGAGGTGTTTTGCTGTCACTTTAACTCTGACATTTTTATTTTTTAGTGTAGGGTTGGGCTAAGTCTGCACTTAAATAAAATCTATTTTCTAGATTAACTACAACACTATACAAGCACTATATATTTGACTCAATGCAACAAAATTGAACAAGCTTGCCGGTTGTTTGAGGCCTCACCAGGCATTTATTCTACACGAAATATTCACCAATTTGTGCTAATTTTAGTCTTAAACAGCTTTTGTAAATGTATGAGAAGATCATGATTTAGTTCAGGGGTCTCCAAACTATGGACCGCGGGCCGAATGCGGCCCGCGAAGTCCTCTCATCCGGCCCGCGGAGCAGAGGCGTAGCGACCCTTCCCGGCGCCCGGGGCGAACTTTCAATTTGGCGCCCCCCCCCCCCCCCCCCGCTTATATATATATATATATATATATATATATATATATATATATATATATGTGTGTGTGTGTATAATTATGTGTGTGTGATAGTGTGTTTATATATAAGCTTGTGTGTGGGTAAGAGTGTATTTGTGTGTGTAAGCGTGTGTGTAAGCGTGTATGCTACAGTCCGGACAAGGTTTAATAATTACATTGTATGATTTTCATTCCTTAAAACTTTACGACAATTTAATTCCCATTAAGATGCGTTTAACTTTTTTTGCGAAAGATTAGTAATGTCAGTAAAAAAAAATAAGCCTGATCTGTGTTAGAGGGTAGTTTGTAGCTAACGCTAATATGTTTAGACCAGCCTTTTATGTTCTAGTTTTGAACGATCTCTGTTGTGATATGGTACATATTGGATTCGAAGTTTGTTAGAGTAAGGACACACAAGTGACATACAAGAAGAAGTTATCAGAAATATTTATTGTTCACATTGGAATACGACATGGGTATTTCGTTGATTGGTTGATGGTATGACAAAACAAGCTAGAGAAAACAAACTGGAATCCAACGGATGTTAACAGCTCGTAGTCTTGGATTTCGCAGATTTGCCCTGCCTTCTCGCACACAGTTTCTTCCAGGCATCTTTTCGGGGGGACGAAGCCCCCCGGAAAAATTTTTACGCCCCCCCGAACGAAATGAAATTTATATAATTTATATATAGAAAATATATACTTTTAACAGTGTCCGCCCCCCCCCCCCCCCCCCCCCCCCCGAAGAAAGTTTACCGCCTCCCCCCTCCCCCCGAAGATTTCAAGTGCCCCCCCGGAGAAAAAAGTCTGGAAGAAACACTGATCAAAAGTATCTGATCTCTCACGTTGAAGTTGAGAGAATCGTAAGAATCTTACAAAGAACTAGTCGCGTCTTTTTTTTTAACAAAACTGGCTATTGAAATTGTACATTACGCGTTAATACACTTGGTTTCTTTACTAAGTGTTAAGAGAGTTATCTACTCACCAATCCAGTACAAATACTTGCGATTTTTGTTAGCGAAAAAAGCGCCCCCACCCCCACACACACTTATCACAACCATCTTGGACAAAGTTTGTAGAGCGGTTTTTAACGTAACTAACTTTTTTTTTAAAAATGTTACACAATTATACAATGCACAGTACAATTTGTTTCTTTCTGAGAGCTAAAGGTTGTTTACTCAGAATCCTGTGTAATTTTGCTATTTTATTTAGCCTAAAAGCGCCCCCCTGCACCATCTTGATAAAAGTCACTAACGTATTTTACAGTTCAACAATCGTACAATACGTTTTAATACAATTGGTTTCTTTTAATAGTGGTAACGTTTATCGACTCAACAATCTAGTGTAAATTCTTCCGTTTTAAGTCTCGAAAAAGCGCCCCCCCCCCCCCCATCTAGGAAAAGCTTCAAAGCTTCACTGTTTCTTAAGAGTATATGTTTTACATTAAGAAATCAAGATAGAAAACAGTTAAATCAGTATGTAAATGCGTGTAGCCATTATATTTCTTAACTTAGACAGTTTATAATTCAAAACTGCAGCATAAAATCAGCTTTAAAAATTTTTTCCCACCCCTTTTGGCGCCCCCATAGGGTCGGCGCCCCCATAGGGTCGGCGCCCGGGGCGGCCGCCCCCCCCCCCCCCCCCGCCCCCCCCTAGCTACGCCTCTGCCGCGGAGATCTTTTTGTCCAAGGAAAAATCGTTTGTTGGTGATGATGAGGAACTTTGCGCAGAAAAATCGAAGACATGCCTGGAAGAAACCGGCCCCTGAACTGAAATTTGATGGTTAATGCGGCCCTCGGACTGAAAAGTTTGGAGACCCCTGATTTAGTTTATATACAAGTATTTAATTATGCCTCAATTATTGTCTTTTCCAAAATGTTTTATTAGGTTGCAAATTGTAAAATATCAACACTCACTAACCCAAATCACAACAGTAACACCCCCCCCCCCCCCCCCCCCCCAACTACCATTAAATCCCAAATTTGTTTTGGGGTCCTTATGAAGTAACAGTTTAATAGTTTATTGCTATCCCGGCAACTAACCCTGACCCTAAAAGTAAAATGGGGAGCCAAAAATATACAATCATGTAGGCCCTATTGCTCTATTCAACTATATTACAAATGTAAATTTTAGAATACTTTTATCTATATTGTTAAATTGTCAGAAGTAAATTATTTAATATAGGCCTGTTCCCTTGTTATTAAATTAAAAAGTGACCACTGCAACATTTAAATTAATAGTTAAATGTTAGCAATTTTTCTGTTCCTATTATTTATAATTACACATGAACTGTTTTAATTGTTACAAATGAAGTAATAGAATGGATTTAATTGTAACTGTTTGAATTTGAACTATTAACCCGTTTTATATTTTCAGTATAAAGCATTTTTGTATTTTTCTTTGTTAGAAAGAATGCTATTTATTGATTTTTTAAAGTTTACTCATCCCTTATCTTTTTCATTCTCACTCATGTGGTGAGTCATAATCTATGAGATTGATATTTTAGTAACAATATTGCTTGTTTTAAACACACCTTCACCTATATCTTATTACAAATTACTTGAAAAGGTTGCTTTTTAATGCTTTAGCAAGTCTCATTTAAAATAGAAATTAGCTTAACTTTTTATTAGTTCACATCTAAACATAAATTAAAGATAAACTGTAATTTAATAATCTGTTTTGTAGTAATTTTTGATTAATTAAACTTAGTTTCTGTTTATATGTATATTAAAATTTGCTTAAACTTAAAACAAATAACAACATAACTTTAAAAAAGGACTCCTTATATAAGAGAACATAGGATTTATTGTAGTCTTATCAGCTGAAACAATCACTTCAGCTGTGTGTGCTTCAGATTTCTCACTTGCTATAGTTTTTCTTTTTTAAATACATTCCTTATAGTATAGTTGGTGATGTTAACATACGGCTCATATATTACATTTAAGGCTAGGTGCTACACCAAATGCACTTTTTCGTTATTATTCAAGCTAATCCATTAAAACTTTACCCATATAATATATACTGAAAGTTATTTTAAAAAAAGGTATAAGAATCTATTTTACCATATGGTTGCCATGGTAACTGCCGCCATATTGGATTTTTGTTTATCATTTTCAAAATGCTAAGGCTCTATAACCACAAGTGCTAAACACACCAAAATGCATGCATTATATAGGGCGATTTAAACTTATTAAGTTCTATGTTTCACATTTTAAGTAAAGCCAAGCTAACTATTTTTTCTAAAAAAAATTCTATCAAACTGATAAAAATCGCTAAAACGTGCACAAATGTAGCTTATTTCTGTCTTTAAAATAAAAATAAAGCAAGTTTTGATAGAAATTGAACATAGAAGTTATGTGCATGTATCTGTAGAATAATAAGGTAAAGTTTCAGTAAGATACAAGTAGAACTAACTGAGGATAGCAATTTGAAGTGTCAAATTTGTAATTTTGAGAAAGACGCGAAAGAAGTAAAAAAAATTTTTTTTTTTAAAACTACCCAATAAATACAAAATACAAATCACTATTTTCTAGTAAAAACTAATGTGTTTTTATGTTTAGAAATGAATGTATTTTCATAATTAGGTCAAAATTGAAATTCTACATCAGGCACCAGATACACCTAAATTTGGTACCGCACCTAGCCTTAAATGTTAAACATTTAAAAAATCACATCTAGGATACATAATTTAGAAGTGTGTTAGCTATCAGTTCTTGACACAATAAATTTGTATGTAAAAATGGAGAGAAAAAACAAGTTTCTCCATCCACAGAAAACAATTTTTAGTTAGAAATGTTCCTGTTAAAACCTGCAGCTTTACTAAAAATTATAATTTCTTCCAGGCTGCCCATTGCCACTAGTGTGGGATGAGTGAGGCAGGTCCTCAGGTTAACGGGCCTTCCAGCCCTCCTGGAAAATTTATTGATGGCATCGGTAGGTTGTATTCTTTTTTTATATAATCTAAAACTATGGATCATTTGCTTTTTATTTTTTATCATTTGAAACTCATTCTCTGTCATCAGATCCTGATGATCCGGAATATATTAAAAATTTACAACGTCCAGCTGAGGTTAAGGAAGACCTGCAGCAAATGGAAAATCGTTCACGTGTGTCACTAGTACTGAATAGTCAAGCATTTAAAGATGAGCTAGAGCAAGTTGTTGAAGAGCAACTTCGCAATGGTCCGTATCCAGCAAATTTGATTGCATTACAACAAATCACAGACCTTTTGCTTCCTCACTCAAAAGGGGGCTTGTCAAGTTTAGCCAGAGGTTAGCTATTTTAAAATATATTTAGAAAAAGTTTTAAAAATTTATTTTGTTTCCTTGCTGCTGTATGAAAATTATTCTTTTAAAAATAATTTCAGCTTCTACTGCCATTCCAATCAATGATCTAAGGGGAGTTGAGTCTCTTGGCTTTGCCAAGGGAGAAAAACTTCTGAGATGTAAATTGGCTGCCTTATACCGATTAGTGGATTTGTGCGGATGGTCTCATGGTATTTACAATCATATAAGTGTAAGTTATGTTCAAATACTGTCTGTTTTTTATAGAATTCTGAAAGGTTTTCACAATAGCGAGTGTACTAAAAGTAATCTTTTTTTGTTTTAGGGGAGGTAATTAAGAGGAGGCTGCTTTCACAGGGGGGGGGAGGAAAGGAGGGTTTTGGTGTTTTAAAGCAAATATTTTCAGTGACTGTCGAATTCACAAATTATGAATTACTGAAAAATAGAAAATAAAACTAAATAGCAGCATGTGATACGCCGCGGGTCGGCTCGTTTAAAATATTTTTTTTTCAATAACAAAGTTTTTAAGCACTTTATTGTGCCAAAAGGGTTTATTAACAAATAAGGTCAGACTGCACTAGCTGAAAAAAGTCAACTACATTTTCTGCAGGATGTGGCCTTAATCTAAGTTGATTACTCCACCCATGAAGGTCAAAGGTCTTGTTGATATGGGAGACTGCTGTTTTATTATCTGTTATGAAGCTACATAATTTCTAAATTAATGTCCACAATTTAAAAAAATGGTTTTAAAGCTATTATGACCTGTTTTCTATTCTTAAGTATTAAGGCACTTGGTATTTATTTATTTTTTGAAATCTGAAATGTTTCAGTTACATTTTTTAAGGCTGATATTAAATTGAGTTTTAAATAATATCTAATTATCTTCAGGCTAGAATAAGCCCTGAGCATGAACATTTTTTGCTGAATCCTTTCGGTATGCTGTACTCAGAAGTTACAGCTTCATCCTTGATTAAAGTTGATGTTAGGGGAGATATTGTTGAATCTGGTTCAACTCAGTTTGGTGTCAGCAAATCAAGTTTTTCTCTGCACTCAGCCATACATCAAGCTAGACCAGACATCAAATGTATTGTTCACCTTCATACACCAGCTGCTGTGGCCGTAAGTCTAGCTTTGTTTCATATTTTTTCAACCATTCATGTGTAACATTCTTAGAATAGTATGTTCTCACTCAGTGTATAGATATTGTTCTAATGGTTTGTTTTTATCTTAGGTATCTGCTATGAAATGTGGATTATTACCAATGAGCCAAGAAGCTTTAGTGTGTGGTAAACTAAGCTATCATGATTATCAAGGAGTTTTCGTTGATCCAGAAGAGCGTGAGAAACTTGCAAGAAGTCTAGGTGTTCATAATAAAGTAAGATTATTGTGGTTATAAATTAAAGATTAAAATAAAAAATTAAGTTTATATTTTTATATTTAAGAAAATTTTTCTATCAAAATAAATAAATGATAAAAAAATATATATATTTAAAAAAATGCTTTAAACTTTTGTTTCTTTGGCAGATTTTAGTTCTTCATAACCAAGGTATTGTAGCATGTGGTGAAACCATTGAAGAAGCTTTTCATTATACATTTAATATAATGGCAGCATGCGAAGCTCAGGTAAGTTATGTGCTATTTTATATATTAAAATTAACAATTTCTATTGTAATATGCTTATACTTGATACATTTTTGTTGTATGATTCTTATTACTGGTATTTATAATTTTAGGTAAAAGCTGTACCTGCAGGCTTGGAAAACATAGTTATTCCTAGTGAAGAGGTCCGTGAAAAAACATATAGAGTAGCAAGTCAGGGTGGTGGAGGAGTGGAGTCCACAGGACGCAAGTGGAAATTAGGAGAGCTAGAGTTTGAAGCCTTGATGAGAACGCTTGATAATTCTGTAAGATAATTTCTTGGTTTGGTTATTAGCTTTAGAGATTTCAAGTTGTCTTTTGTAACATCTAATTATTAAAGAGTTAGACGATTAATTGAGTATGCTAAAGTATTTAAAAGTTTGTTTAATAAATGAATCAATGTTTTTTTGTGTGAACCAATTCTTTGAAAGATGTATTTTTTTCCATCAGGGATTCAGAACTGGCTATGTGTACAAGATGCCAGTAGTAAAGCAAGAAAAGAAGGACAGATCAAACAGTGAAGTTGAGATACCACCTGCTTCAAGCTCCTTTACCTATGTTTTTGACGGTGACTTTGAGCACTCTAAATATGCGTAAGTAGTAAACTTAAGTGAGTTTTTAATCCTTAGCTTTTTATGTGCAATACTGTCAACAATCAAGTTTTTTTGTAATGTCTTTGAAACCCAATCAATTTCACTTTTTCTCAAAGTAATCAATGTTATGTATATTTTTATAATGTGAAGTAATATTTTTTTTGGAATAAAAATAAATACATTTATACATTTAAAAAGATCACCTATAAAAGCTGCAATGGAAAGGCAAAAGAAAGCATACAAAGCTGGATGGTTAACCACACCTAATGCATATAAGAAGACAGAAGTTGAAGAAATAGGTACAACAACACCTAAGAAAATTACAAAGGTAATGCTTGGAAAATCATTTTTAAAGTTTAAATTTGATGACTTGAACTTTTCATGGTCTTTCTGGTAATTATTTATATATAATTATTTAATTAGCATAATTGCAGTTTTCAGAAAAACATTAATGAACTATCAGAGTAAAACATGTAAAGAAAAATCTGCTGTTGTTTTTATAGTGGGTGCCAGAAGCAGACTCACCTAATAGACCAGGTGGTACACCAATTAAGATTGAAAATCCAAATCAGTTTGCACCACAAGGAGAAAATCCAAGAGAATTCAAACTGAAACAAAAGAGTGTAAGTTTTTACTAGAGTAATTTTTGGGCAAGCTAACTGCTGAGTTTGATTACATTAAAATTACTACCAGTGAAATTATTAAAAAAAAATTATATTGCTGTTTCTCTAATGCTCAGATTTTAAGTGCCTTGGATATTAGAGGGTAAACAAAACACGTTCTTCTTTTTATTTTACAATAAATAAATTCTTTTTCAGATAAGAAAGGACTATTATGAGGAAAAGGTCACTCCTGGTCCACAATCTAAGATATTAGAAGGCATTTCATGGGATGAAGCTCAAAAAGCTAAGGTCAGTGTTATATTTTTTTTTTAAATAATGGGCAACATATTTTAGTGCCACTGACATAAAATTCTGATACATTCAACTTCAGCGTATCAATTTTAACTATTATGTTATCAGTATGCTTAATGTAATGTTGATTACTACCCAGGATGGACAGCTAAGTGGAGCAGGAGACCAACTCATTGTTGTTGGAGCTGCATCTAAAGGTATTATCCAAAGGGACCATCAACACAATGCTGTAGTGTATCGACAATATTATGCTGCAAATCCTTTTGAAAACATGTCAGAAGCTGAAATAGAACAATATCAGGCTGAAGTACAAAGAAGGGAACGTGGAGAACCAGGTAATTATAAAGGAATATTATTAAGCGTAAATTTGTTTTGTCCCTGAGAAGCTGAACCACTTATTGTATTTTCAGATTTCAGTCATTTTAATTAGAAGGGATATTAAAATTTATTACCTGTGGGTCTTTGGAACATGCTGTTATAAACTTAAGTTTGTTTAAATCTGTAATGAATTCAATATTTACAATTTAAATCACATTTTAAAATAATATGATGTACTCAGCATGATATGATTTAAAAATGTTTTAAGTTGCTAATAGAATAATTGTTTTGACTGTAAAGTTGAGGAACCCACTGCAACACCAGCTACTGCTGCTCCCACATCACACCAGGCAGAGTTAGAGAAACCTAGGGAGCCTGAGCCAGTACACACAGTGGAACAAGTGCGTGATGTCGAGAGGCAACCTGAACCCCGCAAAGATGTGGAAGGTTGGTGGTGTTTGCTTTTTGTTCAGACTATAACTGCATCTGCTTTGACAGTTTTGACATTTCATTATCTTTGTGACAAAAGCTGCATATAATATCAGTGTTGAATCTTGCGATGCATTTTTAAAAGTTTGTTTGAATGGATAGACTTGTAACTTGCATAACTGTGCATTTTTATTTGCATATTAATTATTGTTAAAGACCACAAGGAGTGCATTTCCTATATTGAAAAACTCAAAAGAAAATTTTGCCATAATTATTAATTTCTAAAAAGAGAAACTGAGCCACTTTGCACTCTTCAGTATAATAATTTGCACTTCTATCTTAAAATTCTTGTTTGTTACACATTTATTATTAAAATTAAGGCAAAAGTTATCTTGGTAGATTTGGGTATATAGGTATACCCTGGAAAAAAAAAGTATTGGTTTTAATTTTATGATGTGTAACAAACACATTTTCTAGTTTTTTAACCATAGAAAAAAGCATTGAGATTTTCATTGATGGTAAGCAAAATCTGTTAAAAGGCGGTCTGATTTTGTAATTTAATGATTTAATTTGAAACCTGGATTTTTAAAAAGTTATGCAATAAATAAATCTATTGAATTTTTTTTTGATGTTTAATACTTTTTTGAAAAAATTTTTTTTTGAGGAAAATGAAAATCTCATTACTTTAGACAAGCTGCATTTTCATGTCCAGTGCTAATTGTAGTTGCATGTAAAAAGCTCTGTGTTACTATTGTTAAAATATAGTTGGCCTCTATAGACTGCAAGAAGAATCCAATGGATTGCATGAGTCAGACAGGAGTTTTCCATCTGAAGGTAAACACGCTGCTGCTAGGCTTTTCTGCTTCAACATAAATCTTCTCTTCAGCCCTCTTTAATAAGCTTTTAGTGAGGTTTTCATAATGGCTTATTGAAAGAAGAGTTAATCATTATTGTTTTTAAAAAGCTTCCACTATTCAGTAAACATCTATGTTTAGACAGCTTTGCAAAATAACTAGTTACACTGAAATTAACAGTTGAACCAAGTAATTTAATCAATAAGTAATTTAATCAATTTTAACTTTAAAAATGGACCTCAATGCTGCATTTTAAAATTTTGATAAATATATTGAGACATTTTAAATTCAGCTCTAGATAGATAATGTTATGTTGTGTTTTAACAAGATATTTAATCTGTGAAGTAAAAAATAATTGTAGCCACCCATATTTCTAACATTTATATAATCACCATACTTCTCATGTCAATTTATTAGCAGCTCAGTTTCTCAAAATAAAACACCATTAAAATAACGAAATTTTCTAGCTATTGCAATGACCTGGTTAAACATTTCCCCCAAGTATTTTTTTAAACGGGAAAAAAATTATTAGTTCAAATGGCTCTTAAAACTATGAAGTTCATTCAGGGATGTGACTTTTCCGAATTTTAGCGGAAATCCGATTTTTCCGTTTCAGTTGCGATTTTCCTCCGCTGATTTAATTTTCGCCGAATTTTTCCGCCGAGTTTCAATTTTTGTCGATTTTTTTACGAAGTTTTAAAAATTAGGAAAAAAAAAACGGAAATGTCTTCTACGGTAAGGGCCGACATTCTCATTCCACTTATTCGTATTTAAATCGACAACTACTGTACTTAGGTCAAACGGACACTCGAATATGCGCATTTCTTTTCGATTGGTCGATTGCGCTAGGTCTGACGGTGCTAGATCAAGATTAAATGTAGATTAAGATTCGGAATTTCGGCGGACTTTCGAATTTTTCAAAGCACACTTTTTTTAGTCGAAATTTTCCGCTGATATTTTCAGTTAACTATTTATAAAAAACACGGAAAAGGTAATCTAAAATAATGCAGTTATTCAATTAAAACTTACAACTCTTAAGCCTGGTAATCTAGCTATCGATATAGCCTAATTTACCTATCGGTATTTTAACCCGCCTAAATCTAGAGTTTCTCTCTGATTCTATTTTATTTCACAATCTCAGATTAATATTGAAATCTTGCAAAAGGTGACTATGAGGACTAGACTAACCCGCCCCACCTCGTAGCAACGGTGGCTCTTGTGACCTCGCCTTGACCGCAAGTACGTGTTCGGTACTGCTTGTGGGAAAAAAAAATGACGTCACAGTCAATTTCAAATAGCCGTTCCTACAATACGTATGCTTCGTAGGCCTTACAGATTAAAAAAAAAAAAAACAACTAAACTCAACGGTCTTGATTGTGGAAGAAAAAAATACGTTCAGACTGTGGAAGGGAGTCTGGCTTTTATAGGAGAGAGGGGAGGTAACTATCGTCAAAAAATAAACGTGGATGACCCCTAACAATGTACAGCTATTCCAAAAAACATAAATATCGACGTGGCTTGGTTATCATAATGATTAACTTTGGTTCACACGTCATACCCTTTCTGATTTTAGCTAACCTGGTCCATTTCATTTTTCCATCACATGAACCTAAAACTTTCAAATTGTAACTAATCTTAATCTAGGGTCTTTACAGTTGAAGACAAATATTTTTACCAATCCTATCTTTAAAAGAATATTATAAGGCATTAGGCCCACTATTTAAAAATTGAAAACAGGAGTACATCTAGAATCTACACTAGATTAGTACAGTTTAAATTAGCTTAATGGTAAAATAAAACTTAATTGCTACTTTTGTTACATTGTAATTTTTTAAAATTGTTTTTAAGGTAAACATTAAATTGCAATTAGACAAGACTTTCAATGTTATTTTAGAGTAACATAAACTTCTTGTATTTAAAATATTAATTTCATTAAACAATTAATTAGTACAGTAACAGTATGAAGCTGCTTAACTGCGATAAAAAGTAGATAAACATATTGAGTTATTATCCGAAGAAAATTTCCTAATTTTTTTTCCTGGTCTGGTCACATCCCTGTTCATTATTTTCAAGTCAAACAAGTAAAACTAGTTAATCTAAAATTTCTGCTGTTGGTGACCCTAGGGCCCCATCCGCTTCATGAAGACAAGTTGCTGGCCCAGCTTGCTGACAAAGTGGTGCAGACAGTCTTTAGCGATGCCCTGTCTGTTATAAGACGGGGTAAGGGGCAGCAGACACTAACGGGGACTGAACCCTTGCACCAGCACTCACATTATATCCAATCTCACATGGGTAGCCAGATAAGTGTAGATAGTGGGAGGCAATCTGCTGAGGATCACAGTGGCTCTCAGCTACTTTATAGGGATAGACAAGATAATTATCCTGTAAGGAATGATAAAGGGCAATCGCATGGGGCTAGCACATGTACAGATTGGTTCAATAATGTAAAAACTCCCTCAAGAGATGAAACTGCGGAGGCTGCAGGTGCAGCCTTTGAGGATTTGAGGTGGTCTGAGTCTGGTGCATCTAACCCTGAAGATGATTTTGTTACCATTGCACTTGATCCCATCCAGTTATACCATGGTCAGGCTGAAAGTGGAACTATGAAAGTCAGATTTTCTATTCAGTCGACTGTTAGGAGGAGAATTCGGGCTGAGCTAAACAGGGGAGGTGGCACCATTGAAGAGGTGCATGCTTCTGTTTCAGAACCAAGTATTGATCACATCCACATTGAAAGAAATAATTTTGATGCTTCAGAGAATGTTAACTTTAAACAAAAAACTACCAGACGGCACAGAAAAGTGTTAACCAACTTCAAACACTCACCAACCAGCTCTACACATTTACAGAACAAAACTGGTATAAATTATAGTGGTGGGGTGGGTGAGGCCATGATTGCCAGTTCTCCTAACCTGATGAAGAGATTGAGTGGTAATTCAGACAATGGTGCTGGTGAGGCTGGAGAAGGAAATAAAGAACAGACCAGCAGCCATTCACAAAATGTCCAACAGGATAAGACTGGGGCAAGTTCTGACAATAATTCTGGCTCATTATCAAACTATGGATCTAAACAAAATGGATCTCAGAATACTGAATCACCTCTAGACAAAAACAGTGATTTGTTATTTGCAGATGACTACCCAGAAGATGATTTTATACCATCTTCACAGCAGCAACCACTATCCACTCCCACTAGCTTTAATACACATGTTAAAAAATGTAAGAAGTTAAGAAAAGGGCAGCTGAAACATAAAAAGACATTTGTCCCCCTCTCACCTGTTCTGGAGGAAAGGCATCATACACCTCAACATTGTGAAGCACTTGGTGGTATACTTGAGGAAACAGATTTGAGTTTTGATCAGTTATTTAATGAGGATGTTCTCTTGTCTGATGATGGCAGAAGTTGTGACTTGAATCTAAATGACTTTATGGGAGCTGCCCCTATCGTAAAAGAAGAGGAATTTAATGAGTGTATCTCCTCTAGTGACATTTTATTTGACTCTGAAAAAGCTGAATTATTAAATACTAAGGTTTTTAAGCAAGGTAACCAGCTTGATTCTGATCAACTACAAAAACCAATAGTTGATCTACCTCCTGTAGTTCCAGCTGCTGAATGTACAAACTCAAGAGATTTGGTACCCCAGAATTTTGAGCCTTCTCTATGTATTTCAAGTGAGCCTCAGACGAGCGATCATCTTTATCTTAAAGATAATGATCTTCTAAAAGAAAGGGATGGGGAAAGTAAAACCTCCCATACAACTTTGCAAACAGTAAAGCAAGACATCATGTTTGACATAGAACAAGAAAAGTCATTGAATTTCCAACATATTCCTTTATCAGTTTCTGAAAATAGTTACAAGAATTGCTTACACGATGAAATACAAAACATACCTCACTTAACAAAATGTCCTGACAAGATGAACCCTCAGCTGGAATTAAAAATGTCAGCCCACATCTTGAAGCCTTTCAAGGAAACTCTCATTGATGATATTGCAGCCAAGTCAACACCATTCTTGAAAACTTGTAAGGAAACACTTATAGATGATGTTGATCCTGAGGTGGTAACAACACCAGGTTCTTTGCCAAAAAGAATAGAAACTTTGATTGATGATGTGCCTTACATACCTCATAAAGTCGGCTTACAACATAAACACATTTCCATACTTGATGAAGGTCCTTTACAAACAAGTTCACCAAAGTTAGGTAGACCTAAGTCAAGAGAAAGTCCTTTTAAAAGCTATCACCAAAAACTTGGCAAATCAGAAGAGACCTTGTTAGACATAATGCCATTGGAGCATCAGAACACAAAGATTGTGGCCAAGTCTCAAGAAGAACTGGAAGATTGCAAACAGTTGATGAAAATAACTTTATCTCGGGCTTGTTCACTCGGCCCTCATCACAGAAAGAAGGTTGATATTTCCAGTTCATTAAAGCCTAACATCAAGTCTAAAGAAACAAATATTGATGATGTTTTAGACCAGTACAATTTGTTGATCCATGGTGAATTAACTGGGGGGAATAATTTTTTTATTCCACCTGTCATAGTAGCTTATCCATTAACTTCAGCAACAACAGAGAGTGCTGACTTATCAGATTCAGAAAGACAGAGAATTAACTTTTCTAGAAATCCACCTCAAGCTACCAGGGGAACAAGACCTAGCAGTAATCCTCCTTGGCCCTTTAATCCCCCTCCAAGAGAAGCCAGACCTAGATATCAGAGTGAAGATTTTAGTAATAAAACAGCTTCTGGGGAATCACAGCCTAAGAGGAGATGGACACCTAAACCAAAACGTCAGAGACAAAGCCAGACTCAAGATGAACAGGACATACAAGTTCCGGACTCAAAGGTAGATGACACTAGAGCAAGAGCTACTACAGACAGCCTTGAAAGATCTAAAGAGAAAAATGAAAACTATGATCAAGATCAGGATAATGATGACAGATTACATGATAAAGCAGGCAGTCAAAGGCAACACAGAAGAAGAAATCCAGATGACAGGGAGGACTATGATAAGCGAGGAAAAGATGACAAACATAGGCGACGAGATGATAAATATAGGCAGCAAGAAGATGATGTTAACTACAGGCACAGAGAAGATAAAAGAGAAAAGCACAGAGATGATAGAGAAAGACGCAGGGAAGATGATAGAGATAGACACAGTGAAGATTATAGAGATAGGTACAGAGAAGATAGAGACAGGCACAGAGATAATAAAGCAAGGGAAACAGAGCAAAAAAGTTCAAACAAAATAAATAATGAACCATTAGATTTTGCTCAAGATAAAAAGGAACAAAGGGGCAAAGTCATTGTCAAAAACAGAGGTGAATCTGTCTTTTTACCAAATTTTAGTGATGATGCATCATATGCACAGGACAGAAAAAATGAAACTGAAATTGAGAGGGATATTAAACGCAGTCTGAGTAGTGACAGAAGCAGAAGAGTTGTATATCACAATAGAAGAACAAGGAGTGAAGAGGATGAAGAAGACAGAAGAAATGCTGATGACCCAAGGAGAAAAAGAAGAAGTGATGGTGATAAGTTGAGGGATAGTGAGAGAAGACTAAGAGAGGAGATAGATACTACTCTTGATGAAACAAATGAGGATTTACCTTTTCATCGTTTAAGGCAGGATGAAAGAAGAAGAAAAGGAAGAAGTGCACCAGAGATGAATCAAAGAGTCAGTGGTCGTGTAAATAAAAGGGCAGACAGGGATGATGTGAAACGAGGACACAGAGATGAGAGAAATCCTGAAGCAGATGACTCTAGGGTTAATGATAGTTTTCATAGCTTTACTGAGAAAGGGCCCAAGTATGAAATTCTTGAGCAGTCACCACCGTCTGTTAGACGTGCAGTACCCATTGATACAAATCAACACAGATATTCTCAATCAGGGACCAGTCCAACCAAAGATAGATTACCAGAAGAAACCCGAGTAGAACCTTTGTCACCACAGGAGAAGCTGGCATTTATCCTTAAATCATCTGCTCCCCGTAAGAAAAGAAACACTGAAGATTTGCCCCCTGTTCCTCCAAGAGAACCAGTGGACGAATATGGAGACACTTTATTAGACAAGTCAAAAGGAAACAAACCTTCATTGGATATTGATGAGAAAAAGAGAGAAATCATTACATCTGACCAGCAATATCCAGACAAAACCAAAAAATTACCTCAAGAGTTAACAGTTGAAGATGCTCCTAAGAATTTAGAGAGTGTGGCCTCTCTTAAAAAGGGAAAAAGTAAAGTTTATAAAGACAATTTAGAAAGAGAGCTTGAAGATCAGTATAGTGTAGTTACAAAACCTTTAAAGGCTTATGGATCCAAAGAAAAGAATAGAATAGTAGATCACCCTATAATTGAACCAGAATCTGATCAAATAGCAAACCCTTTTAAAATAGAAAAAAAACTTGATGTCACAGAAAAAGAAAACTTTGATTCAGACAAGAGAAATGTTGAAAAAAACAATAATGGAGATAAAAAATCAGCTGATCAGCCTAGAAAGGAGAAGGAAAGAACATCACATGATAGAAAAAAAGAGAAAGAAATTTCTATGACTGAACCAGAAGAATTTTGTGACAAACATTCAGAAAGTTATATCAACTGTGAAAAATCAAAGAAATTAGACTATAAACCTGTTGAGAAAACTGAATTTAAAAAGCCAGAAAGACCTAAAACATCAAATGTTGATGATGTGGAGGTGAGGAAACTAGATGATGAAGATAGAAAACCTGTTGAACAGCCTAGAAGAGAGAAAGATAGATCATCAAGAGACAGAAAAAAGGAGACAGAAATTTCTGTGACAGAACCTGAAGAAATAAGTGATAAACATTCAGAAAGTTATATCGACCGTGAAAAATCAAAGAAATTAGACTATAAACCTGTTGAGAAAACTGAATTTAAAAAGCCAGAAAGACCTAAAACATCAAATGTTGATGATGTGGAGGTGAGAAAAGTAGATGATGAAGATAGAAAAACTGTTGAACAGCCTAGAAGAGAGAAAGATAGATCATCAAGAGACAGAAAAAAGGAGACAGAAATTTCCATGACAGAACCCGAAGAAATAAGTCATCGACATTCAGAAAATTATATCACTCTTGAAAAATCAAAGAAATTAGACTATAAACCTGTTGAGAAAACTGAATTTAAAAAGCCAGAAAGACCTAAAACATCAAATGTTGATGATGTGGAGGTGAGAAAAGTAGATGATGAAGATAGAAAACCATTTGAACAGCCTAGAAGAGAGAAAGATAGATCATCAAGAGAAAGAAAAAAGGAGACAGAAATTTCCGTGACAGAACCTGAAGAAATAAGTGATAAACATTCAGAAAGTTATATCGACCGTGAAAAATCAAAGAAATTAGACTATAAACCTGTTGAGAAAACTGAATTTAAAAAGCCAGAAAGACCTAAAACATCAAATGTTGATGATGTGGAGGTGAGGAAACTAGATGAAGATAGAAAACCTGTTGAACAGCCTAGAAGAGAGAAAGATAGATCATCAAGAGACAGAAAAAAGGAGACAGAAATTTCCGTGACAGAACCTGAAGAATTTAACAATTTAGAAAGTTACATAAGCCGTGACAATTCAAAGAAATTAGAAAATAGACCTGTTGAGAAAACTGAATTCAAAAAGCCAGAAAGACCTAAAACATCAAATGTTGATGATGTGGCGGTGAGGAAACAAGATGATGAGGATAGAAAACATGTTGAACAGCCTAGAAGAGAGAAAGATAGATCATCAAGAGACAGAAAAAAAGAGAAAGAAATTTCCATGCCAGAACCTGAAGTATTAAGTGACAAAAAATATGAAAAACCAAGAAGATCTTACCAGAGAAAACCTAGTGTCGACTATGAAGAAGAGGGGAGAAAACCAGATCATTCATCTTTCAAAGAGGACAAGATAGCCCCAAGGAAGAAAAGAAACGATGCACCTGCTGATGAGGTTCCTCTTAATAATCCCAAAGCTGGTGATTTAGATTTACCTGTAAAAAGAGAAAGGAAACAAAATAGGAAATATGATTATGAACAGCCAACTGAAGAGTCAAAACCAGGAAGAAAAGATGATTTTGATGACAAGAAAACTCATATAAAACCATTGCCTTATGAAGATACAGTGAAAAAAGCTGATAAACAGGAGCTTGAACCTTATCTCTATGCCAGGGGTAGAAGAAGTGGCCGAATACCAAAGAGAACAGCAAAAGTTGAAGAGCCAAAAAAAGAAGAGGATTCAGATGAGCAGCAAAATGACCTTGGTGAACTTTTGGCGGAGAATCCAATTGAACTTACTATTGATGACAACAATAACAATGATAGCAATGATGAAGAACAACCTACGCCTGTCAAAAAGAATATCTTAAGTATTTTTAGTTGTGTTGGTGGAAAAAGCTCGGATGGATTAAAAAAGAAATCAAAATCTCCTTTAAATAAAAGCAAAGGTTATTATGAGGAGGGTGAAAAAAGAAAAATTAAAAAATTAAACAAAGAAAAAGAAAAAGAAGAAAAAACAAAAATGTATTTTGAAGAACCTGAAGGCCTAGAAAGTGTATTACCCTCAAGCGAACTTTCAGAAACACCAGATGCTGAGTCAGCCAAGGAGGAAATACCAGAACTACCATTTGTTCCACTTACAGAATTAAGTCATGAGCCTCGACAGAGTGGGAGGAGATATCAGAAAAAGGTGAAACCTTTTGAAGTTCACAAGCCACTCTCATTTGTTGATCCAGTACTGATGGCTGATGCATTTGTTGATGAAGACTCTGATGAAGATAATTCTCTTCCTCCTTTAGGGACTTTTAAAAGATGGAATGAGGATAATGTTCAAGAACCAAAATTGTCAAGTTTTATGTCTGCTAAAAGAGATGAAAACAAATTCAACAGTTTTCAGAGGTTTGGATTTGGGAGGAGAAATATCATGCCACACAGTGAAGCAAAAGGTGATGTTAGTAGCACTGTTGTGCCAGCAATGGATAGGGATAAAGAAGAAGCAGTGCCTAAAGATATTGGTGAAAATGATGTAGAGGACTCCTTTGATTTCTCTTTCATGTCATCTGATCCAGAAGCTGATATTACTGCTACAGAGACTGAACCTATAAAATTAAAAGGTGGTTCTTCTGATCCAAGCAAGTACATGAAAAATAAAAATAAAGTAGAAATAGTGGATGTTATTCCTGATCATGTATTTGAGAAAAATGAAAACATATCTCCTGCTGAAATGGATTCTTTTCCACCCTCTATTGAACGCCCTGCATCAAAAATTGTTGAGACTGATTCTTTTAAAGTGAATGGAATTGACAGTACTAATGAAATAACAATAAATATTGAGGCTCCTACTCCTGAGTCAACTTTAACAGGAGATATCTCCTATAATGCAGTTAATTATCATTCTCACCAACCTTATACTAATGATTTTGACTCTAGCTATGAGCATCATGACGCTGATGTGCTCAACACTTCAGCACCAGCTTACATGTATGCTGACAGGCATGACAGTGACTCAGAGAAAAACTTGTTTGCTCCTTCTCATGTGTTTGATTCATCATTTGACTCGCCTGATATGTTGTATCGTCGTAAACACAGAACTGTTTCATTTGATGAAAGGATTACTGGCAGTCATTCATATCATGATGCTGCATCAAGACCTCCTGATACCTTATCTTTAATATCTGAACCCGTAACTTCACGACCTAGGTCCAGCTCAGCCACCTCGAATCCTTTGACATATGAACCATGGCGTGTTAAAGCGTATAATAAGAATAGATGTTCTCTGTCTGTTAGTGATATGTTGTATGGTAAAGGAAGTTCACGCCCTCATAAGTGCCATTCCATTGGAGAAATATACAATAGCACTGTTGCTAGTAGTGTAGCTCGCCGAAGAGCTAAAACTCTTGTATCTGGAGACATAGTCTCCCGTATGTATCAGCCAAGGCAACGTAGTCGGTCTCGTGCCTTGCTAGGGGATGCCTCGTTTGGTTCTGTTGCCCCCATCAGGCAGCGATCCTTCTCCGGCTTTGACCATGCCAACTCATCAGGCTCTGGCGGTAACATTTTTAAAAATTACCCTTTGATATGCATGCTTGCGCTAGAGAGCGCAACTCTACAGCTGCTAAAATTTAATTCTGGACTATAACATTCTATTCTGCTATCTAACATTTATAAAAGCTGGGGAAAGATGTATTTTAACAGTCATTATATTGTCAAGTTGTAGACTCAATGTCAGATGTAACACCATTGTAAAGTAATTATTTATAGAAACTAAATTGTTTCCTACTGACTTCTAGTGACCCCGCCCTTAGATTGGAACTTAATTCAGGGCAGTTTGAAAAATACTTTAATTGAAGTATAAAATGTCCAGGTTGTTAAACTGTCAAGCTTTTTAATCATTTAACAAGATATCTTTTAATTTGAAGGGTCTTTGAACTCACATTTTTGTGCTGTATGGGCGGTGTCACAATTGACTCCATTTATTTCATTGTAATAAAAAAAAAACTAATAATCCTTCCTTTTGCAATTAAAAATCAAAATACCTCAGTCCCTGGTTATTTATACATATTAAATATTTTACATATTCTATATAGTAGAATAACCTTAGTTTGAATATCATTTTCTAGTTAAGCTAAGAGTGGTTGCTAGTAAAAAAAATTACATCACTCTTTAATAATCACTCTTTTAATTTAATTTTACAAACTAAATAGCAAAAAATACTATCATGTCAACTAACAAATGTAGTTGTTGTCAAAATTTAGAAAATAAATATTTTGTATTTTAACAAATTATTTATAAACATTTATAGTACATTTGTAAGCAAGCCTTTTTATCTATTTTTCTTAAACCACTTTGCTTTATTCCATTTGTGAAATTGATAAAAAAAATTATTCAGGCTTAAGAAGATAGCTTCTACCATAAATTTAACCTGTTATGTATTTTCACATTGCTTCAGGTGCTGAATGTATTAACAAAATCTGGGGTAGTTGGGCAAAGCTTTTGAAATAAGATGCATTAAACGATGATGTAAAAAGAAAGGAATATTTGTAAGATCTTATCTGGCCACCCATGTTACACCAGCCCTTGGTTCTTATAATAGTATACACATATTCACCTGGATTGTTCACCTGTTATGGCACTGGGTCTGCAATGTTTGTTATTATAATCATGACAGCAGCATCAATAATTGGGTAGAGATTAAATGTTCACATTAAATTCTTTTTTAAACTAATAACTAACTTTCTTTTAACAGTCCTCAAGTTTACTATGCCAGCAGGGTGTTAATACTTATTAAGAGTTACTGTTTTTTTTAATATGTACGGTTAAGTGCTAGTTTCAAATATTATATTAAATTACAAAGTAACTGTATTTGTTCTGTTTTAACTGATGCTGTCTCATCCTTATACATGTTCTGGTATTAGATGTCTTTATACACTTTTATATAGGTTAATAAAACTTAAAATACAATCTAAATTGTATAAAAATAAATTGAAAATTTTATTCCTTCCAAAGTCGTACCTAAAAATATAATACTAGATTTTTGCATTGTTAAAATATTTGGTAATAATTTTTTAAATAAACTTAAATGTCCAGATGCTAAATGAAAAACAAAATAAATCTATCCACTACTGATGTGTGCATACATTTACATCTATATATATATATATATATATATACTTACTATATAAATGTGTATATAAACAAACATGTTCATAAATGTGTGTGTGAGTATATACATATATATCAATTTATTTCAAAATTAAGAATACATGTTACGTTTATAGCTGGCACAGTTTTTGCAATTTCTGCATCTTGGTTTTGCATTGTTTGTTCACTGTTTAGTATTTTAGTATTATGTGCACATTGGTTTGCATTTTGCATGTTTTGACAGAACCAACTGGTATCAAAAGGTCAGAATCTGAAAGACAGCCTAGTAAAAAACCACAACGTAAGTTGTAGCAGATAATGTTATACTGATATCACTTATTGTAAATTTCAAAGCATGACTTAAAATAAAATAACCTAATTTTAATATACCAGTTGAAGACAGCTTTTCTATTGATCAAAATTTTATTTTTAGTTCATTATTTTACTTTTTTCTTGACATTTGCATGAATTGTTTTGTTATGTTTGCTTTTATTTGCCTTTGTTGTAAAGTGGTAGTTCAGGATGACCGTAAAAATGTTGAAAGGTCTAAATCTGACAGACGGCAACAAAGTAAGTTTATTCAATGTAGACCACTTTGCTGTAATTTTATAACCGTATGGCTCTGAATGACACCTTTTTTAAAACATAGTTCATTAAGTACAATTATAAGTTTAAGAAAGTGTTTTTAGTTGTTGTTTAATAACTTTATATAACTGTTTACTTAATGTTACATTTCAATAATCTAACATAGCTAAATTGAGTTGAATGTTGGTAAAAACTTTCCAGTTTTACTGGAATAATGTAACACTATGCATACTACATGAACTGTATATAAATGGTTTATATTTTTTGTTACATTTTTAATTTATTGAATTATATCTACAGAAACATTCTGATGTTATGAAAACTTTTTCCCCAGAAACTCTAGGTGATGCTAAACCTGCTTCTCCATCCAAATCTGATACTCTGCGATCAACAGACAGTGCAAGTGGTGGGGAGACGTTAGAAGAAAGGAGCAGCAAAGAGGTATTGTTTTTTCATATTGAAATCAAATTCATTCAGTGGAACTACAACAGAAATTGGTTACTAAATTTGAATTTAATATTTTAGGGATCACCTACCAAGGAGCATCCATCTCCAACTAAGGAGAAAAAGAAAAAGAAGAAATTCCGCATCCCATCTTTTTCCAAGAAAAAAAGCAAAGAACATAAAGAGAGTGCAATGTAGAGCTTCTACTTGGTGTAGTCTACTTTATTAAATTGAGCTGTGCTGGCCATAATCATCTGGATTTCTCTTTCTTGTTTTTACACTACTTTGGATGCATAGCTTGCCTTATTTTTACTCAGCAGATGGTTAATATCAGTACAAACCAAATATATGGAATTAGCAGAAACATTCATAAACCTGTCATGTACTGTAAAACATGGAATGGTTATCTATTTGTAAGTTTTGTTACAAACATAATTTTACTTGTATTTTGTACCTTGTATTTCTGTTGATGCTAGTTCAAAAAATAAAATAAAAACATATTTAAATGACATAGTAAGCTTTTTATTTCCACTTAACATCCTAGCTTAATTTAGCATTTGAGGGATTTGTGTGATAAAAAAGATGGCTGTTGATATGTGAATTGCCCCATATGTATGTAATGTTTATTTGTTTAATAGGAATTTTTTTAATTCAATAAGTATGCAAACAAAAGGATAAAATAAAGTATGATTGACATGTTCATTATTCTGAGGGCAGAAAAGGGTAACTAATGCTTATTTGAATTTAGTTGTTTGGCATATTTGTAGTAATTAGATTTGCTTATCTTACAAGCTTGTAAAACATCAGTTTTAAACAGTAGTATTCTATTTTCATAGCATTTTGTTATAAAGTTTATCCATCTAACTGTAAATATACGCAATGTCTATATTTAATTAGAAAAGAATAACACTATCTTTTTATATTTAAGTAAGTTTATCACAACTCTAAATTTAGTAAATACATGTTATTAAAGGTCAATACTTTTTATCTTTGAATATATTTATTAATCAACAGAATTTTTAAATGTTTTTTAATGTTTGCATTTAAATAAAATAAAAAAATCACTAATCACACATTTAACTAAAAGAAATGCAATTGTTCTGTCAGAAAATCTTGCACTATTTGTTCACTGAGGTTACTGCTCTTTTTTTAGTGTAGGCACAGTGATAATAATTATTGTGTGATTATTTTTAAAATTTGATTTTTGTGCTTTACTTAAAACATTTGTAAAAGACATATTTTTACCCAAAAATCAATATGGTATGACCAATTAATTATACTATTTGCTCATTTGTTTCATATAGGATGTTGGCTTAAATTTGCTGTTTGCTAATAGCTATAATTATATTAGGTACATAAGCAAAAAAGGATCAATTGTATATTTCAAAATTAACTAAAGTTTTTGTACAAGTTACATTCTTAATGAATCATGGTGTGTATGTATGTAATGAATTAACTACATTTGAATAATTTTTTGCTACAACTCAGAATTTTGTTGGATATGTGACAGGCTGTAATTTACACATTTTATACCCAATAAGCAGTTGGGAATTTAATATTCTATTTTTTGTGGGGGCATTTGTGTAAAGTTTGGAAGTATACAAACCGAACTTTAGTATGTGAAAGCCTCCAAACATTGCTTTTTTTTTAGTCAGAAGCTTTTCATTGATTTTTTAAGCTTAAGAGTTGGATTATTAGCCTAAAAATGGAATGTACATAGTATTCAATTTTCCCTGTATAGATCTGTATTTATGTATTGCTAGAATTCATTTTTGGTGCTGTTTAAATTTTCTAAGATGAAAAATTATGGTTGTATTTTTTTCTAGAGCTTCTCCCACTTTTTAAAAACCTCGGCATGTATGTGTATTAGCATTGAAATTACTTTTTTAATGGAATTGTTATATTTTGCGTTAAGTCCTGTACAATATGAATCTGTCATTTTTCTGATATTTTTTTTTATTCAAGTCCAGTTTGTTTTCTATGATAAAACATATAGTACTACAATAACATAAGTACAATATATGAAAAGTGGTAAATGGGTATAGTTATACTTAACCCATCACATATATTATTCAATTTATATCCGTATTAATATTTAATATATCGACTTAGCAACATGTAATATTTAGACAGAAATTTCTTTAAGGGAATTGCAATTAATCATGGCAATAATTTGGATTCCAGTTTAGATCCAGTAACATTTTTTCTACAGTAGGCAATATTTTTTTGAACAGTTTCTGTTTGAATTGTTATAAAAAAATATTTTAAGTTTTGCTATTTTTTAATTTTATTTTATGAGCACATACTAAACCTTATTTATATAACACGATTCTTCAATCACCTGTTATAGATTCATAAATCACATGCTTTAAATGTAAACTGCTTTTTATGTCAAGCATTCTGTTTTGGCAAATCTACTTGAAGTCAATTAGTGTAACTTTAGAGATAAAACATTGGGTTTGTGTGGTCCATTTTTCTGTCTGCTAAACATTGTAATAAACAAGAAGAATTTACACCCTGTTCTTTTCCTAGTGTTTATTTAAAACATCCTACCTTTTCAAATCATTTGTATATAATCATCTCTGATAATTAGCTTAGCCATTCTTGCAGATTTTTTACATCAATTACACAGCACAGGGTTATTTAAGTTTTAATCAAGATAATGTTTTCCTTGTTCAGTATTGTATTGTTTACGATCATGGGTTAATCTGCTGGATATTAAAATTATTTCTACACAACAGGCAAAAATGTAAAAAAGTTATTTAAAATCCTTTAAAGAATGCTTAATGCAGACAAATGTGCATGCCATTTAAATATAATTTTGTTATACTTTAACACTAGCTCAGATGGGTTACACACTGTTACTTTTGCTCATAAGAAAATTTTTAGTATTCAATAAATGTTTTAACTACTTTTAAGTGCATAATTTATTTTAGCAGCAGCCCAGTTTTTTCTTGATTTTGCTATTTTAGGTTGTGTCATTATTAACATAAGGCTAATTAAATTTTAAACATGCTCCTTAAAATTCAATTGTTTAAGTATACATTTTTTTTTACCATTTAAAATTGGTATTTGTGGATACACTTGCCTATGATAGGTCAGCAATGTTTTGAGCTGTCATTCTAGTTGACTTTAAGGATGAAGTAAATGATTCAAATTTGCACATTACTTCAGCCATTTAGCCTTGACTGGTGAGTCACACAAGCTTTTAGTCAATCTGTAATGCTGTGTCTAATAAACTTTTCAAATTAAAAAAAAAAACAACCTACGACTGTTGATTACTGTGTTTTAAAGATAACAATTCATAGTCTGTGGTCCACAATCTTTATTTTAAATCAGGCAGGTGTTTACAAGTTTAAAATTAAATACATAAAACAATATCAATTATGCAGAATGAAAGACTTCAACTTCAGTGAAATTACATGAAAACAATTGCATATTTTTTAAGGCAAAAAATTACAAAATTTCTATGTCCAGAAGCCTTTACAGAAATTTAATGTGAGAAGTGTTTTATTATGAACTGTTCTTTATCAGTTTGCTGGTGAACAAAGCTTTCATAAAACTCATTGTAATACAATACTTAATCATTTGTTAAAGCAAGTCAATAGTTTCATTTAACTACTTCACTACCCGTAGATCATAGTTGCACATTGCATAGTCTAGTGTTTCTGTGATTTAACTTGTCAGTATTTGGGACTTTCACTTTAGTCATCATGTTAGCTCTGTACTTAAGTAATATACATTTTTAAAAACAACAAATCAAACCAGCTATCAACTACTACAAGAGGCACATAAATGTTTCTTGGGTGTTTTTCTCACATGTACAGCATCATTGTTATCTAAAAAAATAAAAAGAGAGAAAATTTAGGTAGCTGGTAAGATAAGTTTTTCACAGCTTTTTATATTTACTAGTTTATGCTTGTATTAGTAGAAAGAAATATAAAATTTCGCTAGTATTGGTAGAAAGAAATATAAAATTTCACATTGAAGGGTGATTTCAATGGTGTCAGCTGCCTATTTTCCCCTAATTAGTGCATCCAATGGTTACATAGACCACACTATACCATTTAGACAACAATCAAAGGAAAAGTTCACATTTTCATTGAAATTACAGCATTTTAAAACTGCACTGCCACTCTTTACAATTATCTTAATTCACAGAGACTTACTAAGTTGTAGTGGAAATGTGATGGACTCTATAAACTACACCTGACATTACATGTTAAAAATCTATATTTCAGGCACACTGTAATATTTACCTTGATTTAGAGTGGACGCCTTCACAGCTAAATAATCATCAGCAATTTTTATAAACATTTTTTCTGAAAATGCAAATCATATGATAACCAAGAATATGCATCAAAGCATGAACTACTTTAAAAATGTTTTTTGAGTTAGAAAAAAAATGTGAGATCTGTTTACATCTAGAGGTACTTTTAAATAAAAATCAAGACTATTTTAATTAACTTTCATCCAGTTAATTTGATATAGATATATTTAGCAAGAAGAAATTTTAGAAAATTTCTTGTAATTGTAACTGTACCTATTTCAACAATTTAAATTATGTACCAGTTATGCTAGTGGTTTTCAAACAAATGTACAAAATATATTGTATGTAAAGAAAGCAATTTGAATTTTCAAGAGAGGCACATAAAAATGTGAAAAGTGCTTATGTGTTAACTTACCAATATCTTTGCCTGACTTGCTAGAGGTTTCATAGACTTCACCTCTTACGTCTAGTCAAAACAAAAATAAACTTAATTGACAATAATCTGTAAACTAGCAGTACAGTTAAATTCTAACTGAATAAAAAGTTTTAAATCAAAGCCCTTTTAATAACCAGCAGCAAGTGGCATGTTGTATAATGCAATTCTTTAGATAATATTGAGTAAACTTACCTAGAGCTAGGGCTTTAGCTTCTTTCTCGTCTACTGTGCGCAAATCTGGATTCTCCTCAACAATGTCATACTTAGTTCCACAAAGATAAATTTGACAGCCCTTAGAAGTAAAAATCTTAATAAAATATGGATATGTGTGTTATTAAAACTAATTATCCAGGTGCTTTTTGAGAGCCAGACATTTCCAAAAGCCAAACTGCCTGAATGTCAAGTGTTAAAAAAATGTTTATCATTATTTGAACCAAATTGTAACTTATTTGATTTTTTTATAACAAAATTTTTCACCAGCTACATACATGAATAAAATAACCTTTCTTGATACAGCAATCAATGCTACAAAAGAATGAATTTAAATAATTCTTTTAAAGCTTAACACTTTATGCGTAAGTTTGCTATTTAAAAAATTAGTAAATCTTTATAATTTAAAAAAAAAAGTTCTAAAAAAAATTGTTTTAGGTAATTTTGGTCAATGTCTTAGAGCAATCAACAACCTGTATAAGTAATTATTCAAGTTAACTTATTGGTTGCAACATTTTGCTTTCATTAAAGAAGTGAAATAATAAAATATTAAAAGAGAGGTACTTATCTTTTCACCATTGTTTACCAATAAGAAATGTAAACACTTTAATGTGGACCAAATTTGTGTTACACGATTTGCAACAAAACCCACAGAAAGACATTGAGACCTATGTAAAAACTTAATATAAAGAAAAGCAACTAACTTCTTCATGCTTCTGTAATTCACCTATCCAAAATCTAGCTCTGTCAAAACTTGATTTATCTGTAAGGTCATAACAAACAATAGCAGCTCTGGCCCCTCTATAGTAGATCCTGCTCATAGCTTCATATCTTTCACTACCTGCTGTGTCCTGGAAAATTTATAAAGACTATATATTTTTACAGTTATAATTATTTGGAAAAAAATAATTCATAAAATAGTTATTAGTCAAAACGCCATGTGCTTTACTACACGCTGAACGATATCAGTGACAAAGCAAAGAAATAACTAAATGGCTAAAAATCCGAGAGTAAAAAATTAATTTAGTTTGGTGTAACCTTACTAAAGCTATATGCTGGTAAGACTCGAAATAAAAGACTGGGGCTCAAAGACAAAAATTGAACATATTATGTTATAAAATGCACACCTATCAATGAACTCCTTATGAAAGCGAATTTATTTTCCATAAGTCAGCACTCAGACTTTTATTTACAGTTATACAAGCATTTAGATTTTGTAAGGTTACACCAAACTAAATTTATTTTTAACCTTTTAGTAATTTTTTCATTTGTGATTTTTTTTTTGTGATTTGTGAATATCATAAAGTCTTTTTCCTTGAGATTTTTTAATTGTGAGATTTATTTAGTCATTTGTCCCAAATGAAGTTGATACTACATAAGATTAAAAATGTTTTTGTTAAAATCCGTCCAGAAGCTTGTGATCTATAAAATTGAGTTACCTGTCCTTAATTAGTTCGCTGTGGACAAAATCAGCCAACCATTAACTGAAAAGAGTTCACCCTCAATGGCCCTCTGGTCAAGCTATTGCTAGTATTTTTTCTTGTTATCTCCCCTTTTATTAATGAATATAGTAATATTTAAATTACATTGAAATGACTAATTGTCTATGTTAGATTAAATAATCAATATTCTTGCATTGTCATCTATGATGTAACACTATGCGAAAGTTCAGGTAAATCAGACATGGGGAAGTGGGTTAAATTAAGATTCCAAGATTTGCGAGTCACATACACACAAACATACTGAGCAAGCTAAATAAAAGCCTGTAATTAGAAAAGTGGTTACAGAATACACTAGCATTGTGCACATTCAATTTTGTCTATACCATTTTTTAAAAAGCAGGATAAGAGGGTGAACTAAAAAAACCTGTGGACTTAAGCAACAACAATTTACCATTTCAATCAATGAGCTGTTATCACATAATAAAATACACTGTTGATATGTCTTACCCATATTCCTATAATAACATTTTTATTTCTTGTTGTTACTGTCTTTGCTCCAAAAGCAGCACCAATAGTCTTTGAAAAAAACAATTAATGAATAATTAAGAATAAAGCAAACTTCTGTGTATTTTAAATTCTAAAACTTTAATGCAGTTTAAATTTAATAAAAAATAATACATTTTGGTATGGCACAGTATCCCCCAGAAATCTGTTATGAATGTAGCGTTCAACAAGGCTTGTTTTACCAGCATACGCTTTTCCTAGGAGGACAACTTTGCAGTCCACCTTCCCTCCACTCATCTTTTATTCTTTAATTAATTGCATCCGAAATTGAAAGACTGAAAAAAATTTTTCATGCGTACTTGAAAATTTGATCCACGAAATTTAATGTAACATCTGCATTAAATTTCGTGTATCTTGGTTATTGGGATGCGATTTGCTTGCACTACCGTCGATATGCCTCAGAGTACGTTGTATAAAAAAGTACAGTGTACGTTGATCACCCTCTCTAATGGTGAGGTATAACATCACTCAGCACTGGCCAGGTGTTAGGGGCATTGCAGGGAGCCACAGGTTACACTACTGCACAGGGTGGCTGATGTCACCCTTGGTATTTTTAGTCTTCAGTGTAAGTCTTTGTCATAAAAAAATGTAGTGGCCATATGATCCATATTTCCTTTTATAACTCATATTTTTAGGATATAATACTAAAAATGTGGCATTTTACTACCAACTTTAGTAAAATAAAGTACCTTTTCAAACCTGACGGTCTATAAACTATAAGGCAAGTGAAGTAGAGTTCACTTGTTTCTGTGACCTCGGCATATGAAGAGATAGTGTGGTCAGCACTATGCCCAGCCGTCTTTACTTTCCCTAAAGTGAGTTAGGTACCCATCAGTGTTGGGTGGACTCAGGGACGGTCTACTGACTTGAACCCGAATTTGAACTCGAGACTAACGGGTTAGCAGTCCAGCTCTCTACCGCTAGACCACTCCGCCCATTACCTACTCTTCTATATAGACAAATATAAATATATATATTAGGCCTAATTAATTATTACTAATTAGGGGGCCTAATAACACATTTTATTTGGCCTATTACTATATATTTCACTAGGCCTATACGCTTTTAAGTACATAAATATAATTATTAATTAATTATAATTTTTAGCTTAGGATTAATTTTTACTAGATCAAATTTAAATAATTTAGCCTAATTTAAATTATGTTTAGCCTAAAGATAGAAAGTTTGGTAATCTATCGTTTTGGGTACGTAAAATCGCCCACGACTTGTAATGTGAAAAACAGGTGACTCCTTAAATTTTAATAATTATTTCACATTTTGAGGAGGATTTATGTTTTTTAAAATACAAAAAAGTTTCCTTGTTTCATTTATGTACCTGTTTTCAAACAATTGAATTAAAACTTTTCCGTAATAAATGAAGACTAGTGATGTTTCTAACAGATGCAACCATGCTCTTTTACTATAGCAGCCATCTTGTTTAAGTTTTATTTTTATAAGCTTATAGCGCGAGATTCAGGGGGAAGCCACTCTATTTTACAAATGGCTGCTGTTTATATAGCAAATCTTGCTCTCAGACACTGCTGTTTAAAGTTAATTTCTGGCCAATATCGATATATTTACTTTATTTAGCCATTGATTTAGGTTTATTTTTCATTTATCTATAATATTTGACACAAACATATGACAATATACTTCTATTAAAGCCTTGACAATAAGGTAACGTTTTTGTACATTAATAGCCGCGGACGATTTCATGTACCCAAAACGATAGATTACCGAAAGTTTAGAATAAGAAAAAGTTAACCTTTTTCTAGATTCTCCTTCTTAGCTTAAACGGCCTTAAAGTTTAAAACTTAGGCAGAAGGCTTATTAGATTTTAGGGATGATTATACCGGTGTCCGATAATTAAATCTTCTTTAAAAAAGGGGTGTCGGGTTGTTAGTAGTATTGTAATCTCGACTAATTTTATTGTTAGAAATTAGTGAAATTAGGGTTAGGTCAGTATGTAGCATTAGAACAAAGGGAGATAATTTTCATACAAAAACCTGCCCAGAGCTCTTGACTGATTTTTCAAATTTTGTTTTTACCACTGTCTCTTATTAATTTTAAATTAATATCATATTAATTTCCAATACACAAAGCAACTACATTTTCACAATCTACTGAGGTTCAGTTATAGCTCATGCAATTGCTTTTCATTTTCTTTCATTTTTGCCTATAAAAAAATTGATTTGAAAACAATATATGCTCTAAATCAACTTTATTTTAATATATAAACACTTGCCTGCACACAAAACTATGCAAAATCAGTAAAATAAACCACGCGTGGTTCTTATTTTATAAAGAAATTGTGATAGAATTTTACAAATACATTTTTTATGAATTTTTTAAGATTTGGACCTTTATCAGCCATGTTGTTTTTTCCTATATAATTAGTCATAGTAAAAATGTACATTTTTAAAAATAAGGCATAACATCAAACAGAAACAAGCCTGCACAATTATTAATGCAAATTTACATAAAGGAAACACCCCTGATTCATAATTTATCATTAGAATTCAAAAAAATTTTGCAAACATATTTTATAAAATTTTCATTTTTGTTTCCCACTAGAAAGTTTCATTTTTTTACAGAGATTATCTATATATATATAATTCTCTTCTGAGAGCCGTTAGAAAACAAGCTGCAAGCGAACGCCTTGCAGTCCCCTCTCTTCCTCTCTATCGCTACCATCCCCCCCAACCCCCCCCCCCCCCCCCTCACATGGTCAGGTGAGTTGTAGTTCACGCTGTTTACATTTTACAATCGGGTTTGGTGACGGCTATTAGGGGCAGATAATTCAGTTTGAAACTATTTTAAACTTAGAGGAGGTAACTAAGAGGAAGCTGCTTTCACGGGGGGGGGGGGGGGGGGGGGGAATGGGGGTTTAGTGTTTTAAAGCAAATATTTTCAGTGGCAGCATTGGTACTGTCGAATTCACAAATTATGAATTACTGAAAAGTAGAAAAAACAACTAAATAGCGGTGTATGATACACCGCGGGTCGGCTCGTATATTATATAAGACCATACATTTTAAACAGAAAAAAAAATTATTTCTCCTCTCCTGTTGAAGCTAGAAATATAAATTTGGTACCAATGAAATTCTTATCTTAATCCTTCCACTAACTAACTCATATGATTTTAAGATTAAATACTCAAAAATTAATTTTGAATGCTACAACCAGGGTTGAGGTTAGGAACAGGGTTAGCATTTACATTAGCCAGCCCTGTGTGTATTTAGTTAACTACCAGTAACCTATAACCCCTTTTTTAAAGAAGATTCCATTATCGGACACCATTGTGTAAAGTGTAAAGTAAACTACATCTCCCGATTTTAGATTACGATTTGGCTTAGATTACGGCTTAGAATAATTTTTAGAATCTTTAACTTTAGTAGATTCTAGATCTAGACTAGATCTAGTCGTATTACTAGCTGTTATTTTTTACATTTAAATTAATGTGCTCAAACGATGATGATATGGACTAAAATGACTAAAATAAATTACTTTTGTTTGGTTGTTTCTAAAAGAGAGACAACAGAAAATAAATATTTTGGTCATTTGATGAATTTTGGTCACACTAATTGTCGAAAGCCGCCCGCTTCAGATACACTGGGCGACAAATTAATCATTTAAAAGTAAAAACAAACATGCCTGCTTTAGATCAATTTATTTATTTATTCAATTTATTTATTTATTCAATTACGGTGACAATAGTAGACACGAAGGCCTTTTTTTTTCACATTGGCCGTTTTAAAATAAACTAATAAAACAACAATTCAATAACAGCAATTGCATTAGATCTAGATCTAAATGCATTTTAAATCATATACTAAGTTTTCATATATAGGCCTATATATATATATATATATATATATATATATATATATATGTATATATATATATATATATATATATATATATATATATATATATATATATATATATATATATATATATATATATATATATCTGTGGCGTAGCGAGGTCGGGTATCACCCGATGCGGCACTTAATGGTGTCACCCCCCAGAGGCGTAGCGACCCTTCCTGGGGACAAACTTTCAAATTTTTTATTTGCACCCCCCTCAGACTTTCGATTTGTACCCCCCTCAAGTTTTTCTCTATACATTTTGCTATTTTTTGCCTCCCCCCCCTCAAGTTTTCGATTTGCACCCCCTCAAGTTTTCGTTCCCCCCCCCCGCCTCAAACTTTCGATTTGCACCCCCCCCCAAGTTTTTCTCTATATATTTTGCTATTTTTTGCCTCGATGTCACCCCCCTAAATGGTGTCACCCGGTGCGGTCCGCACCCCCGCCCCCTCGCTACGCCTCTGATATATATACAGGTAACAAAAAAAAAAAAGAACGCATCTTCAACGACATAATGAATAATGCGGACATGATCATAGGTCGATTGGTCATCGATGACCTGCTCACGATATTAAAAAACATACAAACAACATTTTAAGTATATCTAGATCTAGTAAAATGCTGAAAAATACAAAGTTTTCAAGGTTTGAAAAAAATCATACTTTAATATAATTATGTTTATAAGGCACGGTGCTTGGCGAAAGAAAAGAAACTAAGATATTCGAGAATAATTACTGAAAATAGCTAAGGACAGAGAGGAAGGTGATTAAGAGAGACATTTATAGCACCACAACAGTCCATCAGACCAATTTGAAGAACATGAGAATTACTGAGTAATTGCTCAATTACTATTTTATTTTAGAGCGAAATAAATTAAAATTTAAAGAAATTACTTTTTTTTTGACAATTGCTTGAGGATATAAAAAAAAAACTCAACGTGATGTTATGACCCATATCGTATCATTTGATACAATATTTTAGATTTTTTTGTTACAAGATTGTTGCAATCGAATTCACCCCCCTCCCCAGAGTATTAAGTTTATGAGATGTTTGGTTTTTAGGACTCGGGCATTTGTTTTTGGCAGTTAGTTTTATAGTTTTATCGTTACTTTTTTAATTTATAAAACTTGAACTTGTTATATTATTATCGATTACCAACATATGAATTAAAATCGATACATTTTTTTTTTCATTTATTTAAAAAGCTAGGCTATTATATAAAAACACGCCTAGATCTATAAGTAAATGCATAAATTAATATAAAGTTGTTTAAAATCAAAACGGAAATTTAAAAATCAATGCTGACTAAATCTAAATAAATCTAATAGGGTCTACAAATAGTTTAGATTTAATATACTTTTTAGTTATTTGAAAGAAAAAAGTAACGATAACACAAAATTAGCGAAGAGCATTTATAAGTTAAATTTACTTGTCTATTTACTACTATTAATTATTAATAAGTATTTAGATCTAGATCTATATTACCTAAACATTAAAGAACCTGAATCTAGATTTATATCTACACTAATTCTAAACCCAGTCTAATTTTTATGGTAAGATTTATTTCTTAAAAAAGATAGACCAAACCCCATCTTTCTATATTCTATTTCTATCAATCACTATTGCCATCTAGATCTAGATCTAAATTAAATTCAAGTAGGCTGTTTGATGAGAATTACAGAATGATTTTTTTATTAAAAATGTATCAATAATAGCTAGAACACTAGTAAACTAAGCTAATTTAGCATATTTTAACTTTCTGTGCAAAGTCATTATTACTGAAAAAAATTCCAAAGTCTAGCTAGTCTCATAACGCGAGTTGAATTACCTCCCCTGACCCGCTTTTTTATGGCCACTTTCTAGTTCGTTTTTTTCGATCGCGTCTCGGCACTGTTGCTAAAAATAGCATTCGCGCAATACCATACGGGTAAATCTGTTTGGCGTCTGCTACACGTGATAGATCGTTGAATGGCCGACAAGCTGATATAAAAATTATTGCGACCGGATGCGATTTTCGTGGAAATTGAGCTAGATTTAGCAAAAGACAGCTATATTTGTGTAAAATATTATTATTTATACTTCTACTTACACAGATATTTTGATAACTGCAGTTCAGCCGTCCATTTTTCTTTTAAAATGTATCTTTAGAATTTCTGTACCTTTTGGCAATCGGTCAGGAGCATTTGCGCACTAAACCCACCCCCCTACGGCAGATCCGATTTTTTCCCCAGTGAACTCGTACTGACCTCCCACAGCTAAGATAGTACATTGATACTGATGGGAAAGCCTCTATATCTGTATTCCTACTAGAGATCTAGAAATAAATATAGATCGTGGAGTTTTTATAATGACTTTTAAATTGAATGTCTCCAGTTTAAGATATTTTTTTTCCAAAACATAGCTACTTTTAGTACTATATTTAAGTATTTCAAACCCTTTTGGTAGTTTTTTCTTAAACTTAGACCTAGATCTAGTTAGTGATTAGATATCTATATTTTGTACTTATAACTTGCAGGCCTATTAAAATAATAATAAAACAGTTTGCTTGATAACTTCATTAGGTCATTTCATAAACACAAATGTTATAAACATATAAAAATCACAAAACCATAGGTAATATCTGAATTCTGTAGCCTACCTTACATTTAGGCTAATACTGAATTAAAAAGAAATTACATTAAGGTTTGAAATTAATACAACTTGTAATTAAGAAAGAAAGCTTCAATTCTAAATACTACAAGATATAATAACAAACAATGAAACTAATTCAAAGCTTTTTTCAACCCATTTAGTCGAAAAGATTTTTATTTTTTCCGATATTGACCAAAATAAGTTTTTAAAGCTTAGGCCTACTATTTTTACAAACATAACTCAATTTTATTAGGCCCCTGTAAACATTAATTAAGATTCCTCTGTAGACAAAGCAATCTATTTGGCAGATGAAGTAGAGTTCATGTTTCTTGACCTCGGCATATGAAGTGATTGTCCGTGTGGTCAGCGATATTCACAGCCGCCTTTACTTTTTACCTTTAATTTCCCCAATGTATATCAGGTACCCATCAGAAATGGGTGGACTCTAATTGAATTTTATTAAACAAACATTTTGATGTAGGCCTAGATCTATAATCTATAACATTCCAAACAACATCTGTTCTGTAGAATTTACCTTTCTGCTTCCAAATGCGGTATTTTCCAATTGAAAATTCATCACAAAACATACAATAAATTATATAAATGGCATTTTATAAATTTATTTAAACTATTTACTTTCACCTTGGTGTAAAAAAATGTAGGTATAAGCAAACTGATTTCAATAGTAAGAAAGAATCATGTCTTTTCTTGCTTACTAGCTTTAAAACAAGTGAATTTAACTTTTTACCTGCGTTTTTGGTCGCGTTTCTATATATTTTATTTGCGACACTAAAAAAATTATATTTAATCAACCGATTATGCTAAATTAATAAAATTGGTACTGTTGGATTGCATTTTTAAAGCTCTACAATTATATGCTATTCTTTTTATAATTTGAAGAAAATTGAATTTATATGAGACTAACTACAAAGTCAGGTCAGCCTGTGGCACCCTCCACTGAACGTGACAGAAGGAAAAAAAAACTTCACCCGTGACCTTCATTAAAACAGAATTTGCTTTTGTTTTATTTTTATTTTTGGTAAACATGTGCTTAATCTTACCCAATAAGTGATAAAAATTTGAAAATTAATTTTAATTACTGTTGTAAAGTGAGATAAACAGCTTAATAAACACATGCTTTCTTGAGGGGGTGTGGCCCGGGTGTGGCACATCGCAATTATAACTTTATATTTCTGTGTTTTATGACTATATTTGTTCACAATTAGCATGCTATGTTTTTTAAATTGATAAAAGGTAAGTATACCAAGTTACAAAATCCGCAATCTAACTAATAATTCATACTTTCAATTTAAAAAATAATAAAAACGATCATCAACGAAGAAAGCGTAAACATTCTATTTTTAGGTATGACATAAAAAACAGTCATAAATCTAGCCAAATGATTGGATTCTTGCGCGGCACACATTTTCCCGCGCCTCGTTTTCACCAAACAAGAATATAATAAAATGGCATTATTGAGGGGTGATCACTTACACCCTCAAATGTATTGTTTTCACCCTAATTTCATTAAACAATTCAATTTTTATTTGATAGTAAAGATGTTATAAAAATTGTAAAAAATAAAAAAGTTATTGTCGAGCGCACCTGCTTTAGTTAATTCGACTTGAAACGCAAGCTAAATAAGCGTGACTTTCTCTCGACGGCCTCGTTAAATACAAACAAAGAAATTAGGCCAAAAGTAGATCCGACAATTCTTAAACAACAGACTTAAATAGAAACGGATAGTTCCGATGTCTAAAATTAACGATGGCTTCGTAATCATTAGTTTTATCCCTCTACCCATTAGTGAAAGCGAAACTGGTCGCCATTTTTGGTAAGCGCATGAGCCGTGAGATGGCTTCAAAACAACAAACCCGGAAGCTGTGAATTCGAACGGCCTAATTCAAGTTTAGTAGTCCGGCTCGTTGCTTAGATGGCTGGATTGACCTCTGACCCTGAAACGTCACGCGTCGTTTTCTGACGGTTTTTACGTTTATTTTAGGGGTCCTATCCACGACAAATGAAAAATGTTAATCTCGCAAATTCTTATCATTATTTTAACACAAGATGCTAATAAAATGGATAATATGCCTTAGAATGTCAGAAAAAAATCGCGAAAATTGTGGTTGTAAATAATGAGAGGATTTCTAGTGGAGCACTCTCCGTATAAACTGAACTGCGGCCAAAAACGAGCGTATAACGGGGAAAACGGCCTGTATAACAGTAGATTAATATATAATTGAGATATTTACCATGTATATTTACAGTATTATTGATTCTCTTTTAAAAAAATCCAATTACCTCGTAAGTAACCATGCGACAATTTCTCTCTGCTATTTTTAGTAACGTTGCGTCATTGTTACGCTAGTTGCCAGACAGAAACAACTAGTTTTTTTTTTTTTGCGGAATGAACTGTTAAGTCTAGTATTTTAATTATAATTCAATTGTAGCATGTGCGGAAAAAGTAAAATTATGGACATTATTATTGTATTAGTAATTTTATTTGTATATTGATTTTTTTCTTCTCTGTGGGCCGACAGTAGCTGCATTGAATTTAATTCGTGACCGGTGGTTAACCTCGTCAACGCTGTGTGGCCTATTCGTTTATATAATTAGTGATGCTCGTTCAGTAGTCTTTTTCAGAGCTAGGCCTAATTACGGGCGATTTTTAGACTTAATTGATCGGCCGTTAGCCTTTTTCATTGCTGCGTATTTTAAAAAATGCTCGTTCAGCGGCCTTTTTTTTGCGCTAAATAATCTGTTTACTGGCATTTTAAGCGGTTTTTTTTTTTTAAGCTAGATGTAGATTTAGGTTAAAAAAAAAACTAATTTTTTTATACAGCTGGCTGTCTAGCATGCCTGATATGGGAACTTTTTAAAAAAAATGACCGAACTTTAAAAAAAATGACCAGAAGTAGGGAAGTAGGTCTGTTTTTCAATTTGCTTGAAGAAGGGGGGGGGGAGAGAGAGAGAAGTGAAGACACCGACCATCTCGTGTACGCGTGTTCATTCTATGACGTGTACTATAGGCCTGCTGAACTCACGGTGACCCCGCGACCGTGGTGGGATTTTTCATCCACAGGATAGTAAACGTAAGCAAGCAATCTCGCGAGTGACAATGTTTGGAGATTTTATTTAAAAAAAAAATCACATACTGTCATGTTTTCAGGATGAAAAAAAAAATGTAATGTAAAAAAAAAAGACACTAATACCATGTATGAACCTCAGCTGCCACACTGTTGACTCAATATAATGTGAATTGAGTGTAAAATGTATTTGTATTTATAAACTATCATAACTATTACTATCATATCATTTTAAGCATATTTATTATTTAAAATTAGAAAATTAGAATTTGAAATAAAAATATTTATTATGGTCATTTGATTTATGCAGGTGTTCATTATTTCATAAATGGTATGAATAACATGTAGAGTAGAATTTAATAAATAATAAAATAACTAGATCTAGTTTTATTATCAACCAGTTGCTTTTTGTTATTTTCCGGTGAGTAAATAACCTAAGCTGACGCAATTACTATGGCGGGAATGAAAAGCTCGTGTACACAAGTCCACGTAATGTTATGCCGGTCGAGTGGCAAGAATGCTGTTTTGTCATTCATTTTCCATTCTAAGATAATTTTTAAATTCTCTCTTTTCTCTTCAACCGAGTAAGCTAGATATTTAATTTAAATGTGATGTCAAATGTTCTCTTAAGGGGTAAGGAAGTTAATGGTGTATTTAAAATAACAGAATATTTTATTTTAAAAAATCCATAATTCAACCTAAAATTAGGCCGGTTTAAACAATAAACTAAACTTGAATAAACATGACCACTGAATAATAGTAGTAGAATCTAGTAGCATTGCTCGCTAGCCTGAGACGTGGCCGGTTGCCAACAACAATAATAAATAATTAAATATGGCATCCATAATGGATGCATGACCAACGATTTTTCGTCTTAGTTCCAGTGACCTTCTTAAAATTACAGTTTAAAATGTTTACCATGTGTGAAATGGCTAGGTTTGCACGTTTTAAAAACAAACCATAGCTGGCAAGGCTATTATATATATGGCCGATGCTAGCCGGAAAAAGATAAGCACGCGCAATAGAGAGAAACTACGACTTGCCATCGCGGCGATGTTTACGATGGTACTGCGCATGCGTGTTTACAACCGCAGAACCCTAACACCAACCCTAATCCTAATCCTAACCCTAGCCCTAATCCTAACCCTAATTCTAGCCCTAGCCATAGGTCACTGCGAATTGCGCAGAACTATCTTTTGCCGACTAAGTGTAGACGTTGTGGAGAAAAATCTTCTTCCGAGTAGTCACTTCGTATATATATATATATATATATATATACAACCGCAGAACCCTAACACCAACCCTAATCCTATCCCTAATCCTAACCCTAGCCCTAATCCTATCCCTAACCCTAATTCTAGCCCTAGCCATAGGTCACTGCGAATTGCGCAGAGCTATCTTTTGCCGACTAAGTGTAGACGTTGTGGAGAAAAATCTTCTTCCGAGTAGTCACTTCGTATATATATATATATATATATATATATATATATATATATATATATATATATATATATATATATACATACACACCCAGAAAAGCATTAAAATTTGGTTTGGAGAATGCTTTACTTACTCGCTCATTTTTGTACGTACATCGTTGATATATTAAAAGTTCTATTAATTTTATTGAAACCAACTTTTGAATTTAGCCTCCTTTTTGCTAGTGGAAAACACCTTAAACAATAATTATTAAAAGGTACCTGGAACTAAGACAAAAAATAGTTGAAAGTCATGCATCCCATGTGAACGGCATATTGTTTGTTAGCAACTGGCAACGCCTCTAGGTTATCGAACAATACTAAAATATAGATCCAATTAATAAGTGTAATTCAAATTGTATTTGCAAGTATTTGGCACTAAAAATAGTATCATTCGGTTCATCTTGTATTCAATCATTAAATCAATGTATTGAATTGTACTGTACAAGGTTCATAAGTTGAATAGCTAAATTTACATATGTATCTTCTAAATGTAAAAGGTCATGTGATCATAATTTTCATTGCCAGTGTCATAAATTTATTTGTATATTGTAAAGAAGAATAGCTCGCCAAGTTCATGATTTGGTTTTTTTTTTGTAATGATTTTATGTGTTTGTGAAATTTTTAATTATAGGCTTATATCTATTGTGAAAAATTTCAACTTTAACAAGGCTAAATTTTATGGCTTGTCAAACTAGCACCAAGAATAGGGGGGGGGGGGGGAGAGATTGGTATTTACTGTTGGAACAAGGTGCATATATATAAATGGTCCATGCTCGAGTGCAGATGTATTTGCACTTAGCAGTCAGCCCTATAAAACCTTATTAAAGCAACAAAAAACCATTAAGTCCCTTCATTTGTACTTTAAAATGATTTTGGCCATTTAAGGTGGTTATTGATTACTCATTTTGACAAGGTATACATATGTAAATTTCATTCAAGACTAGTTTGGTTATCTACATAACTATATGTAAATAAGCAAGTGTGTTTTTGTGTAGCCGTATCAATACTATCATATTGCAATAATTGTAGGACTATGTATAAATACAGGTACACCGACTGATGTATTTTCAATACATTTTCTTACTTTTAAATGCACTACTGGCTCTAGAGACTAATAATTATTTTGAAAAACAATTATTTTCTGCATGTGACTCTCACACTGTTCCAGCCATTATTGGATCACATATATATAAGTTGTGAACACAAAAACTGAATGTGTGTTTGTGTTGATTCAAAAGATTGAGGTTGTGTCATATACTTATTTGAAACGTCATAACTTTTTTACAACTTGAGATACATGAACAAATTTTATATCTATGATCCTAGAATCTTGAGTTCTTGACATATCAACTTTTTAAAAAGCTGTGGGACCATTTAATAAAAATCAGCTTTAGCTCACCTATTTTTTGAATAACAATTACAACTCTCTTTACTTTTCATTAATTAATCATAATTTTTTAAAATTCACAGTTTATTATCTAATCACCTTTAATGAGATCATTTTATAATCATATTTCATGGAAATGTATTAATTTCCACCAGAAAAATCCTGGATTATTATTGAGAAAATTTAAGTGGTTATCTAAATCTATGTTTAATGTAATTGAAGAAATTTAGGGATAAAGTGAAGAAAAAGTGTGAACTGATGGTATGATTTTATTATGTTCCATAAAGTGTCAACTCCCCAAATAAAACATTAGCCTTTAGCTGTTTAGAATTCTGCATAAAATAAATACCATCATAAATATGTGTCTAAACGAGTGAACAGTTAAAAATATCTCAAAATCAATATCCTACAACTCTAAACATTATTTTTGTCTTTTCTCAAAATAGGCAAAGGCCAAAGGTTTATAAAACAACAACACTACACCCAATCTTACAAGTCACGTGTTATATCAGCATTTTGTTTTTTTTTCATTTTTAGATCAAGAGAGTAAAAATATGAGATTAACAGTTACAGTTTTAAGTTATTTCAAAAAATATGTACAACGAGAAATAGCCCAGGCATCTGGGGTTTCAATCTACAAACCAATCCAAGGATGGAGACATGTAAGAAAAAGGCAGTGGATATTTGATGAGAATCGTCCATGGACAGATGCAGCAAAAGAGGCTAACAAGCCAGGGAAACGTCTGACTGAACTGATTGAACCAATTCCAAAATCAGAGTGGAAAATTTTCTTAGGTGATCGTGTAAGTACAACTTTAAATCATTTTAAGCAGCATCCACATATCATTAGTACTAGTAGAAGAGGTTAGCATATTTTAATTATAACATCAAAGCCTTTTACAAGCTTTTATTTAACTTGCTATCTCTATCCTGCTTTTGTCTGTCTTCATGTATCAAAACTGGTGAGCGAAATTTTGATAATTTTTAACCAACCGATTTCTCTTAAACTTGGCACGTGGGTGGAAAGACCGAATGACAGTGCAATCTGACATTTAATTTGACTTAATTGAAAGTGTGGATCGCTTCTTGAATTCTAGTAAAGGTATTCAATTCATAATATAGCAATACATACTTTTCATTTTAATTTTTTTTAAAAGTGGTTCATGATTATATATTAAAAGAAAATAATTTATTTTCTCCTTTTTAGTGCTTTATTATACAAAAGCTTGTTATTAAATTGCATTTTATGAATTTTTTAAACCATATATGAGTGATTGAATCTAAATGTTTTAACAGTAGTATACAGTTTTAATGCTGCAGATATTTTGTTCCCATCTATTCTCCATACTGATGAAATTACATTATCACTACTACTTACTATTTTGTATTACAATTACTTTTGCACTAATTGTGTAGAAAAAATGGCACATTCAGAAACTGAAAACAGTTTTGATGTGCCAGACAACATTTGTTTCACATATGAGAGTCAGATGTTCATTACAAGATGATAAAATTAAGTAATTAATATTTAAGTTGGTTGCTTAAAATTAGTTTCTTACATAATATTGCATTAGCCTACTGGTGCAGTATTTAGGCTTTTTATATTCAGCAGTAAATGTTTAAAACTGAAATCAGCTTTTTGTGGGCTAAATTACAAGCCAACAAAAAGCTGATTTTTTAGTGACATGATAAATAATTTACATCAACTTCTCACAAAACTAGTTGTTTGTTCTACATTTATTACACTCAGATAATATTTTTAAAACAAATTAATACAGGTGTTTGATGCTGCCCCGTCCCCTAATGCTCTTCATGTCCCAATCCCTGTGTGGTTCGCTAAAGTGTTGTCCATCTGAATGTTGTATTTAGTATTTGATTATGACAGCTGGTATTCTCTACATATGACAATTCCATTGCAAATAATGCTGCCTTTTTTGTGTAATACATAGTATTTACATCCATACATTGCATTCCATTATATCATGACACCAGTCCCCACATACCCTGACACCAGTCCCCCATACCCTGTCACCAGTCCCCACATAACCAGTCCCACCATACCCTGACACCAGTCCCCACATACCCTGACACCAGTCCCCACATAGACACCAGTCCCCACATACCCAGACACCAGTCCCCACATAGACACCAGTCCCCACATACCCAGACACCAGTCCCCACATAGACACCAGTCCCCACATAGACACCAGTCCCCACATACCCTGACACCAGTCCCCACATACCCTGACACCAGTCCCCACATACCCTGACACCAGTCCCCACATACCCAGACACCAGTCCCCACATACCCTGACACCAGTCCCCACATAGACACCAGTCCCCACATACCCAGACACCAGTCCCCACATACCCTGTCACCAGTCCCCACATACCCTGACACCAGTCCCCACATACCCAGACACCAGTCCCCACATACCCTGACACCAGTCCCCACATAGACACCAGTCCCCACATACCCAGACACCAGTCCCCACATACCCTGTCACCAGTCCCCACATACCCTGACACCAGTCCCCACATACCATGACACCAGTCCCCACATACCCTGACACCAGTCCCCACATACCCAGACACCAGTCCCCACATACCCTGACAACAATCCCCACATACCCAGACACCAGTCCCCACATACCCAGACACCAGTCCCCACATAGACACCAGTCCCCACATACCCAGACACCAGTCCCCACATACCCTGACTCCAGTCCCCACATACCCAGACACCAGTCCCCACATACCCAGACACCAGTCCCCACATACCCTGACACCAGTCCCCACATACCCTGACACCAGTCCCCACATACCCTGACACCAGTCCCCACATACCCTGACACCAGTCCCCACATACCCAGACACCAGTCCCCACATACCCAGACACCAGTCCCCACATACCCAGACACCAGTCCCCACATACCCTGACACCAGTCCCCACATACCCTGACATCAGTCCCCACATACCCAGACACCAGTCCCCACATACCCAGACACCAGTCCCCACATAACCAGACACCAGTCCCCACATACCCAGACACCAGTCCCCACATACCCAGACACCAGTCCCCACATACCCAGACACCAGTCCCCACATACCCAGACACCAGTCCCCACATACCCAGACACCAGTCCCCACATACCCAGACACCAGTCCCCACATAACCAGTCCCACCATACCCTGACACCAGTCCCCACATACCCAGACACCAGTCCCCACATAACCAGTCCCACCATACCCTGACACCAGTCCCCACATACCCAGACACCAGTCCCCACATAACCAGTCCCACCATACCCTGACACCAGTCCCCACATACCCTGACACCAGTCCCCACACCCTGACTCCAGTCCACATACCCTGACACCAGTCCCTACATACCCAGACACCAGTCCCACCATACCCTGACACCAGTCCCACCATACCCTGACACTAACCCTCCATGCTACTATCCCCCTCCCCAGTAAGTTTTCAATAAGGCATACAAGCCTGATACAGATGCCATCACTCACATCAACATGATGGTCAATAGTTACTCCTGACAGCCCACTGTGGGGTGTTTTGAAAAAAATGACACTAAAAAATCTGAGGCTAGGTCTGTAGTTTGGGTAGTTGATGAAGCAAATTAAAAAACCTTTCTTGTGCAACTTTCCACTGACTAGGAAGAAGGCTGAGTCCCATGGCACCAAATGTCTTCCATGTGCCAAAAGTGTCTTAAGAAAGATAAATTACATGGAATTGTTTATATTGACTTTTTGAAAAATCATCTTGTATTTATTTTGTATTTATTTTTAAATTTATACGCTTACTCTTTAAAAGTATTTTTTGGTAATTAGTTGCACATTTTAAATGCATTCTTTGGATGTATATTGATTACTTGATGATGAAAAATACCCCAATATTTATTTTTATAATTTGGCCGTTTGTTTTCGTGTGGATTACTGATATAAACTGTGTATACTACCCGTATATCGTTCTACTTTATCTTAACAACGTTAATGCATCATCACCCCAAACCTTAGTTGCGTAATTACGTCATCGTGCGTGACATTAGAATGCCATGGCATTTTATCCACGCTATTGAAGAAAATCTTGATAAGACTCTATACTGTACTTCTACCACTTTAACCATAACTTATCTACGCACTGTATCTCTATAATAGTCACTAATAATTGATAGTATTCATAGTGTTCCCCTTGCCACGTATAGATTTCTAGCTCCGTCTAGAAGCTCCGCCTTCTAGTGACTACCAAAAAGTTGGGGCCCCGAGTTTCCTCTAAAGCAGAGTAGCTTGTACTAAAGTCGTTGTGTGTTACAAAGTCGATAAAACTATCTCAAAGCTAACCCACACATACATTGTTCTTTATGCTAACCCTTATCCCAAGCACAAACATGCGGTGGACCCTAAAACTTAACCCTTAGACAAAATAAAACTGGCCAAAATTTAGCCAAAAGCTAGCAGTCCACCAGCTGTCTGTAGTATACCACGCGTCATCAATCTCTAGATCTACGTCATAGTGTGAGGAACCCGACCAGACTATGTTGACGTCACAAGCTACTTATGACCTCCTGAAGCTGCTAGATTATTCAGCATTCAAAATTGTATCCTAATATATAAATCCCCACGTTCGCACATCTCTCTCTCTCTCTCTCTCTCTCTCTGTCTGTCCGCAAAATATTTTCGCCGGACATCACATCAGAATCGGCAGCGATATATGAAGAACTTTTTACGGACTTTTATTGAAAATAATATGTTAGATGTTTTAAATGTATAACCACAATTTTAGTTAAAGAAGAAAAATAAAAATTAAAGGCGTATTCGAATGTAGAGAAACAGTATTATTTATGCAACCGGAAAAGCATTAATATATGTGAAAAAGAACGCATAAAACTGTGACGTCACTATTGCTTATACATTAACTAATGACGTCATCTGCCGTGATTAGAATGAAAAGAAATGAACTATTTCATTCAAATTTGATTTAGATCTACGTACACTATGAAATGTATACAATACAATTTTTCCGGCCTAAACTCATAAAATTTATTTTATGTATTTGGAATCTAGATCTAGAGATTCTAGATCTAGACTAAATCTAAATCTTAATCTACGCAATAACTAGATCTAGACTCTAGACGTACACGATAAGATCTAGATTTAGACTCTAACTTCTCTAAAATCAATTCCAAAAATAAATTTCTATATTAGGACTAAACTATTTCAAGACTTATTTATTTTATACAAAATCTTTGTTTGGAACTGGCTAATTTGGGATAAAAAATTAATTTGAAAGAATAGGCATATTCGCGTAAGTTAAGATTTTAAAATACGTGTTTCATTCTCCGTATTTTATAAGGTGCCTAAATAGCGGAGATGTTAGTGTACATTAAACCATGCAGGTGGTGCGGGTTCGAGACACACCAAGTCAACTTGGTTAATGTTTTTTTTTTTATTATGCTCGGGCAAAACTTAAAAAAAAAATTCTTTTAGGAATCTAGATCTAGATTGTCGGGTGTCCGATAGGGCACTTCCCGGCGCCGCAGGCGCTTCAAATTTGGCATGATCTTGCCTTGGTGCGACAGAACACGGGGGCCGGTTGGCCGAAAAGTCTACGATGAGGGGGGTCAAAACTGACCTCGACTGACCGGTACCTTATATGAGCTATAAATCGAAAAAAAAATGTCCACGGAGGAACCTCTTCATAACTCCCTGAGGTCGTAGACCGACCCTCGGGCGAATAAATTAAGCATTCAAATTCTCAATGTTTTCGAAAGCCTAAGCGAAGCTGGGCAGCATGCCTAGTTTTAAAATATTGGGCCTCTATTACCATTTATAATGCATCTTAAAATCTATGATTTTATTATTTTGAAACGTTTAGAAGCTTTTATAAAAGAGAAAATTGATTGAAACATCCTTAACCTGAACACGTATCTCCCTTAAACTTTCTCTTATATTCTTATATAGCGGTTAGGCTTGGAATGGCACTTCCAGTGGAATCTGGCGATTGAAGTACTAGGTAGGATTGTGGTGACAAAACCGCTAAGTTTTCGAAGAAGTTCATTCGAGGCCATAGCTCTTATAATATGCAGCTTTTTGAGCATATGATGTAAAATTTGAAGATTTCCGAGAAACTGGAAAAAGAGCAAATTTTCACGTCCGAATAACGTTAATCGCTCCTACTATTATAGGATCTAATCAGTGGCGTAGCGAGGTCGGGTGTCACCCGGTGCGGCACTTAATGGTGTCACCCCCCCCCAGAGGCATAGAGACCCTTCCCAGGGACAAACTTTCAAATTTTCGATTTGCACCCCCCCCCCCTCAAACTTTCGATTTGCACCCCCCCCCCTCAAGTTTTCGATTTGCACCTCCCCCCTCGAGTTTTTCTCTATATATTTTGCTATTTTTTGCCTTGGTGTCACCCCCCTAAATGGTGTCACCCGGTGCGGTCCGCACCCCCCGCCCCCCCCCCCTCGCTACGCCCCTGGATCTAATACTCATATGAAATAAGTAAACGGTGCGCAAGCTATTATGAGAACACAGACAGACAACAGTGTTCTTTCAGATTTGATTTATCGGGGGGGGGGGGGCGGACACTGATAAAAGTATATATTTTCTATATAAACTATATTCCGTTGGGGGGGGGGGGGCGGGGGGGGGGCGCTAAAGAGATGCCTAAAAGAAACGTCGGGATTTATCCAAATCTCGCTTTTTTTTTTACCAGCACAATATTTTCCCCATCTAGGCTACTCCGTTTAGCAAAAAAATACTTTGTCCTGACATTTTTTTTTCATGACATAAAAGTAAAAGCTAGTTTAATAGTACATATCTAGTCACGCTAGCTTGACCTAACCCAAAGTCTAGCTGTTAAAGTATCGTTATTTGTTTTACTCATTGTATTGTCAGAAGAATAACTACAAAAAAGAAACGTTAGCTTTAAACGTTTAAAATTGTGTCATTTCTAGATCCTGCAGTCGGTCCAAACTATCCTATATTCACAGATTATGGCGGGATCAATTGTTCCCATCCGCGTTCAAACTAGGAACCATATTAAAAATAGTTATGGTCATCCTTAAAACCGAGCAAATTCATTTCAGATTCCAGTAACTAATCAATACGCCGTGTTGGGCTCAATTTTCTTGACATGTTGCCGATAGTGGTTTCATTTAGCTCCGACCGACAAAAACGCTTCTGATTGGTTGACATATTTTCATCTTACAGACGTCAACTCACTCCCCAACCGCCCCCTCCCGCGATCGTTATTCGTGGTTGCCGTTTACTATTACATAAGCAATGACGTCACCGACGTGGGTTTCGCACCAGCAGATATATTTGACTGAGAAACAAATACTGAATGCCGGCAAATCTTGAAGTTGAAAAGAAATAAGAAAAAAAAATGGAGGAAGAAACTAGGTCATATTAGCCTAGAAAAACAAATCGATAAAAGGATACTCGAATTGGTTTTATTTTTTAGACATTCTTTTATACTCTTTATCACATTGCCTTAAATAATGAGTTTGTCGGTGGGGTATTAGCTTGTTTTCATTTTTTTAAATAAACAACGTTTTCAATTTAGATGTGTTGCATTAAATGTCTTAACCGTTTTTGGTACTATACGGATAAGTATGCCCGATTTAGTGAGCGCTGCTTGCCTTATGATTGGAGATGAGGCATGGCTGATCCAATGGTACCAAGTTATTTGACCCAAATATGTAACTATTTTTAGTCATTAGGTAGGGGAGGGGGTGTCACGGTGATTGTTGTACGCACGAAGCTACACGTCGGTCTTATTTTAACTTCAAAACACCAGGTCACGTTACTACCGGGGTTAATGAGTTGATCACACGCGTATGTCTAGCTTGTATAACCCAATTTGTCTTTGTGCTCTAGCCTGTTGTAACTAGACCGGGAGCTGTGAAGTTAAAACATCAAGAACAATTGTAGCGAGAGAAAAATGATGCCTGCACTTTATCGTTGCACTTGCACATCGTATGTGTCTGCAGCTACATTTCTATCTTTAGTATCTGTGATAATGTGTAACGATTTTTTCCCTCCCGAATGTCGGTGAGTAGGTCATCGATTAGCTCCCCTGCACCACCAGCCTTCGCCCTAGCCCACCCCTCCTCTCTGGGCCACTTGTGTTTCTGTGCACGAAATGAGGTCAATCCCGTAAGTCGGTTACTAGGTCTCGTGGCAACCCGCCCTGTTCGTAGGCCCATTTTTATGTCACAGTTTCAAAACAGTTTGTCTGGGAACATCTTGGACTACTTCGTGCCCGTTTTCTGTGTTTAAATATGAAATGATTCCACTCAAAGGCATCGGCTAGACATTTCTAGATGTAGTTATAGATCTAGGATGAAACCGTTTCACCATCAGCCCACACAGTGCAGGATAGACTTGGTTCTGAACCGAAATTCCTTGTTGAAAATGTGTAGATTGGTGGACGGCGAAATTTGACACTGACCGTTTTGAATCTAGATTTACAATCTGTTATGCAGATGTTTTAGTGTTTACCTTCAAGTACACCAGATTTCCTGCAGGAGAGATGCACGCAGATAGTTGGCTTGAGTTTTTAAAGAGATATTTTTCTCGGGAGCCGTACCTAATGTACAGCAAGATCTACTCACGCTATGTGCATGTATGTACAGAAGGTACAGGTGAGACGGGACCATCAGCTCACGCGGCTCCACGTCAGTACATTGGCTGTATCACACCAGGTAAGTTGATGCATGTTGTGCTCGTTTTACCATACATAGGTCTACTCCATTTGCCTCAAGGAAAAGTAGCTCATCAAATAGTTACTGAAACTTTAAGTAAACGGATGGCTTAAAACTAACTAATTAGGCTATATCTATCTGGATTTATTTGACCAGCACAAATCTTTTATTTTTTAAAGTGTTTTTTTTTTTTAAATAAAAAGTGGTTGAATAGGCCTATATATACATTATAATTGATATACAGTATACATGTATTTCAACCATATTTTAAAGTAATTTTTAACAACAAAAGACCCTTAGCTGGCTAGGATTGTGCACACAATTAACTAAATAACACATCGATTAATATTTTTTGACCCATTCCTTTAGTGTCTGCACCCATTATTTCTTCATATAACATGATGTCAAACATTTGAGGAACTCTTCTCCCAGCTCCAGCCTAACCAACTACACACTTTGGTCCTACATCACTTTTGGCACTCACAACAACACAACAAAATATCACCCCACACCCCATATAGATCTAACAACACAACAAAATGACACCCCCACCCACCACTTATAGATCTAACAACACAACAAAATGACACCCCACCCACCCATATAGATCTAACAACACAACAAAATGACACCCCCACCCACCACTTATAGATCTAACAACACACCAAAATAACACCCCCACCCACCCCATATAGATCTAACAACACAACAAAATGACAACCCCACCCACCACTTATAGATCTAACAACACAACAAAATGACACCCCACCCACCCATATAGATCTAACAACACAACAAAATGACACCCCCACCCACCACTTATAGATCTAACAACACACCAAAATAACACCCCCACCCACCCCATATAGATCTAACAACACACCAAAATAACACCCCCACCCACCACTTATAGATCTAACAACACACCAAAATAACACCCCCACCCACCCATATAGATCTAACAACACACCAAAATAACACCCCCACCCACCCCATATAGATCTAACAACACACCAAAATAACACCCCCACCCACCACTTATAGATCTAACAACACACCAAAATAACACCCCCACCCACCCATATAGATCTAACAACACAACAAAATAACACCCCCACCCACCCCATATAGATCTAACAACACAACAAAATAACACCCCCACCCACCCCATATAGATCTAACAACACACCAAAATAACACCCCCACCCACCACTTATAGATCTAACAACACACCAAAATAACACCCCCACCCACCCATATAGATCTAACAACACACCAAAATAACACCCCCACCCACCCCATATAGATCTAACAACACACCAAAATAACACCCCCACCCACCACTTATAGATCTAACAACACACCAAAATAACACCCCCACCCACCCATATAGATCTAACAACACAACAAAATAACACCCCCACCCACCCCATATAGATCTAACAACACAACAAAATAACACCCCCACCCACCCCATATAGATCTAACAACACAACAAAATAACACCCCCACCCACCCCATATAGATCTAACAACACACCAAAATAACACCCCCACCCACCCCATATAGATCTAACAACACACCAAAATAACACCCCCACCCACCCCATATAGATCTAACAACACACCAAAATAACACCCCCACCCACCCCATATAGATCTAACAACACACCAAAATAACACCCCCACCCACCCCATATAGATCTAACAACACAACAAAATGACACCCCCACTCACCCCATACAGATCTAACAACACAACAAAATAACACCCCCACCCACCCCATATAGATCTAACAACACAACAAAATGACACCCCCACTCACCCCATACAGATCTAACAACACAACAAAATAACACCCCCACCCACCCCATATAGATCTAACAACACAACAAAATGACACCCCCACTCACCCCATACAGATCTAACAACACAACAAAATGACACCCTACCCACCCATATAGATCTAACAACACAACAAAATAACACTGCCCCCTTCCCATCCCTTTTCAGTTATATATGTGCACAGTCCCATAGCCCAATTAAAACTAGAGTTTGCCCTTTAATGTACTAATTAGTTTCACCATAAAAACTGGCCAGAAAAAGTAGGAGATAAGATGATTTATGTATCAGTTAACACCCAGACCTTGCAGTAGAAAGATAGTTTTTTGTTGCTGTCAAATACAACACCAACTACCAACATAGTAAGTCTAAACAGAATTGTAGATATTATTTCTCTTAATGTCTGAGTTTATACACTTTTAAAAACTACTGGCATAGACAATGCCACCTAATTTAAATACCTAACGCTTATAATATTATCAGGATGAAAATATTATCAGGATGAAAACAATAGATAATTTATCAGTAACTTGTAACTTTCTGCAGCTGAGCTGCTGGACAATTGCAGAGTAAAATTTTTCTTTCATTCCTGTGTCCTAAAGGTCAAAATCTGGCACCTTTCTTAGCTTTGTGACATCAATAGAGCCATTCAACTTGTGACTTGCTCACTACAAACTCATTTTCTCAAGCATAATATAATTATGCCTTAATTTGTTAAAGTGAAAAGGATAAATATCTAAAATATCTACTGTAGAATACAGATCAAATTTTTTCTAAGATCTATCAGCAAAGAATTTCCTTTTTTTTTGTTAAGTCTCAAAGCTAATTTCATTTACCATTTTAAACCAGTTGAAAAGTAGCTTGCACCACCTGCATTGAGATCAGTTTTAATCAAGCAGAATTTATTCAGATTTACACAGTTATCTACCCTTCTATTCAGCTCTTCTCTTGTTTGGTACAGTCAGCCCAGCTTTATTTCCCTTTCTTTTGGTGCTAGTTTCCATTTGACAATCTGGGTAATGGATTGATTGGTCTGTTAGGCTTGTCTCTCTTTTAGCAGCAATTCTTGTTATCTCGTGTTTTGTGAGATACAGAAGTCAATTTGTTTTAAATGTGGTTGGGCAACTAATACATGCTAAATGAGTGCCAAATTATTGGGATAAAATGTTTAATACTGGTAGTATAGACATGTACTGATTAAGCTGAGTAAAAAAGAAGACTACTGTGAACTAGAATTTAAGCACTAAGCATTGTCTTGTTAATCTTGTTTTCAAAGCAGTAACATATATTTGGCTAGTTTTTAGGTTATAATTATCTATATAAATAGATATCCTTCCAGTTCATTTTTCAGTTTATTATCCACACACAAAATAGTTTTTTTTTTTCTGAGTTTATATTTGCAATAGTTTTATAGTCAATACCAGTCAGTAAAACCTGCTCCAAATACTCGCCCACTTTTCTTCATAGTGTTAACTGCCAGTATGCTTATCTATATATATCTTTAACTCATTCTTCTAGGTAAAAAGAAAGATGTCTTCCACTCCATCAGTTGCAGAAGGAATTTTGTTGGGTATGGGAAACCCTATCTTGGATATCACTGTATTTGGTGATCAAGACCTGCTGAGCAAGTACAGACTAGAGCCCAATAATGCTGTGCTAGCAGCCCCAGACCAGCTGGGTATCTTCAGGGAGATAGTAGAGAAATACCAGCCAACATATGTGGCAGGCGGGGCCACACAGAACAGCATCAGGGTCGCCCAGTGGCTGCTTGAGGTGCCCCACGCTACCACGTTTTTTGGCTGTGTTGGCAGCGACCAATTCAAAGAAATCTTGGAGAAGTCAGCTGGGAGTGTTGGGGTGAAGGTCAGGTATCAGGTTTACCAGGGGGGTCAAACAGGAACCTGTGCTGCTGTCATTACAGGGGAAAATAGATCTTTAATCACAGAGCTTGGAGCTGCTGAGAAATTTAGCCTGCAGTTCTTAAAGCAGCCAGAAAACTGGGCATATGTTGAGAAAGCCAAGTTTTATTACATCGGTGGTTTTTTCCTGTGTGCCAGCCCTGAATCTGTCCTTGCAGTAGCTGAGCACAGCTCTGCCATGAAGAAGACCCTAGTGATGAACCTGCATGCAACTTTCCTGTGTGAGAAGTTTGCTGACCCACGCCTCAATCTCCTGCAGCATGTGGATCTTCTCTTTGGCAATGGTGATGAAGCTGTTGCCTATGCACAAGCAGCTAAGTTTGGCACGTCTGACATCAAAGAAATAGCTCTGAAAATATGCCAGCTTCCCAAGTCTAATCCTGATAACCAACGCATTGTTGTTTTCACCCAAGGCAAAGGGCCAACAGTTGTAGCGAGGAGAGGAGAGGTTTTAGAAGTGGCTGTTGAATGTGTGGATCCATCTCTGATTAAAGATACAAATGGATGTGGGGATGCGTTTGTTGGTGGTTTTTTGTCTCAACTAGTTCAGGGCAAGCCACTGTCTGAATGTTTGCGCTGTGCTGCCTATGCTGCTAAAGTAGTTATACAGCACGTGGGATGCATGTTTGATGAACATCCTCATTTTATTTAAATAAATTCTAGATTGTTTACCCGTTTTTAGATTCATTAATTTAAATATTACAAATTACATAGTTTTTAATAAAAATACATATTGAAAATGTAAAAAAAAATTAAAAAACTATGCATTACATTGAGCACAAATGTGCCTTGCTTTTCAAAATACCCTTGCTCTTTGTACCACCTAGAATGCTCGGCTGAGACATTGTTTTTTTGCTGGGCTGCATGCATTGATTTGATCTCAGTAAACATCTAAATATAACATTTATAAAGATTTATTTTTATTATTTCATTTCATCAGTCATTGACATTAAACCAAAATTCTAAATATGTCAATTTTTAAAAATACATTAAAAAACTTACCATTAATTATGTTTATTCAAAAAACAATTTCCTGCATGTCTATCAGTCGCTGAGTGTATTTATTCAATTGTAATATTTGCTCAAAGTATCATAGATGAGCATAACAATATGGTTATCAATGAATGACACCCATTTATCAGTAAAATAAGTAGCCATTGTCCTCTGATGGTATGCAAGCTCTCATGCTGGTTCATGGGTATTTCTATTGTGTTAGTCTTTGTAGGAATCATCTTCTGATTCCAAGGGAAACAGAAATCTGGTATTTCTAAACATATCTGCAGTCTTTTGTGTATATTCATCTTCCTTTAATTCTTTGATGTTGTTTATTTTACTTTTAAAGTAATGAATTATTTTTTGCCCCAAACATTAAAATATAAGCCAACAATTCTTATATTGTTGAAGAAATCGTTTCAAATACTTTTAATTAAACATCATACTACTGTTATACCTATTCCTTGCCAATCAAGAAAAGTATGTACATTGTGGAAAATAATATTCAAATGTTTTGTACAAATGAATTGATCATTGTGGGAGACGCATGTAAAAATATTTTTGAAGTAAAAATATCAAGTGCTTTAAAATGCGTGGCTGATGTTAACAAGAAAAATAAAAGATACTAACTTTTAATTTTAACATTTAAAAGAGTAAATAATTAGTTTGATTTATAATGGTGTTTGAAATCTTTTGGTTTTCAGTTTGTGTTGATGAAACTTAAAAAAATGAATTGTGATATTTATCTGTTCATCTGTTGACAAAAATGAGAAACAAGATGGGCTGAAAGCTGCACACCGTGTGTTTGCCCCTTACAGGCTTGGTATGCTTGTTACCAAGTCAGCTTGAAAGCCTGAATTAGTTCTCACTGCGTCTCCATGATGGCAGGAAGTCATCAAACTCATGTGATATGACTGTTTATATGAATGTTTTTTGGTGTTTTTAAACTTTGGTGTTAGTCTTAGGCTGTAGTGGACCTTCAATTAAAAACCTAAAAAGATTATTTCATGTGGTCAACTGTGGGGAATGAAAAACTTTTTTATGTACACTTGTAACTTTTTTAAAGCACTTTTTCATTTTTTTCTAAGAGTGAGTGATGTTCATGGAGCTTGTAAAAGTTGTTCATTTAAAAAAAAAAATTAAATATAGTCTAATACTGGCCTTTAATTTAATTAGGGTATTTTATCAAAACCGATTAATATTTTAAAAAAAATAAACTCCATCCATTGTAGTTATTCATAAATAAATGTATAAAAAAATGCCCGTACTGACATTAGTTTAAAATTTTAACAAATCTCAAAAGTTAACTTTGTGGAAGTACTTAAGTATTGTATGTTATAGACTGTATGCAAATTATTTTCACTGAGATTTTTTAAGCAATACATTCACACAAAACTTTTTACTAATCCATTTTTTCAAATGTACATAGACACCTATTTGAATGGTTGATTGATGTTGTATGTGGAGTTATGGCAACAGTCAATTCTTTTATTACAATTAGATATATTATTTTGTAAATATTGTTTCATTTATTTATGCTAATGAACTAAGATTCTAAATCTATATTTAATTATCTCAGGGGTTTCATCTTTCTTGCCAAGCAGGCAGTCATCATTTTCCACTAATTAAATACACTACCTTCTGGGCACCGCATGTAATTACATAGCATCTTATCACATTAGAATTTTAATGAGCTTCATCTGGTTTTATTTATAATCAGTCAAATGATGACACTTAATATAATTATTACAATACAATTTCATAATCAAATATCTAACAATAATGCAACTTTTCCTCATTAGACAAAAACAGCTTCTCTATGGCTTTTTAAAATGAACTGTAAACTTACTAAAAAAACTGCTCATAAAGAAAAAAAATTAATACCACTTTTTTATGTATTTCAGTTTTAAAATATTGAGTTACTTTTTATTTGAGTAGGTGGTCCAAAAAAGTTTAGTTTGTTTTTATTTTAATGAATTCAAATTTGAATTGAAAAAATTTCCCAGGCACAGCTGTGGAAACACTGACATTTTTTAAATGAAGTTTGGTCTGTTTCTTTCCCCATGCTGAGATCTGACACTGGTGCTATCTTGTTACATGTCTGCCCATTAGTTCTCCTCCCCATTATTCTATCTTCATTATGCACTGGTCCACTCATTGGTCAAGTCTGACTCACTTGTAGTTGCATATGGTAACATTTTACATGTACTAAAAAGGTAAATTATTTTTTTCAAATGATGAAATGAATGCATGTGTTTACCTGGCAACCTACGAGTGAGTTGAGATGTACCTTGAGTGGCCAGACAAAGGATGAGTATCCCGGTTGTTATGTACAGTCCCTATTAGGGAACACATTTCTCTCATTGGAAGCATTGTGAACATTTTTATTCTAATAATGTTGATGAATTGGCCTGATATAAAGAAACAAGTTCATTGTAGTAAGAAAGAATGCTCTAATGGTAAAATTTAGAAATAATTGCTAGTCTTAATTTTTTACCCAAGTGTATATGTGCTTCAACAGTAACTTAATCTGATGCCATTGAATGAATGTCAACAGGCAGCTGAGAGTTTGGTGAATGACTTTATGAAATAAACATGATCAATATATTTGCTTAGTTCCATTGTAAAGATAGCTCTCATTAAAAGCTCCATAAAATTGTTATTCAAGCAGCACTTGTCATAAATGATGTGAATATTTAGCTTTAAAAACCCAATATCCTGCTATACACCTGAAAACAATAACTGGTTTGTATATATATTTATTGGCTACATAGTCAGACATTGATGTAAGCTTGCAATATGCGTATGATCACAATCTTGTACTGCTGAGACAGTTTGTACTGCTAGGAGAAATGAAAACCACCACCACCACCACCGGCAGTAGTGGTAGTGAAGCTTCAGAGTTTAGTAGCTCTATCCCACTAAGACCAGCATTTGACATGGGATGAGCTTACTGCCGCTGACACAATATTCTGCTCACTTAAGCTCCAGCTGAGATTATTTAAAGTATGCCAAAACAATCCTCTTTTTTATCCTTATTTTTCATTATTTTTATTTAATGTTTAAATTAATGGAAGTATGGAATTGTGGGGAAATTGGAGACAGGAGATGTGATTTAAGATGAGTACTAAGTGGTGCTTTTTGACATGGCGCTGGTATTTTATTTTTCTTTAATTTTTCTAACATGTGTAAAAGTAAGATAACCATAGCTTAGTATTGAACTGTTCACCTTCACACTGTAGCATCTACAGTCAATGTTACAAAGTGAACAGTAGGAATCTGGCCATGGTTTCATCTCATTCTATGTGCACAATTACATAGTTATCTCTTCACTGTTTTCTGTCTTTTGAATAGTGTGTAATAAAATTGACTGTTGTAAGTGACTTTGTTGGCTTTATACTATATTCAATGTTTGACTGTGTTTGAATCCCTTATAAACCCTTCATTTATAGATCACTAGCGTACCAGTCGCGCTTTGCCACAATCTAGTTATAACACCAGAGTGACGAATCATTTTATAAGGGTTTCATTAATGTGTTAACAATTGTGTATTTTTTAGAATCTATAAGCTAGATGTATGACCTTGTTTCTATAAACTGAGTTACAAATTAAAGTGGTGCTGTTTCTTGGACCTTAGTTGTTGGGGTGTGGGTTTGTTTACACTTCTGCCCAGGCACCCTAGGACGTACTGTATGAAAGCCTAGGAGCCACGGTTTACACTCCCACAGAGGTGCTGGTTGCAACCCCTGTTTTGGTTTAGTCATCAAATATTGTAGCCCATTGTGTCCCTAGTGTAAGGTGCTCTTTAAAACTAATATAGGCGCCATAGTGCCTATTGGGGATCCTGGGGCATCTAAGACCGCACTGTTGGAGTAGTACTATTGACCCTCAGTACAGGCGCCCAATCAACAGACCCATGTGCTCAGGTAGCAGCTGGGAAACTTGGATGGCAGTTTGCTGGATGATAATTGATTTTAGTAGTCCACTCTATCCCTACTAGCAATAGACACTCTTTAAAACGAATTAAATGCCACTCATGGTGGAGCCTAGGCACAGGGTTTGTGTGTGCATTGGTGCAGTTTTCCACTGAATCAAGTAGTACCCCTGACCCCTTGTGCAGGATGGAGACTTGCCATTCTCAGTAACTCTAGTAAAATCATGAAATGATAAGAACACACATAAGGTTAGTACCCTAACCGTTGCAGATAAGGCTATTTTTGTGATGTGAGTGGTTGTGGTGAGATTCCCACAAAACCTTCATTTTGATTTGCACAATATACATTCATAATATGTTAGTTTGTTTTGGACTTGTTGGCTACAGGGATCATTGCAAGGGCTGATTGTTTTAAAGTCTGTGGTGTCTTGGTGGACTTTGGCAGAAAGTTACATTTCAGATCTTTTATCTGTGCTAAATTTGATCAAAATCTGTTAACTAATATCACTCCCACGCCTTCCTCAATGTTGGCTAGCTTGACACAACCATCTCAATGTCTAAATCTCTACCCTCTAATGTGGGCTAGCTTGACCCAATGTCTAAATCTCTAACATCTAAATTTTCATCAAAACTTCCCATAACTACTGGCTGCAAATGTACTCAATTATGATTGGTTACTTTTTGATCATGTGTCAAGTGTGCTAATCAAATAAAAATACATTTCCCACCTGGATTACACCTGTTCTGGTAATGCAAAGCTGGATTTTCAATTTCTGTTTTTGATGACTCAAAAGACTTTTTGAGATAGTGCTTGAAAAATATTAGGCAACTGTTACAAAATTACTTTTAAACTTGCCAATTTACAAATTTTTAAAAAGCATTATTAATAATGTTTAAGCATGATTTAATAAGCAGCAGACTTATTTGATACATTGTCTGATTAAGAAGTGATGGTGTGGAAAGGACCACCTAATAGTATAAGTGGTAGCAGTCATTTAACATCTACTAATGTTTGTAATTGTGATCATGCAAAGAGTAGACTTACACTTTCAAATTTTTATACAGGTCATTTACTTTTATTTTTTAATGTTATTTTGTTATATTCTCATACCACAGGTGCAAATTCTTAAAGGCATTGATGAAGGCAAGCAGGGTCTTGTATGCAGCATCATCACAGAAAGGAACTGGTGCTATGTGGAAGGGCTGAACTGTGTATGTTCACTGTCTGTCTCACCCTTCATAGTTTTGAGATCAGTGTTGTATAAAAATATTTTAATTTTTTTTAAATGATGTAATTGATGGATCTAACTACTAAAAAAAAATTGTGTTGCAGGTATATAAATGGGTAGAAAGAAATGCACATAATCCCGGAATGATTTCTAAAAAAGAAAAGCCACTGCTGGTAACCTCAGAAGTTTCACTGTTGGACCCTAGTGATCTGTAAGTGCTTCTCTAACATGTCTGAAAATATTTGTGATTCTACAAACTGTTTAATTATTAAGACTTTTAACACATTCTATTCAGTCATCAGAATTTTGTTCCTGAAGTAATCAGTCAGGGGGCAACATGCTCAAATTATAGAGCATTTACTACTAAGTCTTGAGTTCGTGTCCTGGGCAAGAGTCTGTAGGAAGTCCTAGAGTCCACCCAGCTCTATATGTACCTGATTCACATTAGTTTAGGGAAAGTAAAGGCAGCTAGGCATATTTTTCATGTCAAGGTCACTGAAATAAGTGAACTCTACCTCACCTGCCCCATGGGGTGTAAAATTCAAAAGGTTACTTTAAAATTACCAATAATAAAATTGTGCACATGCTATTAGATAAAAATAATTGGATTAAGTAAATATGCATTTTAACAATGTATTTATATTAGGCCCCCTATATAACTTATTATAGTTTAGGAAATGTTTTTGTTAATTATTTCTATAAAAATAAAAAAATTCTAATTAAGCCGTCAATGTTAGAACAGTTGCTAAGCATTGAACTTATATTTGCCTTTTTTTAAAAGTAATTATTTTGACAATTATGCAACTCATTCAATTCTGAGTTGGTTAATTATGAGACATTACATTTTTTAGCAGCTAAATCATAAATATTGCTTAATGTGGAAGTTTTTATACAGCTGAAGATTGATTTGTGCTTAATATCATTGAAATCTTAATATAAACTTAGTATATTGCAGTTAGTAATTTTTCTTTGTAATCAATGAATCTAGGCAACCTACACAGGTAGAGTGGAGGTATAAACTTAGTATATGGTAGTTAGTAATTTTTCTTTGTAATCAATGAATCTAGGCAACCTACACAGGTAGAGTGGAGGTATAAACTTAGTATATGGTAGTTAGTAATTTTTCTTTGTAATCAATGAATCTAGGCAACCTACACAGGTAGAGTGGAGGTATAAACTTAGTATATGGTAGTTAGTAATTTTTCTTTGTAATCAATGAATCTAGGCAACCTACACAGGTAGAGTGGAGGTATAAACTTAGTATATGGTAGTTAGTAATTTTTCTTTGTAATCAATGAATCTAGGCAACCTACACAGGTAGAGTGGAGGTATAAACTTAGTATATGGTAGTTAGTAATTTTTCTTTGTAATCAATGAATCTAGGCAACCTACACAGGTAGAGTGGAGGTATAAACTTAGTATATTGCAGTTAGTAATTTTTCTTTGTAATCAATGAATCTAGGCAACCTACACAGGTAGAGTGGAGGTATGATGAGGATGGAAACCGTGTTCGAGTCTCTGTGAGGAGTGGGAGAATAATTCCAATTCCAAAAAAAGCTTTAGACCAAACGGAAGATATGGTTGATAGAAATGATTACATAGGTGAGCTATATCAAACATAATTTTATGGATCAAATTAAGGGTGGAAAACCTACGAAGGGTTTAATTTTTCAAGATGGCCACTGTTGTCAGTTACCATGATTTTTCCACCAATATGTTTTAGTGGAAACGGATATGCCGATGTACCTTAAAAAAAGCTGTAAAGAAATTGTTTTCTAACGAGTATTAAAGTTTTTTTTTAATTGGCATCTACCCCCTTAAGCTAAGCTGCTGCTTGATTGGCCAAAGAGCTGTTAGGGGCATTCTATTTACTATTATTTAAAAGGATTTGTTTAATATATTTTAATAATAATCTTGTAAAAAGCTTGTTTACACATTTTAAAATAGAAAAACCTTATCCTCCCCAAGCTGTTGGCTGCTTTCTCCAAACACTTGTATTGAGTTAAAGTTAGGTTTCCAAATGCCCTAAACAGCCCTTAATAGTTAGGTAGTTCTATTGCATATCTATACTTTCAGTTAAGATGACTGTAAAAAGGCTCATAATTATTACCCGGTGTTTGACAAGATGCATGAGTCAAATTTTTATCTTGGGTACAAGTCACTTAAGTTCTTACTATTTTTTCAGAACAAAATTGGGACACAAAAGAAAAAGAACTCATTAAAGTTACATTCACTCCAGTGCCACTGTCATTTGAAGAAGACATTATGAAATCGATGGGCATTGTGGAAACAAGAAAAAGAATACCTAAATTTTACTATTAATTCTCTTGTAACAATTTCAGAATAAAGTTTAACTGAAATTTGATTTTGGACAGAATTTTGTTTGTTGCATGAAAACAAAACATTAATTTTTTAAACAATGATTTCCAATCTTTTGGTGACCAGAAAAGTTTTGCTACCAAAACCTTTTGTATGATTCATGTTCTACTATTAAGATTTGTAAAAAGAAAAGGTCAATATTTAAAAACTATTAAGTTCTTTCCTTTCGGAAAATCCCAACTTGCAATGTGCTATTAGTATTAAAAGACAATCAGTATATCTTTGAGCATTAACTTGGATAGTGAGTTGTAAACAATATCCCAGAAAAACAGTTTACTCCACTGGCAGAGAATTAAAGTTGGACAATCTTGCATAGCCACCAGAGATGCCCTTATTAGAAGAAAAAAAAAGCTCCATTTGATATGGATCAAAATATTTTTTTTTACAATAAACAAGTCAAATTGTGTAAAAAGACTTTAATTTCAGTTGAAAAGTCAAACCACTAATATAAAAACATCCTTTACAGCAACAACTGCCTGATAAGAAGACACTACAGAATCTATGTGAAAATGACAGAAATTTTACATCTAATGCTACTGCATACAAATATTTGACAGTCAAACCTTTCTCTAAAAGTTTAATTTTCAAACTCTCAGGGAATTTGAATAAACAGTTCATTACTGTTGTCAGTACCATTTATAATTTTAAAACAATGGTTCAACTCTTGAGAAATCCTGAATAAATTAAAATCTGTTAAGTTTAACATCTGTTAAAGCAATATTAGTTAGAAGTACAACAGAGCTTGCTCTGAATTGTTTAGATTGTCACCATAAGCTAGTAGTATGGGCGCCTTGGATTATTCTGAAAAACAAAACAAAATAAGAGTTAAGTTTGACAGATTCTAAGATGTATAAATAAAAAAAATCTGAGGTACATGAAATTGCTGTAAACTTTTAACAAGACCAGTGCTGACAAACTACAGATGTCTTTTTAAAATATTATGTTGCACAGACAGGTAACCATGACCAAAACCCTGTCTAACATTGTTTGCTATTCTGTTTGAAACTTGAATTATGATAAGCAAGTATCATTTGTATCAAGGAAGCAGTAGGTTTTCATTGGCCAAGTTATATTATCATTTCTACTTAAATGGCTAAAATAACAAAATAAAATACTAAACAAATTCTGTTTGAATTACAACAGGAGCTATTTTCAAGGCCTGTTGATATTGTTTGTATGGCACTTAGTCTTGATTTATTTGGGGTAATGATGACTAAAATGTACATTTACAATTACTGTGAACTAAAGATAAAAAAAATAAGAAAAGCAGAAGTATCTACCAATGGATTTGGTCTGAATCTGTAAGCAAGCATCATCCTTTTACGATAAGCATCAAATTCATCATCATCTTTTGTGAGCTCAGCTGGCCTTTCAATACCCAAACCTCTTCCTTCAACAGATGTGTTTCCTCTAGTAGAAGAAAACAAAACAGAACAATTGATAAAACATTATCCAAGCAAATAAAGCCAAGGCACTGACAGAATTAAATCTTCATTTTACTTGTTAACTGGTTTGGTGATGCCTTGTTCCTGTGCTCCAAGGCCTGTACCCTCTTTCCATCCTAGCTTGACCAACATCTGATAGCCCATGTTTTCACAAGTCAACTTGAACTCTTTATAATCAGAGTAGTCGGGTTCTCTCCCATCTTTTAAAGCCTAAAATGAATTGTTTTGATTAAAATAATATATGGCAGTAGTTAAGACATATCTGTATGGAATGGTTGGTAACATGTTTCAATGTTATGTTATGTTATGTTATATGGCATGGAATGAGGCATAAGATGTAGAAAAATGCAAGAGATCACTGGGACACTGAAACATCTTTATTTACATGACAAAATAAGTTTTCATTTTAAATGAAGTCATCAATAAGTATAGACAGAAAGGGTAGAATTAAATAGCCTCTGAGGTCAATTTGAACAGCAAAGTTGCCTGCTTACTATAATAAATTATAATGAAGGGCTAATAAACACACCGGAGAAACAATGGGGGAGTTTTTGATTCCAGGTTAAGCCTAAAAATATAAATGTCTAGCCCTATACTTTCCAGCCAAGGCTAAGCCTAAATAATAATCATTAAAAAAGTTTTAAAAAACCCACGTTTTCTGATTGAACTAAAAAGTAGAAAATAAACGCTATACATCACAATAATGCAAGCGATCACTCTACTATAAGCGATGAAAAACGTGGGGCGCCGAAGTAAAAGTTATATTACTATTGATTAGATAATACTATTGACTTTTATTAGGGAGCTTGTAGAGAGTCAACAGTATTAGAAACTGTAAGAAAATGACGGCGCCCCACGTTTTTGATCGCTTATAGTAGAGTGATCGCTTGCATTATTGTGATGTATAGCGTTTATTTTCTACTTTTTAGTTCAATCAGAAAACGTGGGTTTTTTAAAACTTTTTTAATGATTATTATTTTCTACTTTTTAGTCTTTGTCTGTTTGTTTGCATTAAAATCTTGCTATCGATTTTATCTTTTCACTTTTTTTGGGTAAACGAAGACAACTCGTAAAAAGACAACTCGTAAAAAGACAACTCGTAAAAAGACAACTCGTAAAAAAACTCGTTGTTTGAATACGTTACTGACTAGAACACATAGATTTGAACCCGTGTCGAGTGGGATAGCAATCGTGTGCCCAACCACTCGACCATATCGTCTCCCCCAAACTGGCCTACCTCCTGTAAGTTTAAACTCGGTTCAAGCTAAATTCTCTGCCCCTAAGCCTGTGGCGACATGTGATCGTTCGCTTCACTGCGCGCGAGGTACGCGTCGCTGGTTTTTTTTCTAATGGCTAGCAAAGGAGAATTATATATATAGATTATATAGCGGTCTAAAATGCTCAATAAAATGTTTCCATTGATCAATTTAGTAATAATAACAATTGAATATTCAATGGTCATCCAAAAGAAAGCTTCCCTGAAAATTTCAGCGCGCTAGCTAACTGGTAAGTGCCAGAAATTTCGATCGCAAGATTTGATTGGAAAGACAAACAAACACACAAACAGAGAAAGCAAGTTAAAGAAAACGTGGGAAAATATAAATGTCTAGCCCTATACTTTCCAGCCAAGCGCCAAGGCTAAGCCTAAAAATATAAATGTCAAGCCCTATACTTTCCAGCCCAGCGCCAAAGCTAAGCCTAAAAATATAAATGTCAAGCCCTATACTTTCCAGCCCAGCGCCAAAGCTAAGCCTAAAAATATAAATGTCAAGCCCTATACTTTCCAGCCCAGCGCCAAAGCTAAGCCTAAAAATATAAATGTCAAGCCCTATACTTTCCAGCCAAGGCTAAGCCTAAAAATATAAATGTCTAGCCCTATACTTTCCAGCCAAGGCTAAGCCTAAAAATATAAATGCCTAGCCCTATACTTTCCAGCCAAGCGCCCTCTTTTTTCCCTTGCTGTATGACAAAGCAAAGGAACATAACTCTTTTTTCCACTGGTATAATTAATTAATACAAAGTCCATGTAAATGTACATTTTAAAAACATTTGAGCAGTTTCTGTGCATTAATTTTAATTCTAATACAATGAACATTTTAATATTTAAAAAGCAAACAAATTAAACTTGATAGTGAACATGGCAGCATAATAAAAATCTTGGCCAGTTATGAACAGTAATGGGCTAGAGTTGCTGCAAAAAGAATATGATGGAGGGCTAAGTCCTGTCATCATCTCAATGGCTATTAAATACTGAGAAGTAATCACCAAATTATCAAACAAAAAGAGCTTGGGATAGTACCACACTCACTAATGCTTAACACTATAACAGTCACATAGCTGAAATACAATCAATGCCCAATGTGACACAAGTTTAAAAGTTAAAAAAATTTTTTATTGGTTGGTTATTATGGTTTTCTCAGTGTGCATTTATATAACATAAAACTTTAGTAATACTTCTTGTTATATGAATTGATTAATAATTTGTCTTTGAAAAGCAAATACATAAAAACATTGACATTTTTAACAGAAAAATTAATAAAAACTAAACCTCACTTTAAAAGTTTCCATAAACTTTTCCAGTTCTTCAGGTGGTAAAAAATCTCCAAGGAAATGTTTTCCCCTAGCACCAGATGTAAGTTTTTCTGCCCACTCTTAATTGGAAAACAAAAATATTGTAAATAATTTTGCTTTATACAGGTCTAAGAAAATACACTGATAAACATTAAAACACTAACTTTTTGTTGCATCCATTTCTTTTGCTCTTTGTCTATGCTCCCATGTACCACCTTCAGTCTCTTCATCTGAATCATATTCATATTTTCTCTTCACTTTTACTCCTTCAATTTCAGCCATTAGAGCCTGCTCTTGCATCTTCTTTTGGGCCATTACCAGTTCATACATGAAATTCATCTGAAATAAGCAGGTTCAATTATAATTCTTCTGTTACTAATAGATTTTAAAAATCGTGTTGAATTTTAAGTTATTCAGTTTTAATCAAGCTAAATAATTGTTTCAATATCTCAATGAAATTTGAGACTACAGCTAAAAAAACTTTTGAACTGAAATGACCTACCTCTTGTTGCTCTCTGATTTGCTTTAGTTGTTCTTCTGTAATGGAATCGCTCCCTATCACTTTCCTTGCATAGTCTTGCATATTTGTAGGTCCTGGAACTTTAGATTCAACTTAATTACCAGCAAACTCTTAAAATACTTTTATACTTTCAATACTATCCTACCTTGTGAGTAATGTCTTTAACCCTTTACAGGCCTACGCACGCACGGTTGCCTGAAAAGTTTTTTACGTTGTCGCCCTACTATGTATAGTATGTTTATATATGTGTAGTAGCGGAAGTCGCATTGATAACGAGGTTTTGAAGATACAGGCGGAAGCGGGGAATATAAGTTTTATTTACATTGTTTAATAATTGTTCTTTTGCTAGTGGTCCTTTCTCTAAAATATCGCTATAGTTAAGAATTTTCTCAAAAATACGGGCAATGTAATAAGTGAAATAAAATCTAATTAAAATGCCTCAGCATTTGAATCTGGCTTTATTTTAACGCAACTATGGAAAGAGAAAGTAGCTCCACTAACTACGTTGAATTTTTTTTAGCTTTCAAAATAACCTTTTTATAGAAATAATTTTATAAGTAGTGTTGTATGTTTTTCTGGGATTAGTGTTATTTTATCAAAAGTTATTAAGCTATTTAACCTCATGCATACTAAATTTGGACATTTTGTGTACATTGCATTTTTTTTATGTAAGTGGTTATTTAAAAAGAAATTATTTTTTAAAAGTGCAGTGGTTGAAAAATGTGTCATCTTTTCGTCTGGCCATAGGGCTTAAAATAATGCAAGTCAGTAAAAGTGAGAGCAATACCAGGTATCTGTGTAACAGGAGGAAGCTGGAAGTGTGGCTGTATGGTGGTGACACCTCCAAGCTGGATATTTGTAACAACCCCTGAAACGAATATTTTATGCAAATGTAGATTTTAAAAATTTCTTTAACTTTAATATCAGAGCCTTAACCTAGCCAATTTTGTTCTAACTTGGAAATGTTTTTAGTTGATCATACAAATATTCGGAATTAAAAAAGAACTACAATTTTCCAAAAGAATGGGTATTTATTGTAAAATGACTAACTATCAAGACTGATAACTGAAGAATGCATACCTGGTATAGTGGGTACCCCAATGTTTGTAGGGGCCAGAGAAGGTACAATGACACCTGGAGGAGCCAAGGCTTGGCTGCACATGCCCAGACCTTTTTCATCACTCCATCTAGACTTGCGTTTTTTCTTCATGGGTTGTTTGGTATTTCCATTACCTACAAATTTTTAAAAATTGCCAGATACAAAATGTTTAATTTGTTATTTACAATACTTTGAGGTGGTTTATAAGTTGCACTTACCTGATTCATCATCATTGCTTGGTTCTTGTTTAACTGATGGTTTGATAAGTTTTTCTACTTGCCTTTGAAAATATTTGTAAGTATCACTTGATTTGTTTTTAAGAAACCTGAAAGCAACAAATGGTTATTCTTAGCTTCAGAAGAGAATAGCTTCAAACAACACAATCTGTAACATTTAGTATCACATCAATTAGCCCATGCTAAAAGATTCTGTCAGTGTATTAGTCTTAGCAATAGAACAGAGAGAGAGAAATATGTTAACAAAACTTAATATTTCTAGCTCTTGACAATACCTTTAAAATCTCATCAACACCCCATGAGAAAAAATCATGTTAATATGTTAACAAAACTTATTATTTCTGGCTCTTGACAATACTTTAAAGATCCAATCAACAACACCCCATGAGAAAAAATCATAACTTACCAGTAGAGTGGATCATTAGCATGCTCTTCCAGTGCTCTTTGCTCAGCTTGTGGACCAGACAGCATCACTTGTACAGCCAACTGTTCAATGACCTTTAGTGTTTCTTCATCTTCTGGGGGACAGACTAGAAGCAGGCTGGGTCAACTTAAGCTTCTATGCATTGTGCTGAATAGATTGTCAACACATTTTGAGGACAATGACCTCAATCTAACACCTTTATTCCTTGAGTCTATCCTCAAAGTTATTTTGTAAAATTTGAAACCAGGTATAAGAAATACAATTTTTCTAAGAGAAACTGTACCCATATCCCCACAGGAAAACCAATATTCATCAAAAGATGTCTAATAGAATGTGCTGATCAAGCATATGGCAGCCAAAGTAGTCATTAACACAGTTATTTTGTGTTGATACAATTAGCTTATACATTTTATGTAGGAAATTTTTAAAATGTATTTAACTGGAATTTTATTTTATGAAATACTACCTGATATAAAGTATGCTCATAAGAATACAGCATTGGTGTATATAATGAATTTGCAGGGAACTCAGAAAACATGTTTATCTCTTTACACACAATTAAAATAAATTATCCTACTAATCACATTCAAATTTTTAAAAATATGCCCCATCAAAGACATATTTTAACTGTCCCCACAAGCATACCTGGTGAGTTGGTATCATTTCTGAATGCACCAGCAGATAATGGAGGATTCACTTTTGAGCTTGGTTTCTGTGACAATACACTAAAAGAATAGAAAGAAAGAAAAAGTTTCAATGACCAAAAAATTGAGATTATATTTCAGGCATGTAGATCTATATAAGAATGAGATTTAAAGCTTACAAAGAAATGCTATTGGCCCTAGAAGTTGATGTAGAAGATACAGCTGGCAGATCTATCTCTGAAGTACTACCTAAAATAGAAAGATATTACTATTAAAAAAGAAACTTTATTTAATATAAACACATTTGAAATTATTTAAATTCAAACATTAAATGGATTTTTATAGCACCTAACCGTTTACCTTCTAAATCATCAGTAGGTGCTGCTGGATCATATTCTTCCCCATCAATAGTCATACTGGTATTTGTGTTTGTACTAACTGGTCCATACATTCCTATTTCTGTATGAGGTATTGAGCTGACAGAATGTGGTCCATACATGCCTACATCTGGGTTTGTCTGCGGTGGTGGGTGGGTTGCTAGTGGTATCTGACCATACATAGCACCACTTACACCAACAGGGTACATGGGTTGAGCTTGAGACATGGGTAGAGTCTGTGTTGCAGGGGGTGCCCCATATATACCAGCAGTGGAGATGGGAAGTCCTAATGAAGAACTAGAAGTAGGGGGTGGTGTTGTAAATAGATTGGCAACAGGGTTGGGAGGTGGCATAGAGAGGACATTGTACAAGCCTGATGATAAGATGGGGGCATGTGTTGGATGATAACTGACTCCTGGGGGTGGGGGTGGGACATGTATGGATACAGTTGAGACGATCACTGTCTGTAGGGGTGGCCCAGCTGCATGGACTGCTATATTATTATTAGGCATTGGAGGTAGAGGTGGAGGAGGACCACTAATGTACATGGTAGGTTGGATACTTTGAGCTGCAGGGTTTTGTACCACAACTAGGTGGGGATCGTGTTGTAAGCCAGCCAAAACTTCATTATTCTGCACTTGATGCATGGTATGGTTGTTAAGGCTATACGAAGTTACTGGTGGTGGGGGCTGACTGAACATATAAGGCATAGTCTGACTTTGTATAGGTAGAGGTGCACTGGCAATAGGAGTCGATGTCATTAGTGGCAGCTGCGGTAAAGGCAATGGTGCACTTGGTACTGGCGAGACTGTTAAATGAGCCAATGAGTCAGGTGGACCCACTTGAGGAAACACGCCCACATACTGTGGTTGATGTGGCAAAGGAATAGAACTGTGTTCAAGTTCATTGAACATGTAACTGTTATAATTCTCTGGTAAATACTCTGTAGGTTCATAGTTTGGATAAGGTTTGCTCTCTGCTGTGTCTTTAACAATATTTGATGGTATTTTTGGAGGAGATGGAGGATCATCCTTGCTGGGTCCATAACTTCCAAATCCAGGGGTAGAGCTTGTTTATTTTAGAAGAAAAACAAATCAAGCATTTCAGTTGAATAAAGGACAGATACAGTAGAAAAAGGTTCACTGTTTTTTAGTTTTCATTAATTTTTAGCATTAATTCATAAAAATGCTACAATAAATCTATAATAAACAGTAAGTGAATGAAATACTGCATTATGTTAATTTTTCTTTTCCAGCATTAGATTATGAAATGTATCAATTATATTAGTATTACTGTTGTTTATAATAAAGTTGAAAATACCATATGATGCTTGGTTTACCTCTCATTATAATCTTGTTTTTCCTGTTTGATTTCATCTTTAACATCTTTGTCTTCTTTGCTCTCAAACTGAGAAGAATCTTTGAGTTTAAATGAAGGAAGAACAATTGCAGGTGCAGGCTGCTTGTGATACTTTACTGTGTCAAGCTTATTTGACTGAGACAATTCTGTTTTGACTTTAGTTTGTAAGAGAGCTTTACTATCTAATGATACAGTCCCCTTCTTTGCAGCTGAAAGATTTAAACAAAACAATTAGTATGTACAAAAAAGTAATTAAAAATAAGTAGTTATCTTACTAATCCATTTAGGTAAATGATATATTTTGACTAGTGAAATAAAAAAATATTTTAAACAAAGCCTTCTCACCTTGCCCTGTCATTTTCTTGAACTGATCCATAAAACTGCCATCATTGTTAAATAAATTAGGCATTCGTTTTGGAGTTGCACTTCCATTTGAACTTTTACCAAGTCTGTAAACAATAAAAAAAACTTTTTTATAATGTAAATAAGTTCATCAATTAAATAGGCCTTGTGTTGAATTGCTGTTGCACAATTCATGAATTTTTTAAGACAAGCACAAATGAGAGTCCGTGATTTTGTGAGCTGAAATGACACAAGGTGAATAGGGACAACACTTACAAGCGAGTTGTATTAGCATCTGAAGTTGAGGGCGGTTTACTTGTGGTAGCTGCCTTTGCCTGAGCTTCAAGTTTTTCTTTATATTGCTTCACCTTTTCTTCCAAAAACTTTTCATGAGCACTAAGATCCAGTTTTTTACCCAGATCTCTGTCTTTCTTTTTTGTTGACATCTTTAGTTATTTTTCATTTCGGTAACTGAAAAATTGAAATACATGCCACTCTATTAATAGGTTAAATACAAACTTAAACTCTATAAATTATAATATAGGCCTAAGTCACAGGTGTAATACCTAACCCTTTCATAGTGGTCTGGTTTTCAACTTAGAACATATACAGACAGGCCTAATTAATAGAATGAAATGATTTATTTCATTGTAACTTAAACAAATCCTCCTAAAAATGTGAAATAATTACTAAAATTTAAGTTTAGTAAGGAGTCACCTTTTTTCACATTACTAGATAGATCTAGTCTAGGCCGATTTTACATACATAAAACGATAGATTACCCAATACCCAGTAGTCAACAAATGATGAAATAGAGTAGGAGGCCTAAGTACTGACTAAGTAGTAGATCTAACTGAGTAGGGCTTAGTAGTTAGTAGTATAGTAGGGCCAGGGGCCTACTAACTACTAAGTATTTTTAAATTAATTTTACTGTTTTAATTTTACTAGTCTCCTAGTTACTAGGTCTAGATCTGGATCTAAGAATAAGATCTAGAATAAGTTAAATAATTAAAACTAGACTAAGCTAAAGTTTTACTAAACTAGATTTGGAAATCTATTGCTAGAATCTCTTAGATCTAGATCTAGTTATTAGATCTAGAATCTAGATCTGGTTGCACTGTAACTGTTGTACTGTTAACTGTACACACACGGAGTCAGCAGTGAGGTAGACTGGTAACGGGGGGGGGGTGTTTGATCTAGCTAGATCTATTTAATATAATATTTATAAATACGAATGTATTACATCTTTTTAAATCCTAATTAGTATGAGTGGTAAAATCTTAGTTTAGCGTCGTAAATTCGGCCAAAACTAGTAATGTGGGAGAGAGTGAATTAATGAATATGTCATTAAATATGAGTATATTTTCGTATATTTTGATAAAGTATTATAGATAATTGAGTAATAGATCACCATTGATGGTTAAATCAATTTAAATATCCTGAAATTAATTTTTATCAACCCTGTTCGAGATAGTAAATTTGCTATTAAAAACAGCAGCCATCTTAAGAAAATGTTATTGAGAGTAGCTTCCCTTTAATTTCTATTCATATGAAAATGTATTTAAATATGATCGTCTTGTTGTGTAGTCCGTATTACAAAGCATTTTTTTTTTAAATGTGAATTTCCTAACAAACAACTTTATTAATTCTAGAAGCATTGTGAGATGCAACTTGTATCCATGTATTAAATCACGTTTTTTTTTTTTACTAATGTTTATTTGATCTTACTATTACTAAATAGTTGTTTCTTCTTATTGTTTGAATGTTCACTATTTTCATTTAAGGTTTTTCTTTTCATCAATTAGTAATTCTATCGTAACTTATGACATTTTTTTACTTCTCTTTACCTTAATTAAACCCCAACCTCCGTCATATTTTTGTCGTCAATGTCTCAACAAGTCATAATGTAAAAAAATTACGCTTCACTCTGCCTTATCTTAGATCTCTAACCATAATTTTGACAACATTAAATGTTTGCCATCATTTATATATACAGAGAGACAAAATGTATTATCCACCAGCTTCCCTCGTAAAACATCATCTAAAACAATGAGCCAGTCCACCCCTTAAGTGCGTGTTGTCATTATGGTCGATCGCAAGTCTCCACCTGCCAGACACATTTTGGTTATCCTTTGTTGTCAAATTGTCAATATCAAGTACACAAGTGAGTGATATGGGGTTGTCCATAAATGATGTCACATATGATTTGCTACGGGAGTGAGTGAAGATTTGTGACGTCAACTCAGGCGGCTCCGCAATTTATGACGTGTCGGTCTTGTGAAGGGATGTGAACGGGGAAAAATACCTAGGTGATTGATGGAGAACCTCTATAATGCTTTGTTCAATCAAAATAACGATAAATAAGCATTAGTATACGTATACCTTGCTTAAAACGAATCATCACAAATTTTGCAAGCCTGCTAGTTTAAGACATTCGTCAAAACGGCCGCAACACATTATCCCCGTCAAAAAGGCTTGCCACCAAATGCCTGCCGACGAATAAGCCGTGTCTAATGCGGGGCGTTAGGAATACGGCCATTAGCATGGGCCGCGTTAGAGCGCCAGTAGGCTATCGCGCTTTGTAAGATGACGAAAATACTTAAATTCAATTTCGCTAAACTGCGCGAAAATTTAGTAATGTTCCATCGTTTGAGGAAATTTATTTTCTTGGACTTAAATTGAAATATCATGTTGACTGTCTGGCTCTTAATTTCCGAATATCACTTTTAATGTATCAAGATTCAGAACTATAATTTACTTTAATAAGTGTCATCTTATCGTTTATTGTGGTTTTTATAAAGCGCAGAGCAGCTTCAAAATCGGACGGCCATCCTGTTTTCACCAAGCTTCTTTTGGAGCTTAATATGGGTAGTCTAGTTCTATACGGTGAGAGCTAAATACATTTTTAAAGGGCCGAAAGTTTCAAGACAGCAAGCTTGCAGAAATAACTACGTACGTTTAAATGGACGAGTGATAGATGTGTTAGGGGCCGTTTAATGAATACTAACTTATGTAATCAAATTAAACGTCGCAAAAGCGTCAAAAAGGCAGTGCTTGTTGTTTTTTTTCTATAAAATTAGCCTAACGGTCGGCGGTACCGCTACATGACGTCACGTGCGAGCGTTAACTCGGTGACGATGTGCTAAGTGGGGGAATGAAAAAGGTGGGGTTCAAGAAATGCGACTCGGCAAGCTTTTTACATTTCTTGACCCTTCTTAATAGTTCTTTCGTCCCCACTGAGAAAATGGATCACCAATGAATGACGCGTCATACTTCTACAGCTGGTCTTTCTCCCACAACCATCCCGTATTCACGAAAAAAAAAACCTGACCCTTCTCCAAAATCACATCGCTGAGTTCTATTCAACCTCTCCCCACCACAAATCACTATTTCTATCTGAAACAATATGTTCATATGTTTGCTCTGTAATAATGCACGCTGTCATTACTATCTTAAGAGCGACGTCATTTATGAGCGATCTAATATTGATTTGCTTACTGCAAATAAAGTGTTCAAAAGTTCGACCTCCCAACAATTGTTGTGGTCTTGGATGCACACTATTAAGTCTGAAAAGGTCTATTAGTCATTCATGTCAACTATATTTTTAAAAAAAAGAAAAATTACTATACAGAGGGTCATTCATAAATGACGTCACGCTTTTTATAACCTCCCCCCTCCCCTCCGTCACACGTCGTCACAAAAAGCCAGATCCCCCCTAAAATGACGTCACACCTCAGCCTACAACCCCCCCCCCCCCCACCCCCTCAAAATTGCAGTTGAATTGTTTTTAAACAGCTATATTTTTCCAAAATCTTGTCTGAACTCTGTCAAAATAGAGTATTTTAATCAATTGTTATTACAATGTATTAACACAGTTTTCTAATAAGCAAAATAACGTCTAAAATTCGTTTTCTAACATTGCTTTTTTTAAAATGCAAAAGTGTGACGTCGCACCATCTGACCCCCCCTCCCCCTCATCACACAACGTCACAAAATTACGGACCCCCCCCCCCGAATGTGACGTCATTTATGGACGACCCCCAGGCATATATTAAAACAATACAAAACAATCATATTAAACCACAAAATCAACACAAAAGACATACGAATAGACAATTTATTGTTTTCAAAAGATGGCCGCAGCTTGTATTTACTCATTGTTGTCTTAAACGGGGTAGTTTAAAGTTTATTCCAGGATATTTATGACTGGTTTGGTAATGGATTGTGATTTGTTATTCAATTATCTGTTATATTATGTAAAATATGGGTAATCTATCGTTTTAGGTACGTAAAATCGGCCGCAACTAGTAATGTGAAAAACAGGTGACTCCTTACATTTTAATAATTATTTCACATTTTGATGAGGATTTATGTTTTGAAAAATACAAAAATGTTTCCTTGTTTCATTTATGTACCTGTTTTTAAACAATTGAATTAAAACTTTTCAGTAATAAATGAACACCAGCGATGTTTCCAACAGATGCAACCACGCTCATTTACTATAGCAGCCATCTTGTTTAAGTTTTATTTTTATAGACATATAGCGCGAGATTCAGGCGGAAGTCACTCTATTTTACAAATGGCTGCTGTTTATATAGCAAATCTTGCTTGCAGACACAGCTGTTTAAAGTTAATTTCTGGCCTATATTGATATATTTAGCCATTGATTTAGGTTTATTATTCATTTATCTATAATATTTGACACAAACATATCACAATATACTTCTATTACAGCCTTGACAATGAGGTAACGTTTTCGTACATTAATAGCCGCGGGCGATTTTACGTACCCAAAACGATAGATTACCAAAATATGACATAAATATGGCCAAATGAAAGAAATATTCATTAGTTACCTTCATCGCACATTACTAGCTAAGTTGGAATTTACGACGCTAAACTAAGATTTTACCGTATGAGTTAATAGCTATGCTTTTAACATTTTCTTTTTTTAATTTCAAATCAGGCTGTATTTTATTTTTTAATAGCAGTTTCTCTGTGCATAGTGCATAAGCTTACTGCATCAGATCGTTAACACGTCGGCCATATTTTTTTAATGCGCTCTTATGCCAGTTAAGCCAAAGCGTTTAAAAAAAGATGGATTGATTTAGTAGATCTTGATGTAGGCCTGCTGCAACCAATTCTATTGATAGTGAATGAAATACATTGTATTTTCTAATGTCTAAAAAATGACAAACTAAAGTGACGATAATTTTTTTAAAAATATTTTAAAATTCACATAAGCTGTAATTTATCTAATTGATCTGACTTCTACACCGCGTTTACACTTGTAGAAGAAAAAACAACTCGCAATAATTTAATGTTTTGACATTTTTCCCACAGAACGTGCATACTTACTTCTTGAGAGTTATTGTTTCTAAACATGTTATGTATACAGAGGCGTAGCGACCCTTCCCGGCGCCCGGGGACAAACTTTCGATTTGCACCCCCCTCGAACTTTTCATTTGCACCCCCCCTCAAACTTTCAATGCCCCCCCCCTAAGGTCGGCGCCCGGGGACATATGTCCCCCGCCCCCTCGATACGCCTCTGTATGTATAATATACATGTCTCTAATGTAAGCGCGGATAAGTTAAAAGTACAGATGAAATATGTTATGTTGTATACTATAAGTTTCATCAATCAATCATACACTCAATCAATTAATCGTTCCTAAACAAATGGGGTTGTTGCCGCAGTTGCTGGGGTTCCATAGTTTATTTTCTCATAGATCTAGATCTAATTTTTTTGGCCATCTTTATCGTTCTTCTGCCACAGACGCTCACTCACTTTGTTAAGAATGTTAGGCTGTTAATATTAAATAATGTATAGGTAAACATGATTTTTAAATTCTGAATTGCAAAAAAAAAGTATTATAACCCAGACAATTTATTGAAGATGCATAACGGTTAAAATTGTAGGCTTGTATTCTTTGGTGCGCGGTAGGTCTACGCAGAGTTGTAGACAAATTCATTTTAAAATATTTCATATTTATTTTAAACCTGTTTTTTTTTTTTTTGCTTTGCGTTTTTGACTGCTACTGGAATGATAACTTCCGGGACAATGTTGAAAAAAAAACAAACAAATAGGCCTGAATTAAATAGTATTACATAGTAAGTTATTATTTTACATGTTAAATGTAAATTAAATAGATTAAATAGATCTAGAATTATTTTTCTAAGGTTAGTTAAAATATAAAATCCTTTCGCAGTAATGTTTTGATCGGACAATGACGTTTAGACCAGTCACTAGATCTAGTCGTCTAGTCACTAGTCACTAGAATCACTAGATCTAGATCTAGAGATCTAGTAAGTAATAAGTAAGTAGAGACTATTTTAAAGGTATTTTTTTTGTGGCAACAATATTTTTAATATAGATCTATCTAGAATCTAGATTCATAAGTCTAGAGATACTAGATATTCTAGAATAGATTTATTATAATAATAATATAGTTATAGTTAGGCAGGCCTAGACCTAAAATTTTAAATTAAATTTGGCTAATCTATCGTTTTAGGTACGTAAAATCGCCCATGACTAGTAATGTGAAAAAGCAGGTGACTCCTTAAATAAATAAATTTTAATAATTATTTCATATGTTTAGTTGGATTTATGTTTTGTAAAAGGCCGATGCTAGCCGGAATAAGATACGCATGCACAATGGAGAGAAACTATGACTTGCCTTCGCTGCGATGTTTTCGATGGTACTGCGCATGCATGTGTTTACAACCGCAGAACCCTAACACCAACCCTAATCCTAGCCCTAACCCTAATCCTGCCCCTAATCCTCATTCTAGCCCTAACCCTAGCCATAGGTCACTGCGCATGTAATCCTAGCCCTAATCCTGCCCCTAACCCTCATTCTAGCCCTAACCCTAGCCATAGGTCACTGCGCATGCGCAGAGCTATCTTTTGCTGACTAAGTGGAGACATTGGGGAGAAAAATCTTCTTCCGAGTAGTCACTTCGTTTGAAAAATACAAAAATGTTTCCTTGTTTCATTTATGTACCTGTTTTTTAAACAATTGAATTAAAAATTTTCAGTAGGCCTAATAATGAAGACTAGCGATGTTTCCAACAGATGCAACCATACTCATTTACTATAGCAGCCATCTTGTTTATTTTTTTTTATTGTAAACTTATAGCGCAAGATTCAGGGGAAGCCACTCTAACTTACAGATGGCCGCTTTTTATATAGCAAATCCTGCTCGCAAACACTGCTGTTTAAAGTTAATTTCTGGCCTATATTGATATATTTAGCCATTGTTTTAGGTTTATTATTCGTTTATCTATAATATTTGATGCAAATAAATCACAATATACTTCTATTAAAGCCTTGCCGATGAGGTAACTTTTTCTTCCATTACTAGCCGCGAGCGATTTTACTTACCTAAAACGATAGATTACCTAAAAATTTTTATTTGAATATTTAGGCTACTACTTTAGCAATAGGCCTAAATATTATTATTAATTATTTTTATAAAAATTAAAAACAACAATTAGCCTAAAAACCATTTTGGATGATTATAGATACTGGTGTCCTATAATAGAATATTCTTTCAAAAAGGGGTTTTGGGTTGTTAGTAGTATTGTAATCTCGACTAATTTTATTGTTAGAAATTAGGGCTTGGCGTATGGTAGGACCAGGGTTGGGGTTAGGGACAGGGTTAGCATTGACATCAGCCAGCCATGTGTGTAATTAGTTAACTACCAGTAAAGTAAACTAACCCCTATTCTAAAGAAGATTCCATTATCAAACACCGGTATACAAATTCTGCCACCATTTTTTAGAGGTGAATCGCAAACTTAAGTATGACAATGAATTAAATATTTTATTTTTATAACAGATCCTTACACAATTACACATGAAATGTATTTTACGTTGACCAGCTTCCCAGATTAAAAAGGAAAAGCTGCCAGATTTCTAGTGAGACCAGTGTAACAGTCTCACAAGATAATGAGTGATCATGATAACTATCGCTCTCTTGTGCAAGCACCAATGGAATCACCATTAAATTCAGTATTTATAAATCAATTTTTTTGTTACTTTTAATTTTTAGGTCATCTGTTTATGACGTCCATGTGGTTGAATTTAACATTTTTACAACTTAAAACATACATGAAACTTGTATCCTGCATGTAAAACATGAAATTAAGATGGCAGTGCTCATGATTTAAAAAAGAAACACAACTTAACAGCATGTAAATACTGTGCTGGATTTATACCTACACTGGGGTCATCTATAAAATAAGTAATGTCAAGATATTTAACTATTTTTACCTCCCTTCCCTCCTGACCCTGACTTATCTTCATTAAAAACCAAGACCCAACACCTTAAATGACGTCACACCTCGCCTACCACTACTCTCAAAACTGTAATATTAAAAAACAGCAATTTTTTTTTCTAAAAAATGTACTGAGTTTGGTCAGCTTTGAGTAGACCTTGATTAGTTTTCACTGGAGTTTTTAAGAAAATTAACTACATGAAGCAACAGCTTTATTTTAGTTTCTTACATTATTGCAAAGCGTGTTGTCACACTTTCTCTAAATCCTCCTCCAGCCCCTCCAGAGTGTGACGTCATTTATGGACAAACCCTAATAAATAAATTAGCACCTTTTTGGAAACTAGCAAGCGATTAAGTAAACAGATATAAAAGCCATCAACTTGAGTAGGCTTTGCGACTTAATAATGTCATAAATGCTAATATTAACCATTAAAATACATTCAACGAGTACAGAAAATAATACTATGTTACAAGTACAGAGAATTATAATGTGTTAACACCCCCCCCCCCCTTTCCCCAAAACCACTCACAAAGGGTTTAATACTTTGGATGCGTTGTTGGTCGGTAATGGGGAGAATCCTTGGAAATATTTTGATGTTTAAAACATACTAATTTGTCGAAGGGGGTCTAAAATCCAAAATTTTTGTGGCCGTCATAAATGGATGCCCTCATTGTTAAACTATAATTATAAATTAAAATAATTATATTAGTTAACTATATTCTTATGCTTTTTGATTTGGCACTTACCAGAAAGGTAGAAATTAATTTATTAAAATTTGTTTTATGAGCATAGTTTTTTTTTTTTAATCTCTTTATTTATTGGTAACTGTCTTATTAATATATTGTTACTATAAGAATTGCTATTTATTTGATTGTGAATTATTTAATGACAGGCTCACACCTTCAGCAGAAATGCTGATATGTTTACAAAAAATAAAAACTATGAAGAAGCTATTTCAAGCCTACGAAAGGCAGCTGGTAAGAAGTAACATTTAGACTATAAGTTTTGTGTTAATATTTACTTCACCATGGTTAGCATATACATCTAACATTATGAACTCAGAGGTCATGCTTTATTGGATGATTTTTACCTCTTCATTGTCTCACATCTTCTCAAAAAGTTAACACTCTTCCTAAACTAACATTTCACTTTAGGACTGCAGAAATTACCTAACTTTTTTAATTATAACCCCAAGGTCTTGTGATTTAGATAGACTAAAATTATTATCTTCTATCTATCTATATACTACTAAAAGTCAAGTTTGTTTACATGTTTGAATATTTATTTGTTTGTTTGCCTGATTGAAAATTGTGATATGTTCGACTCTATCTGGAGAGCTGTAAAATAGTATGTAGGTAGAGAATAATTTTTTAATGCAGACAGACTGTTAATCACAAATTTATTTAAAGACGTTAATTAATTTATTGATTTATTCATACGTACAGTAACCCATTTTTTTAAAAAAGATTTGAAAAGCCACTAGACTCGGCGGGACCGTGACGTCACAGGTTTTTGTTTACTCTTTAGTACAATAAAATGGCGGCGTCTATCAAAGAAAATTGTGTTCCCATTCACAAGTTTAACGCGTTCTAAATCTAATTTTCAGTCGGTCATAACTTTAACAATACGTCCGTTTGCTGTATTTATTACGTTCCAACACTTATATCAATTTTCAACTGTCTTTTTCATTTAGTTTTACAATAAATTTCTCTAGATCTAAAGATCAGCTGTCGAAGGAAAGTTATGAATCTAGAATCTAGCCTAGGGCCTAGATCTAGATTCTAGATCTAGGTCACTAGACTCAATGTAAATTCTAGATCTAGATTAATGTAAATTCTACATCTAGAATCTATTTCGGGCCTTAATTATTTTATATAAATCTTTGTTTAGCTTCAATGATCATCTAATTCGAGAATACATGGGATTTTTTTGTTATCTACGTTCTATATCTAGATAAAGTAGGATTACTCACTAACTTGGAGGCGTGGTCGGCTGCTAACAACAATATGGCGTACGGACCGGACGCATGTCTGCCGATCATTTTTAGGCCATGTTTACCACGAACAAAATGGCGGGTGTTCACATTATTTAAACATTGTATAGGTGGCCAGGGCTAGATATGCCAGAAAAGCATTTTAAAATTTGCTTTGGAGAATGAAGGCTAAATTTTAAAGTCAGTGTCATAAACATTAATAGAACTTTTTTTTTTTTTACGTTTTCAATTATTTTTTCTTAAGCCCTATATGTGAATGATAAGGTTGACTATCAGGACCTCGCGGGGCACAGGGCAGGTGAAGTAGGGTTCATCTGTTTCTTTGTCCTAAGCAAATTAAGGGATAGTGTGGTCAGAGAATGCTCGGCTGGAATAGTTTTTGTTGTCTGAGACTTGGCGGGACACTGGGCAGGTGAAGTAGAGTTGAGTAGGTCACCTGTGACGTCAGTATATGAAGGGATAGTCCGAAATCGTTGTTTTCGGTGATTTTAAAAGATAAAAAACATATTTTTGAATGTGGGGTCTGTTTTTGTGACGATAAGTGACACTGCAGTAGCGTAGCGAGGAGGGGGGGGGCGGGAGAGGAGGGGAGGCGGGGGGGGGGGGGGGAAGGGGAGGCGGGGGGGAAGTGGAGGGGGGAAGGGGGGGGGACATATGTTGGGGCGCTAAAATGGTTTGGAAAAATAAATTGAAAGGTTGAGGAATTCAAATGGAAAGTTTGAGTGGGGGGGGGTGCACATCAAAAGTTTGAGAGGGGGGGGGTTGAAAATCGAAATCTTGGGGGGGGGGGGGGGTTCAAATCGAAAAGTTTGTCCCCGGGCGCCGGGAAGGGTCGCTATGCCTCTGAGTGACAGACGTGATGTTTTTTGATGGATGACCCCCGAAGCCCACAGTTATCCAACGGATGACGGGTATTCTAGTATACTACTAAAACTCAACTTTGTTTACATGTTTGAATATTTATTTTTTTGTTTGTTTGTTTGTTTGCCTGATCGACTATTGCTCATGGTTGCAATCATCGTGGAAAGCTGTAAAATAGTATGTAGGTAGAGAAAAATTTTTGTTTTAAGACAGACTGTTAATCACAAATTTATTTAAAGACGTTAATTAATTTATTGATTTATTCATAGTTAAATTAACCGTATTTTTTTAAAAATGTTAATACTTTGAATAAACTTTGTGGGGATAGTGACGTCCCTTGATGTGTTTACATTTTTGGTACAATAAAAATGGCGGACTCCATCATAGACTTTGTGGCCCATTCAAAAGTTTAACGCGTTACAAAGCTAATTTTCTGCCGGCTATAACTTAAACAATACGTCCGTTTGCTGTATTTATTACGTTCCAACACTTATATCAATTTTCAACTGTCTTTTTCATTTAGTTTTACGATAAATTTCTCTAGATCTAAAGATCAGCTGTCGAGAATCTAGCCTAGGGCCTAGACTAGATTCTGGATCTAGATCTAGAATCTAGGTCACTAGACTCAATGTAAATTCTAGATCTAGACTTAATGTAAATTCTACATCTAGAATCTATTTCGGGCCTTAATTATTTTATATAAATCTTTGTTTAGCTTCAATGATCATCTAATTCGAGAATACATGGGATTTTTTGTTATCTAGGTTTTATATCTAGATATAGTAGGATTACTCACTAACTTGGAGGCGTGGTCGGCTGCTAACAACAATATGGCGTACGGACCGGACGCATGTCTGCCGACCATTTTTAGGCCATGTTTACCACGAGCAAAATGGCGGGTGTTCACATTATTTAAACATTGTATAGGTGACCAGGGCTAGATATGCCAGAAAAGCATTTTAAAATTTGCTTTGGAGAATGAAGGCTAAATTTTAAAGTCAGTGTCATAAACATTAATAGAACTTTTTTTTTTTTTTACGTTTTCAATTATTTTTTCTTAAGCCCTATATGTGAATGATAAGGTTGACTATCAGGACCTCGCGGGGCACAGGGCAGGTGAAGTAGGGTTCATCTGTTTCTTTGTCCTAAGCAAATGAAGGGATAGTGTGGTCAGAGACATGCTCGGCTGGAATAGTTTTTGTTGTCTGAGACTTGGCGGGACACTGGGCAGGTGAAGTAGAGTTGAGTAGGTCACCTGTGACGTCAGAATATGAAGGGATAGTCCGAAATCGTTGTTTTCGGTGTTTTTAAAAGATAAAAAACATATTTTTGAATGTGGGGTCTGTTTTTTGTAGCGATAAGTGACACTGCAGTAGTGTAGCGAGGAGGGGGGGGGGGGGGGGCGGGAGGGGAGGCGGGGGGTGTGTGAAGGGGAGGCGGGGGGGCGGGGGGAGGGGGAGGGGAGGCGGGGGGAGGGGGGGGGGACATATGTTGGGGCGCCAAAATGGTTTGGAAAAATAAATTGAAAGGTTGAGGGGGGTTCAAATGGAAAGTTTGAGTGGGGGGGGGGGGGGGTGCACATCAAAAGTTTGAGGGGGGGGGGGTTGAAAATCGAAATCTTGGGAGGGGGGGTTAAAATCGAAAAGTTTGTCCCCGGGCGCCGGGAAGGGTCGCTATGCCTCTGAGTGACAGACGTGATGTTTTTTGATGGATGACCCCCGAAGCCCACAGTTATCCAACGGATGACGGGTATTCTAGTTGAGTAATAAAGTTGACTTTTTTTTCAGAATGCTTACTCCAGGCGATGAGCAGTGTGAAAGATTCTCCAACACTTAAAGAGTCTATGGCTCTCCAGCATAAAGCCTACTTGTTTCAGATTGATAGACTACATGCAAAGAGTCAGTTACTTGAACTTATGAACAATAAAACTACAAAAACTATTAGCAGGGCCACTCAGACAGATTGTCTTAATCATATTGAAGTAACAAATGGAATTTTACTAGATGAGGATTCAGTGTATCAAATTTTGAGAGAAAATGAGGATTTAATGAAGCGATGCCATCTGAAAAATTGTGAAAAACAGGATAACATTCAAATATCACTTTCTGATGATAATAGCAATATTTCACACAAGGATGATAGTTTATCAAAGCTCAAATTAAATCAGAGTTTATTCAGCAGTGATGCACCAAGCAAAGATGAAATTATAAAAGTAAATGAAAAACTCACTAAGGCTGTACATAGCCTCTTGCAAGAGCTTGGTTCAACTAAAGCTGAGAAAAAGCAGATGGAAGAAAAGCTAAGTGATAGTCAGGAAATGCTGAAGGCCGGCAGTAATGTTTTACAATTTTCAACTCTTGATCGACCCCCTTTGGAAGTTTCTTATCCTGAACTTGCTAACTTTTCATGAACCCTGTAACACCAGATTTATATTGTCAAATTTGATGTTGGATTTAGAGTAACCTTCACATTATTTAATACAAATGTGAAGTTGAACTGAAATTTTTTAAAAGACAATTATTTTTGTTTTTTAGAGTTGCTAACTCAGATTTTGTAATTTATCAAGTATAATTTTTTACCATTATGATTATTATTCAAAAGAATATTTTAAAATCTTATTTCTTCAATCTTGGCCTCTTGAAGGAAAAAGTGAATCAGACAATAAATCTCTTGATAACTGTTGGAGGTAAATGCAGTATCTCGAGAGGCAATTGTGATTTTATAAATGTGACATTTTCTTGGATAACTTTAAAAATTCTGGGGGGAAAAAATTACATTGATAATGCTGCACAAAAGACATGTAGAAAAATAGCATGAGTGCAGGTTGTGATTGTAGGATTGATGGAAAAATCAAATTTTCCCTTAGAATATCAATTCATTTTTTGTGGACGTAATTAAGTGTGACTTAGATGCAGTAAAATGACTGAAAGTTTTATTGAATAATTTTAAGAAAGATATTAACTATTGATTAATCAGTATGTAAAAACTTGCAGTGATGTCAAATAACTATGGCAGAGAATTGGCAGCCACAACATTGCATCAGAGTGTTACATTTACAACTGAATTTTCATTATCACATTATCAGGGGTGTTGAATTAATGACAACATGAACTAAAGTACCTATAATAGGTAAGTTGTTGCTATTAAATACTCTTCTGTGGCAATGCCAATAAATTAGCCATAGAGTGAAAAGCTTTGTTTAGAAGTGACATTTCTGATAAATGCAGTTTGTACAAGTTTAAATGATGTGTTGAAAAAATAAATAAAGTAACTTATTTCAGTGTATTGGTATTATTTAAAATGTATTGCATGAGATTCCACAAGAGAGACACTAAACTGTGACATTGTATTCTGTTATTAGTTTTTTGAAGAGCACAAAAAGATCTGTAATAAGATTTCAAACCATTCAATCAGATACCTTAAAAGATACACAGGTTCTTCTAAAAGTTGGATTTAGATATATAAAAGGAAGGTTTTTTAAAGTTTTAGAAGTAAAGTGTCTAGTCGTTTAGAATTTGCATCATAGACTTGTGGTACTAGTATAAATTTAAAGTATGTTTTAACCCCTTAATGTCTGAATTATGTTCCAAGCGTGTAAAAAATTATTTGTGCTGATTTTCTCTCATCATACTGACACTGAATTTGAGGTATATAGTTGTTTTTAAATTTGGACTTATTTTTTATGCTAATTACGGTATGTCGCAAAAACGCGACATCAAGCACTTATGAACCAAACAGTAATTTCATTTTTTTTAGTCCGGGTCATTTTACTATTTTTACTGTCATGTGTTTCTCTAAAATATCCACGCACAAACAATAGAATATCACAAACTAAACATACAGACATGCAAGGAGATGTAGAATCACTTGCAAATTTCATGAAAACTATACTTTATTAGCTCAGACATTAAAGTTAGATAACTCTGCTGCACCTGCTCACTGACTAACTCTTATGAAAGGGTATTTTGAAGCCTTGCTATCGTGGTTCTACTACACTACAGTAACACACTTTATATGAAAGGACTTCAATCAATGTGTAGAGCCTTAGTTGTCCCCGGTTACGTCATTGTCATTTTCGTGAACTCTTATTCAAGGTCAACTATTAAAGACGCATATTTCTCATTTGACCTATATATATTTGCTATACACACAAAACACGTGAACAAATACTGTCCTAATTGACAGTGTTCAGCCATTGTATATTCGTCCATGCTCAATGCAGCTGCTGTGGGTACTTAGTGTCACTGCTGTGGGTACTCAGTGCCACAGCTGTGGGTACTCACTTCTATTGTTGATGGTACCCTATGTTTCCGATTCGTGCTACGGCTATTGTGCTTGCCTGATTCTGCTATTGATTACCAATGACAGTGCTGTAGCTACATATTGCCACTGGTATGGGTACTCAGTGCTAAAACAGTGGGTACTGAGTGTTGAGGCTGTGGGTACTCATTGTTGAAGCTGTGGGTACTCAGTGTTACTGCAGTTGGTTGTTGGTGTAACTGCTGTGGGTACTCAGCGCTGGAGCTGTTGGTAATCGATAACATTGATGTGGGTACTCAGCCTTAGCAGTGGGTACTCAGTATCACTGCTGTGAGTGCTTAGTGCTCAAACTGTGGTTGCTCAGTGTCATTGATGTTGGTACTCAGTGCTGAAGATGTGGGTACTCAATAACTCTGCTGTCGTTACTAAATGCCAGTATAATGCCACTAATGTGGGTACTCTATAGCACTGCAAAGGACATGTTTGTCAGTACTCAACTTTACTGTATTTATTACGAGGTGTAGGTCTATGCTCAGTGTTATTATTGTCAAGGTCACTGTGAAGACCTTTCTTTGGTGGTAACCAGGATAGTGGTGCACCACCTCACTTCCTGTTGTCTATTTTTTTTTTATGTTCTCCTAATATTTTACAATGCTATTTCAAAGCTAAATTCGTTATATTGTACCCAGCAACATGATCACATTATTTCAGCATCGCTCTCTCACCATATGCAAATGTCAATGAAACAGGTGAACTCTACTTCACCTACCACATGGACCGTAACGTTCTAAAGTGCACTTTTATATATAGGCGAAGAATATATTGTAAATCCTTTACTTATTTATAATCATACTTGAATGAATGACAGCTTGGCGATGCATCATATTTTGTTATACCTGCTTGGCACCCAAGTTCCATTTTATGTCTTATTGCCGGAAAACGCAACAAACTGTAATTAGCAGATAACTTCCAAAATTATTCTCATATGTGATTTTTACTGGCCTGTAGGCAGTTATTAATCTGAATTTTGCCAGTGCTTTCAAAAGTAGCTTTTAACATTTTCTTTGAATTGGATTTTAACCCCACAATAACAAAAGTAACCACACCAGTATAATTAAATTATGGACTATGGTAATCCGTGAAAATGAAATTTATATAGAAAATATATACTTTTAACAGTACCCCCCCCCCCCCCCCCCCCCCCCCGGAGAAAAAAGTCTGGAAGAATCACTGAGTACAGATGGTCTAGCTGATGCTAAGAGGATGCTAAGCCATGTATTGATCAAAAGTGAGGAAAAAAACCCAACAAAACATTGGGAAAATAAAAAAATGCAATATGCTTACTTGTCTTATTAATATATTTATCTGTATGATTGAAAGTATGTTTGTCTGTGGGCATTTCTATAATGAATTGCTACACAATACACCCTATCACCATGCAACATTTTGGAATTGTTGAGAATATTCCTGGGAAGGCTTGTAAGTCTAGATGATATAGAAGGAATGGAACTTAACTGAACACCTCAAGCAAAAAGAAAACAGGGAAGGCCAAGAGTGACGTTGAAGAGTACAGCTGAAAAACAACTGATAAAAGCTAGGGGAGGGTGGGTAGGGCGGCCGCCCATGGTGCTAACTATCAGTGTTTCTTCCAGACTTTTTTCTCCGGGGGGGGGGGCGGTAAAATTCCCCCCCCCCCCCCGAAGAGATGCCTGGAAGAAACTCTGCTAACTATAAGGGGGTAAAAATCGTCAAAAAAAGTGACGTCATTTATGGATGACCCCCTAATGTCAGTTAATAATATAGGTGGATTAACTTTAATTAATCATTAATTGAACTGGCAAAAAGCATATTTCTTCTATATATTTTGCAACTTTTCTCCATGGTGACACCCCCAAAAATGGTGTCACCCCGGTTCGGTCCGCGCCCCCGCCTCGCAAAGCCTCTCGATGTATCGGTGCGTAATATATAGGAATAGGCAACACATGTTGCGGTCGACTCTTTTTTTTAGATTTTGGCCAAAAATATTAAATCAGGCTTTAGTTGGCTTATATTTTTAAATATTCAACGACTCATTTGTAAAAGCTCTACACGTTGTTATTATAAGTGTATTTGTTTTCATAAATATTTACATTTGCTGCTTGCTTTAAGATAATTACATTACATAATACAAAATATATATAAGAATCTTAATTAGCGAAACAGCAACAAAAACAAGAAAATCTGCCTTCTTAAATGTCGTCAAGGTCAACCAATATGGCAGTAAAAATGCTTTTCCGGAGTGTTGGTGGTAAAATAACGGTATTATCGCCACAGATAATCCAAACTCTGCCTTTACTTCAAACAGTTTTTACTGTAGGTTGCACTTAATAAAATTTCAGTGTTTGTATTAATATGCACAGGTCTACATTCAAATATTAATCATTAATCCACGTTTGTTGGAATCGGCGTACTGAAAAACTCAGATAAATCAGAACCATAGATGAAAATATAGATATCTAGATCTAGATCTAGATTCTCTAGATCTAGAATCTATTTATTTATTCTAGATCTAGATCTATATTCTATAGATCTAGATTCTAGAAACTATTAGATCTACTAGTCTAGATCTAGATTCTTGTCTTCTTATGATGGATATAATTTATTAATAATTATATAATTTTATAATTAGCTTGTTATTACTTATTTATTAGTAATTTAATTAGTAATTACTAGGCCTAATTACTTATTAATTATTTAAAATTAATAGACACTAGTTTTGATGAGGGTTTCAGCTTGTTTTAGATTTTAGACTAATATTAATTTATAAATTAGCCTACATAAATTTTTCATTCACAATGTTAAAAATATAAAAACTACAGATTTAATTGATGTTTTTAGTAACGAAGTGTCTACTCGGAATTCAAAATTTTTTTTACCTGCAAAGTTTTGCATTCAAAGTGGGGTTTTCAGTAGATCGATTGTACAGCCAATCAAAGTTTGTCTTATTAAAGTGAAAGGTTATAATTAAGGTTTGATGAAAGAAAATAGAAATGTAGCCTCAAGTTATCTGCACTTTTACAATGTTTCAAGCTTAAGTTTTTTGTTTTTGTTTGCTCTGATGGAAAAATGGAAAAAAAAGCACATTTTTATCCATGTCAGCAATAATGACTGAACCAATCTTGTCAAACTAGGCTGCCTTCTGTATTACTAGTAATTAGTTTGTTATGCCTGTTAACTGAGTTAATCTAGACTACTAGACTCTCAACCATTAAGTTTAATAGTAAAATCCAAAGACTTTAGCTGTTCCAATATACTGAACTCCTTCACACTTCTATCTATTGAGACATATAATGTAAAACTTAGTTCCACTTCCTCAACTTAACAATTTGTTTTCAGAAAAATATAAGTGACATATCCTGAAATACATAGCTCTTTAAATTTTGATTTACCAACTGGTATAATATAGGTTAGCTACTTAGTACTCCAGCTACTTGATCACCCCAAACTGGTCCTTCTAAGATATTATTCCTTGATTTAAAAACATTGATTTATATATTTAATTTCAGAAACAACTTTTTCAACATGGACATAGACATTATTCTTCAGAAGTAAGTGTTGGCCTAAAATTTTCATTTAATTTTAAATCTGTATTTTGTTAAAACTTTCGTGTTACTAATAATAATAATTTAAAATAAATAATAAAATTGTGTATTAATTAATTATTTATTCTTGGCCTAATTAAAATTAACCGTGAAAACTATAAACATATATAACCTTTATAATCATTGGACACAACATTATCACATTCATTAAGTAAAATATCACATTTCATAGCATTGTGTGCTTAAATAATAAGAGGAAAACTCCTTGGTTTTATGCTTTGAAATATTACAAATTACAGTTAAGAAAATGGTTATGTGTCGCATTCTCTTTCTCATTACTGTATTCTTGACATTATATTTAAGTTGTAGTTACTGAATCCAACATCTGAGTAATTTTTAAAAAATGTCTAACTGTTTAGAAATTTTTGTTGCTATGGTAATTAGTTTATGTTTTGGCCAAAATAGTTGATTTGGAATTGTTAATTATTTTAGAAACAATTGGTGACTATGATTCCTGGTGACGGCATTGGCCCAGAGATTTCTGTAGCTGTGAAACAGATTTTCTCTGCTGCAGGGGTAAGATTTGATGCCTCCATGTTATTGCCTAACTATAGAACTAACTAGTACAGTAAAAATAAATCTTGTTGGAAAACATATATTTAGCTTTGTTAATTAATTACACTGCACATTAAACAAGGCAATTTATAATATGAATGAATGTACCATACAGGTTCCCATTGAATGGGAAGATGTTGATGTCACACCTGTCAAAGGGCCAGATGGAGTATTCAGACTGCCATCAAAAATTTTTGAATCTATGAGCAGGACAAAAGTTGGCCTTAAAGGACCATTGGCTACACCTATTGGCAAAGGTCACCAGTCACTAAATCTTGCGCTCAGAAAGTAAGATAACTATATAACACTGTTCTTAAAGCTTTATCAGCTGTTTAATTTATGATTATGCAATGCTTATGATACGTTAGGTAATATTGAAAAAGTGTTATAATTTTAAAATTTTATAATTAGCAGCACTTCTTTATAAATAAGATTGATTGTATGCCCTTTTTGTGTATTTTAGAGCTTTTAGTCTTTATGCCAATGTAAGACCCTGCAAATCTATTGAAGGCTATGAAACTCCTTACAAAAATGTGGACATTGTAACAATACGTGAAAACACAGAAGGAGAATACAGTGGTATTGAACATATTGTAAGTTTATTGCTGAACGTATAGTCTCTCTATGTATGTGTGTTTGTAAATACTATTATTTTTTTTTAAATTGAGCAGTAAAGTAGAAGATCTACTAGATATTATTCTTGTTGATTTTTTCCCATCCTTTTAGATAGTTGAGGGAGTTGTACAGAGTATTAAGTTGATTACAGAAACTGCATCCAGGAGAGTGGCAGAATATGCTTTCAAGTATGCCAGAGAGAATAAAAGATCCACAGTTACAGCTGTACATAAAGCTAATATCATGTAAGTACTTGCCTCAGAAAATTTCACCTAAATAATTTCTTCTTTGTGTGATACAATGATTACAGTAGAGATTCATTGTGCCATGTGTATGTAAACACTTGCCTGTTCAAGCACTACTTACTGTGTAGAAGATTTGGTCTGACAAATTATTGCTGGAATGTGTATTTTATCACTTTTAACCATTAATGTCCCATTCATTCTACCAAAACTCCACCCATGACGGCCCGATGTAAGGAGCATAACTCTGTATGATCAAGTGAATAGTTTCACAAAATATTTGTTTTTGTCTAAATGAAATTAAAAATTAAGATAAAAACTACTGCTTAATGTTGGGAATAAACCTGGCTTTCCAACAGTATTAAATAGAATATATTATATTTGGTAAAAGTACAGTATAAAAATAAAAAATGTCGGAGAAAATTCAAAACAGGTCATTTTCGGTAGTCAACTTTATTTATTTTTGTCTAAACAACTATGCATCGAATTTAACAGTTAAATATCAATTTGGTTATGTTTAAGATATATAATTCATAAAATACATGCCTAGATACGTTTAGAGGCATTACTTTATTTTATTTTTAATATTAAATCTACTAAAAATAGGACAGATGAGTCTAAAATTTCGAGATAGAAAGAAACTATTATTTTTTATCTTTCAAAAGCGCCATTGCAATTAGAAGACCGGAAAAGGATGCTGAAACAATCCGACTTCCTGTTTAGTTAAAAATTAGGATTTGTAGGCCAAATTTTAATGAAACAAATTTAATTTTTCTATGCGTATTGTAAGCGGGCGGCAGCGGGCGTTACGGGACATTAACGGTGTCGGGCGGCAGCGGGCGTTACGGGACATTAATGGTTAAAAATGTTATCTATTTCAGGCGAATGTCGGATGGTTTATTTTTGAAGTGCTGCAGAGACGTTGCTGCTAAAAATAAAGACATCAAGTTCTCTGAAATGTATTTAGATACTGTGTGTCTGAATGTGAGTGTATTTAAATCAAATAAATAATTAGATTTAAGTTTGAAATAAAACAATCAAGTATTCAATCCAGTCAAGTATATTGTTATGCCAGCTAAATAGCTTGTACATGCATATTTTGTTGAAATTTCAGCTTGTTCAAGATCCCTTATCTTTTGATGTTTTAGTCATGCCTAACTTGTATGGAGATATTTTGAGGTACATATTTTTTCTCCTATGTTGAAAACTTACTTAAGTTATTATATGTAAACTAAACATCACATGTAAAATAATTAATGTCAATGACAACCTTTTTTTCTGCAGTGATTTGTGTGCAGGTTTAATTGGTGGTCTTGGTGTAACACCCAGTGGTAACATTGGAGAGGAAGGTGCTCTGTTTGAATCTGTGAGTCATTTGGTTTACAAAAAAGTAGCTCACTAGCAGTATATAATATTTTACAAAAACTTTCTTAAAATATACTGGAAAAAAAATTAAAGATAAAAACTTTGAAGTTTTTGAATTGCTTCGTTGTCTGTCCTAGGTACATGGTACTGCTCCAGATATAGCCGGCCAAAACAAAGCCAATCCCACAGCTCTGCTGCTGAGTGCTGTAATGATGCTCAGATATATGGGCCTCACTCAGCATGCTGACAGAATAGAGACTGCTACTTTTGAAGTCATTCGTGAAGGAAAAGTAAGATTATAATTTGTGATTCTTAATATTTCCATCATTGTAAACTATAAGGCAGCTGTAATTCTAAATCTCTTGTGTTTCAGTTTTTGACTGGAGATCTGAAGGGAAAAGCCACTTGCTCAGAGTATACAGAAGAAATTTGTAGGAAAGTTGCAGCTAGTTAAATTTTATAGTTTGTTCAGGAAATCATAGTACATATGTTGTCATTGGTCATAAAAAAAAATGCTCAATGTTGTATTTTAGTTGAATCTCCTCCATAAAATGTACAATTTTATCTAATGGGTACAAAAATAGTGACAGATTTTTCAATTAATCCAAAATTCTGTGTAATCCAAAAGAACTAGTATCTAATAGAGTAAACTTCCAACAAAAACTGTGTTCATCAAGTTAACAGCAAATAAATGTTTATCTGAGTTTCGTATGGCTGGTGTGCAAGATCTCTGCAACTGCAATGCAAGTGTGAATTTATCATTGAAGTATGCTGACTGTATTTATTTGAAAATCATGCATTAAACATTTAAGAAAAGTGTGAGTAAAAAATGTAATGTCTTTTCATTGAATGCTGTAAAATGTCTGTTTTAGCCCTACATTTTTTACTTCCCTTTACAGTTTTCTAATCAGTTGATTCTCATTGAGAACACTTTGGGTTTTAAAGCTTTTCTGAGAAACCAAAGATTTAAGAAATCTGGACATAATTTTTCAGCTCTAAACATTGTTTACAGATAGCCTGCATGGTGATCAATGCAGTAATGGGCTGTTTCCAGAATGATTTCCATCAGTGTTTTCTCTTTAAAGCTTTGAAATTCAAAAAATTGGTTTGATTTCATGTTCTGTCATTTACAGGGTCTGATTTTGTTATTAAATTTAAATGTTTTAATTAATTTCTTCAGTAGACATTTTTATTTTATAGTTGAATTAGTTAAAATATTTATGCTTTTGGGTACTGGTATATCAGTGCTCAAATTTACTAGTCCACCCATGAAGATTTTCCACAAAACTTTATTGATGTTGTAAATATTAATGTAAATTCATTTTAGTTTGTATTGATTTCATGAAACAAAAACTACCTTGTGAATTATTGTGGTAAGCTTTATAATTATTATTAACCGTTCCTACTCACCAGCCTTGCACATTAGGGGGTTTTGGAGCAAAGAGGTTTAATTAAGTGTAGTATTTTTTTTTTTTTGTTGAATCCTTACAATCAATTCAAAATAGTAAATATTTGAAAAATATAGGACCAAAATATAACACAAAGTAGGTAAGCTTCCACTTTTTAAAAAAAGACATCAAACCTGCTTTTGCGAGAAACTTGTTGGAAGAATTTGTGGTAGGAGCTTATTTCACTCTGAGGCTATACAATAATAATGATTAATTCTTTACTAACCCTGAATAACCAGTTATGTTAGAGAACTTGAGATTTTAAGTACAAAGAGAAAAAAATGCTTTGTTGATAGAAAAAATCAACACTATTAGTATTAATAAAAAGTACTTACTGCAAGCGACATTAGTTTTATAACAAACTTGGTTATTGAACCAAATACTCATAGACTTGAATAAATAAATTTTACAAATATTGTGTTATCCTTTTCTCATTTTTTATTTTATCTAATTATCCATTGGCTCTCCATAGGTACAGTTTCTTCCAGGCAACTCTTTCAGGGAAGGGGGGAAGGCTCCATTCCTCCCCCAAAACGAAATGGAATATATATAGAAAACTTACTTTTACCAGTGTCCGCATTGTATGATGGAGAAACTTTCATGTATCAACTGTCATGGTGGAGAATCTGTCATGGTGGTGATTTTTTCACGGTGGAGCATCTGTCATGTATTAACTGTCATGGTGGAGCATCTGTCATGTATTAACTGTCATGGTTGAGCATCTGTTGTCATGGTGGAGAATCTGTCATGGTGGTGATTTTTTCATGGTGGAGCATCTGTCATGTATTAACTGTCATGGTGAAGTATCTGTCATGTATCAACTGTCATGGTGAAGTATCTGTCATTATTGTGAACTGCCTCAGATCCCAGTAAGCAGCCAGTTGTTATCCCTGTCTTTTGATGACGTCAATGAAACCTTCACGTTACTGGAGTTCCTGTTGCTGCCGTGTTATTGAAGCGCTTATTTCAGTAGGGGTCTGCCCCCCCCCCCCCCCCCCCCCGAACGAAATGGAATTTATATAGAAAACATACTTTAACAACAGTGTCCGCATGCTTGTATACACTCTCAGCATTTATATTACAACCATAAGTGCTTACATTCTTAAATAAAATCAATATTTTATTCAATGAAATTATGATCAAGTTTTTCCTCTAATATCAATTTCTTTGTATGGCCGAAGTAACCATTTCTGAATTCAATTCTAGCCTTACCATAATCAATTCTTTACACCCAATCGGTGGCATAAAAAAGTATGTCGGGAACTTTGGCCCTCACAGAAAGCCTTTAGGAGACAGACAGTAGAACCAGTTGCCGTGTTTTCGCTACAAATGCCAGGGCTTGTAATTGGAATGGGTAAAGCTCCACCCAATCAATGGCGGTCGATGGAGACAGTTTAAAGTGGACGCGTATTTCCTGTCAGCCAACGCTGTGACGGCCCAGTCTTAACAAAGATTTATATTTAGCCTTATTTTAATCCCTGTCTGTTGTAATAATCCAAGGGTAATAACTCCGATATTCTCCGGCTTTGATGTCGCTTGTATATTGGCCGGCCAGGACCAGTACTGGCCGCGTGCTAGCAGAGTTTGGCCGTCACTTCATCAAAGGAAGATTGGACAACAAGTGACTTAGCCTCTTAAGTGTGACACACGGGTTGTAAATGGCAACAGTTGATTGGTCGATTTTTTTATTTCATGATCGGTACAAAGATTTCTGAGTCACTGAGATTATCCGCATATTTTTCTATGTGGGCCTTATATGTGTCGACACAAAGCACCAGACTTGTGTATGTAGGTACCCAGGTACTGTTATGTAGCCTACACCACAAGAATTCAGACTTGTGCTGTCATATCGCCGTTATCACACAACGCCAGCTTTGTATGTGTACGTGATACGGCATGAAGCCTGCACGACTAAACATCGGACTTCTAGCCTGTGTGCTAGCAGATATAAATGGCGTGTTACTTATTTTACGATAAAAACAAATTTCCGGTATGTTTCCAAAGCAAGGAGGATATTCTGTTGAAAACTCCGCTGAAAGCACCAGACTTTGTAGTATTTGACAAATTTACACCTTGAATAATGTGACAGTTGCCAGAATCTTCTTTGGTTAGTAAAAATGGAAATTATTCTATTAGGATTAGTCGGAAATTATTTTCAGGCGGTTACAATTTTTTTTTGAGTTAATATTCAGTGATTGAAAACATTTTTATATCTAGGTAAGGGGATATTTTTCTCGAAAATATTTTCAACCACCAGTAGGCCTAAACTGGAATATATTTTAAAAAAATATTTTAAACCGCTAAACTGTATGACAGAAAATAGAAATATTTACTTATTGTTTTAAAGCTTCGCACAGTAACATTACATCACTATGTAATACATTTCAAATCACTACACTTTCATATTTGGGGATGTTTACCTCTGATTTTGACAAACACCATTTGCCTGTTTTGTTTTCACGCTTGACCAAAACAATAGCCCAGACACAGCCTTATAAAGTTTCACTTCAACTTTTTAGTTATTACAATTATTTTATCGATTTTTTCCGGCCGTTTAATTTTACTGCACTTTATGGAAATTCCAGTTAAAATGCGCATTATATTTTTGTAGTAGTCATCTTTCTTTGACCTCCATCAATACAAACAGTTGTAGCAACTATATTTATACTGTCGAAGTCATTAATGGAATTGTGGGTATGTTCTTAAAATTAACAGTAGGCCAATAGACTAGAGATCCTGCTTATAATATACATGTCCTGCTTACATTAGAGTTGAGTTATTGACAAGAGGTGCTAACAGTAGGCCTATAAACTAGAGGTCCTGCTTATAACATACATGTCCTGCTTACATTAGAGTGGAGTTATTGACAGAAGGTGCTAACAGTAGGCCAATAGACTAGAGGTCCTGCTTATAACATACATGTCCTGCTTACAATAGAGTGGAGTTGTTTACAATATATTGTAGTTACCTACAGCTAGCACATATCTAAAGAAGGATCCCAAACCTTCGAACTGCTGGTGTTTTCGTGTACTAGAAACAAATCTCCACTAGAGTGTTTGACTATAGTACAGTGACCCGGTCTCCGCTCAATTTCATCATTTGAATACCGTTCTATGGCTTCCCGTTGTCTCAGGGCAAACCAGTTGAAACTCCTCTAAAATCGAATGAAAAGAACTGACATGACAAATGAACTGAAAGCCCAAGCAAATAGATTCTGCCTGGCCAGTGGTAGAACCTTCTGATTTGAATTGACTTCCATTTGTACATTTGAAGGTAGGGGTTTAGACAAATAATTCCTGCCGTTCCTGGTCTTCCCGCAATATTCCATTCGCCAGTCGGGCGGGGAGCAGACAGGAAAATAACGGAAGCCATAGCCGAATTTCATCAAAGCCACAACGCTGAGTCGCTAATCAAAGACAAGAAAATAGGAACAGACGAAGGCGGCGAAAAGCAGACTAGTGACGTCATCCATTCTAAACGGACCTCTTGTAATTTCCAATTAAATTTTTGGTGAAACAATTTTACATTACATTTTTGGTGAGACAATTTTACATTACATTTTGTGGTGAAACAATTTTACATCACATTTTGTGGTGAAACAATTTTACATCACATTTTGTGGTGAAACAATTTTACATTACATTTTGTGGTGAAACAATTTTACATTACATTTTGTGGTGAAACAATTTTAACATTACATTTTGTGGTGAAACAATTTTACATTACATTTTGTGGTGAAACAATTTTACATTACATTTTGTGGTGAAACAATTTTACATTACATTTTGTGGTGAAACAATTTTACATTACATTTTTGGTGAAACAATTTTACATTACATTTTGTGGTGAAACAATTTTACATTTTGTGGTGAAACAATTTTACATTAAATTTTGTGGTGAAACAATTTTACATTACATTTTTGGTGAAACAATTTTACATTACATTTTGTGGTGAAACAATTTTACATTACATTTTGTGGTGAAACAATTTTACATTACATTTTTGGTGAAACAATTTTACATTACATTTTGTGGTGAAACAATTTTACATTTTGTGGTGAAACAATTTTACATTAAATTTTGTGGTGAAACAATTTTACATTACATTTTTGGTGAAACAATTTTACATTACATTTTGTGGTGAAACAATTTTACATTACATTTTGTGGTGAAACAATTTTACATTACATT